CCACAACGTGTGTCCTTCGGCTCAACTGCAACTGACTGATGGGCGTGGCGCGGTGTGCAACAGTTAATCATTGAGGGGTGGCAGTCAGTATGGGGTCACATCTCAGATGAGACAGCCCTGGCAGGAACCGGGGGAAAACCCATAACACCTATCAAGTCACCATTTATAGGAGTGGCTTTCAGGTTACTCCCAAAGCTTATGAATTAAAAACAAAAGCTTTAAGGCTACAACTAATATATTGCCACTTTAACTAGTTCACTTTAATATAACTTCAAGGTAGAAACTACTATAACTTATAGATTTTAAGAAAAAAAATTATACAGAGCATATTTTTCCACTCGCATTAAAGCTGAAGCGCAGGTTATCACTAAGCAACCGCAGAGTTTAACATCGAACGTATTGTTTAATTAGTTGCCCCCAGAGGTGAGTGTTTGCCATATGTGAGTAAGCTTCAATTCAGGTTGGTTGGTTTGTTGGTTGGTTGCCCCCTTTATAAGCCACCACCCATATTCACATGCCAATCCCAACACGTGTCAATTGTGGCTCAGATTCGTTTGCTGTTTTGCCTTGCTTTTTGCTTTTGCTCTGCGTTTGGGCTTCAAACACAAGCTTCGGGTCATTAAATAAAGCGGACGGCCAATGCGAGCACACAGAAACACACAGATGTACATACACATACAAGCAGATGTATATATATAAGAGCGTAAACAGCCAAAGGACGAAGGACTCGGATGAAAAACCCCTTGTAAAAAGTACGAAGCGAATTATTTGCAAACAAAAGTGCGAGAAGGGGAAGTGATTTACTTTATCGATAGACATAAAACAATTTGGCTGCCTCTCAATGACAGTTCTCGGTCCCCAGTCCTCGTCCTCGTCCTCAAACTCGTCCTCATCCTTCCTTCCTGCGCTTCCACCCTAACATCTGTCATTTGTGTGTGCGCACATATCTTCGATTCCCTTTGTTTGGGTTTCTGGTTGAATTTTATAAGGTATAAAAATTACATGTGCCTTTATCTCGTCGCCCCGAACCTTTGCCAAATCCTTGAAGAGGAAATTGCCCTAAAACTTTCGTTCTTTCATTTTTTACAATCTGATTTTACACCAAGAAAAAGGTTTTAATTGTGTTTTATCAAATTAAATGAAAACTATTTTATGTAATAATATCTTATTTAGCATATATATTAATCTATATAAATATGAAGTTGGAGAAATAAGAAAGTTCATTTTTTTACTGTAAACTTATACATTTTTTCTAGGCCTGTATAGTCGCCTATATTTCTTTTACTTTCTTTGCATCTCTTTCTATTTTCCACCTTGTTCACTTTTGCATACAAAATGAAAACAGGACTACCCTGCACTTCCTTCCTGCTCCTGTTGTTCCTGCCCAGAACCTGGTCGTTCTCGGTCCTAACTGTTGCTGATTTATGGTCTGACATAAGATGGGGGACTCTCCTAGAAGGGAGGCGATGTTGGATGACTGTTTAGTTTGCATGTTGTTCCGCTTCTCTTCCCTTCAACTTTTACGTTCGGTGCCTTTGTAGCATTAGAATGACATAATAAAATGTATAATTTCGACATAAAAAATAAAATCCCCAGAGAGATTTCTTTGGGCCCGAGGCTTCTGGGTTCTATTCTGACTTCAGCTATCTCTCACACTTTCACCCTCTCGCACATACCGCACTTTGATTGCCGACTATACGTGTGGCATATCAATTAGGTGTGTGGGTCAATAGTTTAAGTGGGCCAATGATGGAGGTGAAAGGGCGAGGCAACCCAATGATGGATCTCACATCATGGCATGATGCCCAAAAAAGGATTATGTTTCAGCCTTTTTGAGTGGTCATCTGAATCGTCAGAGTGGTATATGTGTAACCCAGATATCAACGAGTACACATACTTTGAATGTGAACCTGTAAAATACTAAAGAAAAACTGTTGTTTATCCCAATATGCCTCAATATTATTGATCACACTAACGGAATTCATTAGCCATTCTTACCTCCAGCGACTTAGTTGTAAATCAGTTAAGGAATGACAACTCAATAATTCGATTTATATCACCTTTAAATCATGCATAAGGCAAATTGTCCCATCAGCCAATCCGTATAAGTGGGCTTCTTAAGCAGACTATTTTATACACACACAAACACATAGACTTATCCCCTCCTTGGCAACCACTTAGCTATTCATAACTGGCACACACAGCCAGACAAATTTTAATAATTCAACTCTATAATGTGGACGCAGCGGAGGAAATTCGCTTTTTGGCCAATGCCAAAGGCAGCGAATGATAGAAAGTCGGCCAAAAAGGGGGCGACCGAAATGCAATAGAATGCGGACAGCCAAGTGGGTGGTTTTTGGGTTGGTTGGATGGTTGGGTGGCTGGTTGGTTGGGGAAACCCACAAAAACCCAAAACTTGTGCGCGTGTGTGTCTGAGTGCCGTACACCCTATAGCACATTTTTCCCAACAAGGTGGGAAAAACCATGCAGAGGGAGACACAAAGTGCAGTCGGAAGGGGGATGAGCTGGGGTAAACCGCGCTCTAGACACACATTAAAATTTCAATTTTGGAGAAATTAAAATTTTATCAGTTTGTTGAGAGTGTCGCACACGTTTCGTGCGCTTGTTGTTTTTGAGTTCTCATTCTGAAACCCCACATATATCCCAACTAATATACGGGCAGACAAAAGTCATAAAATGACCAACAACTCGAACGCTAAATTGTACATGTTAGATCAGAACCTATTAAGGCCATGCTTATACAGTGAATATGTAATTCTTTAGATAAAATTCAGTAAAATTCTCTTTAAACTATATCAAGGATAAACTAATTGGGGTGAAAGAAGACTCCTTGTTGATTATAACCGAAGACGAAAACTAAAATGTTCTGTAAACACACCCTTTTACATTCAAGTTCTTCCGCCTGGCGAATTTTCGGGCATCAAATGAGGGGCTCAAGAGTTTTAGGGACCTATAAAGCCCAACTTAAAACCCCTTTTCCGCCCAGGAGGAAGTGGTCTAAAGAAATCTGTTATGGTTAAACTTTCGAATGAAAAAATACCAAGTTTTCGACAAATTGCAGCGAAAAGTGCACAATGGTTTAGCCATGGGGAAACAGTGCGTGGCGACGCCGGCAAAATGTACAACAAAACCCGAAACACGGAGAGAAGAGAGACTATAGTGGAATTTTCCGACTACATGATACGCTGTCTTCAGTTCTGTAGATTTATAATTGGGGATGTAAGTGTTACTACAAAGGAAATCTAATAATGAAGATGCCATTTTAGTTTTATAATACGTTTTGTTCTAGTAAAGTAATAATTTCTGTATAAATATACCTGTAGTAGGTAGTAGTAGATTTAAGATACATTTATATCTTTACATTAACAGACTAGACTTTTTATTATATAAATATATATTTTTAAGTCCTTGTCTGACCTCTCAGATTCGAAGAATTCAACATACCCTTATCCACTCCTTAAGAAAAGCGGGCATGAAAAACTTAGATTTTTCTACTTTTCCTCAAGGTGGGACAACAGCCGACAGCGGAAAGGAGGGTGCGGTGGCGCAGAGAAGGTGGATTTTCATCCAACAGTCGTCTCTGTTGGTAGAAAAGAGCAGGCCAAGAAAACCCGCAAAACTTGGCAGCGCTCTCTCGCTCTGTTTATTGCATGGCGCTAAAAGCAACTGGGGACCGTTTTTTCCTCTTCTTTTTGAGTTTTTTTTTTTTGGTGGCACTGCTCTTTATACGTATCTATTATATAGATGTGGATGTGCATGTGCTTGTTTGCCTGTTGGTTTGTTTGTTTGTTTGTTTGTCTGTTAGTCTGCCTGTGTGTGCGCAGTAAATGTGGGCGTACAATTTTCAATTATACATTTTAGTGGCCGCCGCAGCTCATTGACAATAAAAAATGAGAAAATGAGGCAAAGAACCAGAACCGGAAAGAAAAGGGGTCGCTCTGCAGAAATGAGAAAAGTTTTAGGAGATCCGATTTGATGTCGTGTGCGTAGCATTTGGTTTATTGTGAATGACGGACAATGGCGAAATGTCCAGAGATTAAACTTGGTCTTGGTACAATTTATTGGGACCTTAAACTTATTGGGTTTATTTTAAGAGACTTGGTTCGCAGTTATGAAGGCCTTAAGCTTGTTTTATACCTTTTTCGACCCTTTTTTACGTTGACACAAAATTTGCCAGGAACCTTTTCCTTCGCAGAATATGTATGGGTAAGAATAAACCTTTTTAACACAAAAAAAAACCATAATTTCTTTTTTAATACCTGATTTAGAATATGGCCAACCTAATGATATATTATCTTTGAGGTATTTATCAAATCTAGCCTTATTATATTTATCATAAGTAGGTCAAAGGATCAACTTACCGTGGTTTAGTTAGTTTTTTCATATGTATATCCATATGGGGATCCTGATCCAAATCGTTGCTGGTGCTGCAATTCTGGTTTGTTGACTCATAGAAGGGAATCCCTCCGCCCTAAAGGGGCGTTGAGTTGATCCAAGGCCTCTGGACTTTGTTGCAGGGAAAACTGCGTATCCTTGTTTCTTCCCCACGTGATATCCGACTCCTTGGGGTATACTTGTTGACTTTTGTTGGTGTTGGTTTTGCGGGATGCTTAAGTTGGCGATGTTTCCTGGGCACCGCATTAGTTGTTGTTATATTTGTTGCTATTGGCAGGTTGCTAGCGTTGTTTAAATTTCAATTTTAACAGTTAACAATTTACTGAATTATTATTATTATTGATAATATTGCTCGATTCGCTGTTTGTTGAGGTTGTTGTTGTTGGTTTACATAGTTTTTTATTCTTGTTTGGTTTGTGTGGTGTTGTTGTTGTTGTTGTTGATGTTTTAATTAAGCACTTGGGGCGCAAATATAAAATTTGTTATTCATCGCTTAAAACTACGAATAATAGGATAATTTGATTTTAATATTGGAAATTTCTTATAATTCTCATATGAATTAATATTTAGAATAATTTGTTGTAATTTGCACTTGACTTTTTTGTTTTCTTTTTTTTTTTTTAATTTTTCCTTTGCTATTCGCTTATCATTCAATATATATGCTTGTCTATTAACCGATAAAGTAATTCTCTTAAAGTAACTGCGTTTGTTGATTCTGAAGCTGCTTAACTTTGCGGATTGTAAAAATTGTTGGCTTTTTTGATGGATGTAAGAAATATATATATATATATATATTTATATGGTATATATGTTGGCGTAGCTGTAATATCGCTTGGCTACATTAAGATTTGATTGCACCGTTAGAATATAACGCACTTTTTCCACGATTCTCGATCGTTCTTTCGTTTCCCGTTTGGGCTTTTAATTCCCTTTGACCGGTTCTTGTATATATATGTATGTATGTTGTAAGTGCTATGGCTATGTATATGCATATGTATATAATGCGTGTATATATAATAACTATTGGAAGGCGTACTTGTTAGGCTTGCTAAGTTCTGTTCAAAATGTTTACGCGTTTGTTAAAGCTAATGGCTACGATTTCATTAATGCAAGTGTATTAATAATTTGTATTCATTTACTAAATGTTGAACTTTTTACTTTCGCGTTTTTCTTTAATATATTATTTATTATTGCTTGTATTTGAGGCGATTTTAATAATAATTGTTGGCTGCAAATATGAAATTAGTTAAATGGGATATTTTTTTCGACAATGTGTCCAAAAGTTCGTCATATATGTATGTACATACATAATATTTATTTAACCATGAGGGTTAATCTGCAGTTCGGTTTTAATGGAAAATTGGAATACCCTATTAACCCCCCTTCTATTTCAGGAAATATTCTTCCAGCTGCAAAAACAAAATGCCCACAAAAGAAAACCACACGCAAGGACACACACACACTTAGTCATAGGTAATCGGTCGCGCGCTCTTCCTCTCTTTCTCTCTTTTGCTCTCCCAGCAACAGCTGTTGATCGCAATTGCAGCAAGCCACACATACACAAACATACTGATGCACTGATTACATATGCACATATAAATGTTGATGGAAGAACAGCAGGTGTTAAATATAAAATCAAAAATGTAGCGTACATAATGTCATAAAGACGCCAGATGAGCGAGAATATTATTGCAATGTGTCTGCTTCTCATTCATTCACTAGTTGTTGTGTTTGTTGTTATTGGAAGAAGAACCGAAGCAAAGGGCAACGCACCGCTTCAAAAAAAGATTTTTCCTTTCCTTTTTGGCGTTGCTTTTGCCTAACAACACATCAACGATGAATAAGAAGAAGACGACCGTTCCGTTAGCTAAAGTAAGGCGAGAGAGTGAGCGTGCGATCGAGCGGGTAGAGAGCGAGCGCGAGTGAGAGAGCAAGAAAATCACACAGTCCAGGTCCAAAAGTGCCGTTTGAAAAAATTGACAATAAAAAATGCGCATTTCACTTTTTTTGTGCTCTCCTCTTTTTTAGGTCTCTTCTGTTCCGTTTTCGAACAGTTTGTTGTTTTTTGTTTGTTTGCGAAAGCGAATTTGTTGTTGTATTTGTATTTGATCTGTTGATTTCCACTTGATTTGCATTGGAAATTTCGTTAGCGAGCGAGCGAGACAGAGCTGGGGAAGGGGATGAGAGGGGAACAGCCCATGTGCTCCAATTTTTTTTTTAATTTGCACTCTTCACTTTTTAGACTTACGTTTTTTAAATTAAGATTACATTGGCTTTGGATTTGGGATTTTGATTTTACTTTTGCTTTTGCCTTTTCTTTTTGCTTTTTCCTTTGAACTTTGCACACAGAAAAAACAATTATTGCACACACAAACTTCTCATAAATGAATATAATAGATGGCAAGCAATTTTATTGAAATTTAATTAAATATTTTCGTTTGGGCGGCCCGATTTGTATTTTTCTTATTTATTTTTATTTTTACAAATATTTTTTTTAGCTTATTTCGGTTTTCATTTTTATCCGTCACGACAACGGCGCCGATTTTGTGTTCGACCGGCTGCGATATCCGTATAGCTTTACCGTTATATTCGACGTTTCTTTACATTTTTACGATTTTGCTAACAGACAACCAAAATAATGTATGAGAGAGTGGTTGAAATGAGTTCGAAGGTTTGAAGCGACTCTCCTATTTTGTGGAATTCAAAGTGCAATAGTACCTATTGGATTTCAAAATGTTAGGATATGTTTAGAATACTATTTTTTTTTTTAGATATGGTTCTCAGTGAGCTTGTTGGTTCTCCCATTATTTTCGCATATTTTGACCGGCTGCTGAATCCATTTACACAGCCCTACCGTTACTACTTGGCGTTTTGCTTGCTTCGAACAAAATGCAACTCAAACCAAACTGGGAGAGCTGCTTCAAGCCATCAAACACAATCGAACCACTCTCTCAAACACTATTTTGTTGTCCCTGTTAGCAAGCTGTTAACATTTATTTTGCTATTGAAACATTTCGAATTAACAATGCCAAAGATCGTGTTTAGTTTTATTTGATTAATTGATTATGGAAAATCGTTTAATCAAATTGTAACAAAATATGAATGAATTTCGACACAGAGCGGGCCAGAGAGTGCATATTGGGTACATTGGAATTCGAATTCGAGACCGTGCCAGTAACAAAAGAAAATACACTCTCTTAGCCTTTTTCTTCTTCTTATTGGCAATTGCCTTTTGTTTGGTTTGTTTTGTAATTTGACTTCATGAATCAATTTTAATGACGTCGTCACTTCATTTTAATAACAAAAGCAAAAGGAACGCCCGAGTGAGATTAAAAAGTTTATGGGTAGGAAGTAATACAGTGTATATATTCAAGTGGAATCCTTTAAATTTCGAAAATTTTCTATATAAATTAAATAAACGTTAATATTAAACAAACGCAGACTAGTCCCAGGAGCACTCACCCCGCACCAAGATTCCGGAAACTTTTGACCTTTTTATCTGCTAATTATTGTAATTTATTGGATTTTTGAGCAATAACTGTTTTTTATCTATTATTGTTTCGATTTTCCATTAGTATGTTAATTTTAAAAGGATTTTACGAATCAGCAAATAAGGAAACACATTAAATATATACCAATTGTTAGGTATTTTAAGGTTATCATTTAGGAAGTTCTCACCACATGAAAAAGAAATAGTGACCGCATAGAAAGTTTTACTCCAAATGCGGACGTGATTGAAGTCATTCTTCTTTTTGAAGAAATGTTCAAATTGAACGTTTTTTAATTAGGTTTTTAATCTTTGATTTATGTATTGATTATGACTTTTTTTTTCTCCATTTCATTGTTATTCCGTCAAACAAAATGAAAACATAAATTCACGGGATTATTCTGATGTCTAGGTCACATTTATTGTCGAAGAAACTCCAAATTTGTGAGTATTTCGAATTTTTAATTATTTCCAATGGCTGCGCGAATGGACTATTGGAATGTCGGCTTTCAAACAATTAACAATTGTTCTTATCAGAATCGCTGGAGGTGTTTGTGTGCGACTCTCGCTCTCTCCTCTTTGCTATTTCCCCTTTCTATAGCATTCGCATTCTCTTTTTGGGGTTTTTCTACAGGCCTTTCACCCTTTTTTTATGAACTCAAATCTGATTAATAAATACACAATTATAGCGAATTTTTTAGAGGTTTTACCTAGACTTTTTAAGGCAAACACCTACATATATAATAGATAAAAACAAAAGGCTAGCAAACCCAAACACACACGCACATACAGTGGCGAAAAGAGCGCGCGCGAGAGAGAAAGAGAGAGAGAGTGGCGGCATTGTCCGTCTGGCATTTTGACGTTTATTACTTTGCCTTTATTGTTGTTGTTGCTGCCTTTGCTTTGCCTCTTTTTTGCTGCCTTTGCGCGCGAATTCGCTGCGCATAGCAAATTAAAATTAAAAGTTTGCAAGAGCGAGAGAGAGCAACAAAAAAGCAGGGAAAATATCAAAATTAATTTCTTTTCGGCGTGGCGGGAGAGAGAGTGAGTGAGAAAGAGAAAAAAGAGCGCGACATGACGAACTTTTGACACATTTTGTTTATAACAATTGTATCTATTTTGCACTTACCTCTTCTTCCTTTTCTTTAATTGTTTCTCTCTGCTGGTGAATACAACTCAAAATTGTTTTGTGTGCGAAATCAGAAATGTTTAAACATTATTTAACACAAATACGTTCACACACACACACACGCACACACATATAGCCATGGGCTGTAGTAATTTGTTGTTGTTGCGGTGGTGGTGGTGATAAAGCCTTGCCGTTGTTGTTGCTGTTTGCCGATTTCTGCTCTCCTCGCATTAAATATGTTTAGTTTCCATTACTGTTTGTTGTTGTTGTGTGGTATTAATAAAAAACGTACGCGAACTGCAGTCAAAGTCACTTACACACACAAACACACGCGCACTCACGGCATACGGCACACACAAACGCACGGACGCACACACACAGCAACTAGTAATTCTGCTGTGCGAAAGAGATAAAATGAGAGCGCTTACGAAAAAAAATGTTTGTGTAAGTTTCCCCGAAAACGCGATTTCATCCGGAAAAATTCACTGCGCTCGCATTCGGCGCCGCCGCGTTAGCCACTTAATCAAATAATTGTTTCCGTTTCCTTTGCATTGTTTTTAGTTGAGGTTTTTAAACGAAATTTAGTTGCGTGTTTTGTGTTGGTGCAGAGAGAGCAGGAAAATACACATATCGTTATCGATGGCAGGCTATCGATATGGCAACTATCGCCCAGCTGATTGACGGGCCATCAGCTGAGCGGCGATGTGACCAGTACTATTCAATATCGGAACTAACTTTTTTAAAAATAATTTTCCTGTTTTCACCTGGTAAACAAGTACTTCTCCCATTAACATTTTAAACAAAGATAGTAACTTCAGTCCCTTTATGAGCAAACTGAAATTTTAAGTATATATTGTAAGAACAGTCCCTAAAATTGTTATACAACACTGTTTTTTTCGTTAGTTTTTTTTTGGTAAATTTAATTTATCTTACTCTTTTGTAAACTCATAAAATTTGCTTGTATTTTGAAAATTCCACAAACCAATAAAATCATAAAAGAAATATTAATGCACCACGATTTTATTATAACATAAATAATATCTGATCTTTATTATATAATTTTGGGGATTTTTGTTCATATCTCTTTCTGACTTACGACGAAAATTGAAGAATATGTTTTATAATTTGTGGTAAGAAATCACTGACATGATGAAATTATTAAAATAAAGTATAAGTCATAGAGATAAGAATCTATCTATTGAAAATCTATCTATTGATTGTAAAACGACTTAACAATTTTTATTCTTTCCCATTTGATGAAGACCACTTACCCTACGAATAAATTCAGATAAAACTACATTTTTCTTACCGGATTAACTATAAACATTACATTATCTTATTATAAAATAAACAATTTAATTTCTTAATCATCGCTTGGCAGCCCTGAAATTACCCCCAGTGTGCCCGCATTCAACTGATAACGTATATTCCGCGAACAGCTGATAGGGATGCATAATATAAATGAGCAGGTGGTAAATGAATGTTTTTAGTTTATTTTAAGACGCCATTTCGATCGAAAGCGTCCGCTTGCTCTCGCAGTATTGTATTTAGAGTGAAAGGCGCGGCCATTAGATTAGATCGACATTAGTGCGTTCCGATCGCAGATCGCAGTAATAGTAGGAGAAGTAAACAAACACTCGCGTATTTACATAATTAAGATCAAATTAACATCGACAACATGACGAACACCGATGTGCGAAAGAGAAAAGTAAGCCAAAGGTTAAAAGGGTAATCAAAGCACACATTTAATGCCAATTTCATGGCGCTCACACACATACTTCTTCACACATCAATTGTTGCTTTTTGACGCGGAAGTAAAACATCAAATGACTCGCAGAAAAATTGTTTCAAGTTCTATTGGATTGTGCCAATTTTTATTTAAAATTGTGTTTTACAAGATATTTTTAAATATAAACGGGGCAAATGCCAAGCAGGTTTTCACCAATATTATGCAAATTTAATTTGATTAGGAAATACAGCAATGCTCTCTCTTGTGCCTCTTTTGTATTTTAGTTTTCATTTTTTAATTAAGAGCCGGCCGGTTTTTTTTAAATACTTTTGTAGGGTGGCCAGGCTTTGCGAGTTTCTTATTTGCAAGGTCATTTAAGGTGCTGCTAAAAAACTACAGAAAACGCCAACAATTGAGTTGGCACCCGTTAGACAACTTTTTCAATTGCTTTCTCAGAACCCGAACCTCACAGATCGTAGATTGTAGATACAGATACACATGCCGAATTTGGGGGCGATTGGATAGTTTGATGTACATCGCATGTGGGCGGATAACAGGATGGGACAAAACCGGAACAGGCTGCAAGTAAGTGCAGAAGTGCAAGAATGCGAACGTGGCCTTAACCCTCGTGGGTACACGTTCTTAATACTTTGTACCTTAGTACCCAGCCTATAATAAAAGGATACATAGATCTACACTCATTTCTCAAAATGTCATAGAATGTTAAAGATAAGAACCCAGAATAACTACCTGCATAAACGAAGGTCTGTTGCCGATATTTTACTGCCTCTTTCGTTTGGTTTGGTGGTACCATTTTTCAAAAATTTTTAAAAACATTTTATAACAAAAACGTAACGCATTTATCAATACGATTTTCATGAAAATTATGTTTAACTGGTTGTTTTTCTTGTTTTTGTATTTTAATTATGAGATGGGCGAGTTCGATTTTAAAATTGGTTTTCCCGAATCTGCTTTCAGCTGATGATATTTATTACCAGGCAGTGAAATAAAATTATCAGGTTAGCTGTTATCGTACAGAGCCGATAAAATCATTCCCAAATATGAATATGCATTTTTGATAAGCCCTGAAAAGCATTTCTTACTCATAACTGATCGGCATAAACGCCGTCCACGTCCCTACATATAAATTATCAATTGATTTATTGATTACAGTAGCGTGCGCCTCGCAACATATGCGATAAGTTCACACTGGGAATGTTAAATGAGTGCTAGCCTTTTAATAGTTTTAATTATTCTGTCGGTGTAACTACTATGAGATTCTTTGTTAGTTAACTATATATTTATGTATATATATTCGATCTGTCAACTCCATTACTGCTAAACCAAATACACTAGTTATTCATAGTTTGTTTGACTTTTTCATTGCCTTTAGCTATTTTTGCGTCAGTCACTTACCAATAAGCGAATAACATTTGTTTAAACAATGGGAATTTCGTCAGGTTTTGTTTGCAGCCCCTACGGCAACTTTAATATTTAATCAAGCCAAAAGATCGCTTTGTGTCCCCACTTATGTATCGTTGTTGCTAGTGGTGCCCAGACATGCCTGTTGTCGCCAAAACTGATTGCGTCTTATCATTGTCATATCGCCAGAAGGTTACGTGATAAGATGCCGTCCAGATTCTAGGTAACTGGCCACTGGTGTGCATGTATTTCACAGCGAAAATGTGTAATTTGGCATGACTTTGAACTTTGTGAAGGCTCGATTTGCCTCATTAGATAAAGGTGTTAAATAATTAAAAACAGCAATATATATTTAATTTATGCATATACAGTGGTTTAAAAAAACATACAAATCAATAATACGGTCTATTTTGTTTGGGCTGCAATACAGGTATTTTTATTGCTCTGTCGTTGACAATTTTAGTCAAATATTTTAGAGGCAGTAAAAATATAAAAATAAACAAAACCTAATAAAATAAAAACTATATTTTCTATTTAAAAAGCCGTGAAATCACAAGTTTCAAACGTAACCGTTTTCTTTTTACCGTTTACCGTTGTTAAATATGCGTTGCATCCCTGGCTAACGTTATCGACGATGAGCTTAACACTGCAGCCCTGGCCCATGTGAAAGATAAAGACCCATAATAGAATGAAAAAAGCAAAAAATGAAAACAGAATCATTGACATTTTAAGAGATAGCAAATAGACAGCGTGTTAATATTTGAGGAGCAAACAACTGAAATGTGTTCCAACAAAAAAACCGGCTATGCATAAATGTTGTGGTAGCAGAGGGAACGGAACGAGCCATGAAATACGAATATAAGCTGGTAGACCCAAATAACTTAGTCCACGATATCTATTAAATAACTCATTTCTCAGCCAAGTCTAACTCATGTAAATTTTCAGCTGGCCACGGACGAGAAACCGCCTCGGCGGAAAAGCAGTGGATCCCCAAATGCCGGCAGTGGTGGAAGTCGCGGTCCCAGCGGCCTTAAAATCTCCTTCTTGTGTCTGGTCGTCTCCGTCATCCTGCTGCTCTTTGTGTTTGGTGTGTATCATTTGTATTATGTAAAAGATGAAGTCCCCAAAGTTGTACTAACAAAACCTGATTTTCCCACTGTTACTGTGCGCTACGCCAACGTGGAACCCCATTTTCCCCCTCCTGTTCGCGGTGTTGTCACTAAAAAACCAACAAACAAAAATCCAACCACTGGTGATGATGCAGGCTTTGTCTCCGAGAATGCCAGCCCTTATTTGGCCCGTCTGGCCTCCAAGTTTGGTTACAGCAAGGTGCAATATGCTGCCATCATCGATGCAGGATCCACGGGCAGCCGTGTGCTGGCCTACAAGTTCAATCGCAGTTTTATCGACAACAAACTGGTGCTGTACGAGGAGCTGTTCAAGGAGCGCAAGCCGGGTTTGAGCTCCTTTGCTGATAATCCCGCTGAGGGTGCCCACTCCATCAAATTGCTGCTGGATGAGGCCCGAGCCTTTATACCCAAGGAGCACTGGTCGTCCACACCGTTGGTTCTGAAGGCTACGGCCGGTTTGCGTCTTCTACCCGCCAGCAAAGCAGAAAATATTCTAAATGCCGTCCGAGATCTCTTTGCCAAGTCCGAGTTTAGTGTGGATATGGATGCCGTGGAAATCATGGATGGTACGGACGAGGGCATCTTCAGTTGGTTCACCGTAAACTTCCTGTTGGGCCGCCTTTCAAAGACCAATCAGGCAGCTGCCCTGGACTTGGGTGGTGGCAGCACTCAGGTAACTTTTTCGCCAACGGATCCGGAACAGGTTCCAGTGTACGATAAGTACATGCACGAGGTGGTAACCTCCAGCAAAAAGATCAATGTGTTCACGCACAGTTATCTGGGTCTCGGACTGATGGCAGCCCGTCATGCCGTCTTTACGCATGGCTACAAGAAGGAGGATAATGTGCTGGAGAGTGTCTGCGTTAATCCCATAATCGCCAATCGTACGTGGACGTACGGAAATGTGCAATACAAGGTCAGTGGTAAGGAGAACGGCAAGTCCAGTGCCGAGCAACCCATTGTAGACTTTGATGCCTGTTTGGAGTTGGTCAAGAGCAAGGTGATGCCTCTGGTCAAGCCCAAGCCTTTCACCCTCAAGCAACATGCAGTGGCTGCGTTCAGCTACTACTTTGAGCGTGCCATCGAGTCGGGTCTAGTGGATCCGTTGGCTGGCGGCGAGACCACTGTGGAGGCTTATCGCAAGAAGGCCCAAGAAATCTGCGCCATCCCCAACGACGAGCAGCCCTTCATGTGCTTTGACCTCACATTTATCTCAACTCTGCTGCGCGAAGGATTTGGCCTCAACGACGGCAAGAAAATTAAGGTAAGTCCGTGGCTCAAGGAGTATATATTAATCTGTATTTAAACTTATTAACCTTTCAGCTTTACAAGAAGATAGATGGCCACGAAATCTCCTGGGCCTTGGGCTGTGCATATAATGTTCTGACTAGCGATGAAAAATTCAGTAATTCCTAATGCTCCTCCATTAGTCCGTAGTTGATGAAGTAAATTTTAAAAAGATTGTTAGCTGAAATTGTTTATAGAGTGCCTTAGACGTGCATCGAGTATACTACAATCACAAAAAACCACACTCACAAGACACCAACACCCAAAAACACTCGGACATTGCCTACATATGTGGTCGATTAATATTTGTTTGTGCTCTGTAAAATTCGTTTCAATTGGCTCTAATTGAAGCTATCCCACACGGTGACTACACTTAGCGCTTAGTTTGTAATTCCAATTTTGTGTGATTTCCCATTTGAGTAATGCAATTTTTTGCCAAGTTCTTAACTATTTAGTCTATACACAGGTATCCTCATGTACATAAATTTACACATTGATATGTATTTACCTAATATCTTTAACGTCCTAGACTATTAGCGCAAACATTTCAATTTGTTTTTCACATATGCAAATGTTAGTTTAATTATTTTTGCAAATAAATCAAATGTTAACTTATCTAATGGTGATTTATTTAAATAATCAGAAGCGAGGGCTTACAGTTATAAAATAAAATATTTATTTTATCCCGAGTTTTATTCATTATACAAAATATATAAATAAAACTTTCGAGAGAATACATCATATCTAAATGCACAACGAAATTAAAGTGAAACGGGCATCGAGTATGATTAATATATCATGTGGTGGAATTTTGGTCTTTTTACAAATAAAACTAACTGAGGCTAGTGTGGAGATACGGTACAGGTCTGTTCTTTTAAATATTGGCTAGAACTGATGTTCAGGAATCGTCTTACGGTCTTGGCAATCGTTGTGGTTTGACTCCTAGTCGATCGATGATATATTGTGGCATGCAAAGTGTTGGGTTTATGGCCTTCAGGCCGGAATGTCCCAGCAGCGATAGGCCGCCGATGCCGAAGAGTGTGTGGAATATATCAGGCATGTTGCCCGTCCGATCGGAAAAGCCACCTGTCTCACTGTCCTGGCAGGACAAAATAAACTGCTGCAGCTTCTCGGAGCTGATCCAGTGCAGACGGCCCATGATGGTGAGCGAAGCGAGCACCCACCACGAGTAGCACACATCCGGGAGCTTCTCTGGTCGTCCGTTCAGTCCACCAGATGGCAACTGGCGCTCACAAAGCCACCAGCCTAATTTGTCCACATCCAGTAGGTGAAGGCGATGGGTCAGCGAGAAAAAGCCAACGCAGCAGTAAATAAGGCCTAAGGGATTACGAATAAGTTTAATAAAAATGTAATCCAAGAAAACACGTAGACGGATAGAGTGTTATTTACATGGCAAAAAACATTGAAATGACAATATTGTAAGACTGCCAAGTTTGTTTGTTTTTCATTATAGAAAAGATTAATCAATTTAAATTAAAGTGATGGCCATTGTTAGGTGACTCACCCGCATGCGACTCTGCACCCGGTTTGGAACCGAATCCCCCATCCGTTTGGTTGCAGCACGACAGTACGAACTTGACCGCCTTTTCCACGTCAATAGTCTGCTCCATTCGTCCGATGAGAGTAAGAGTGGCCACTGCACAGAAGCTAAATCTAGTGTCCACCTCGCCCCACTTATCGCCAAAGAAACTGCCATCGGGTTGCTGCAATCCTACGACGAATCTCACCACCGCCTCGCAGTCGATCTCCTCCAGGGCATCATAGGTGCACAGGATCTGGATGGCCGACAGGGTGTAAAGCAAATGTGGATCATGTCCCTCGCAGGGGGAGAATCCCCCAGTTGTCAGGCACTGACAGCGCTTAACAAACTCGATGATGTACTTTCGCTCAAGTCGATCCAACTGGCCCATTATGTCCAGGGCCGTAGTGCCCCAATAGATGCCCGACATTCGCAGAAACTCGGTCATGCAGTACTCGTAGTCGTCCTCCTGCTTTCCGTGATTCTCGATGTACTCCACATGTTTCCAGAACTGAAGTTTCTGGCTATTCTCATCACCACCACCGCCACTTTCGCCGTTTGAAGGCTTTACGAAGGTCGTGAAGTCCATCGCTGATTGTTCTCAATTGAATCGGATGGGAGAGATCCTCTTGCGCACAGTACTACGCTTGATTAACTGAATTAATTGGCAGGAATATTTCTACGAAAAACAAATAACCAAGGCAGTCCAATCAACCGCAGCTGATTCATCTGCGTGATGGTTGGCAACGCTGTAGTGGCTTATCAAACAGCTGATCGGTGAAAAGGCGTAAGCAATGGGGTTTCTTTCTTTGAGTAAATAAATCCAAAGAAATCTTTAATTTTTAGACATACATATCTATTAGTAATTAGACTTTTCAGTACTTTATGCTCACGAAAAATTACATTAATAAATTAACCCTAATTTCACCTATAATATAGGTAATTTTGAATGCAAAAAATATATATTTCTATAGCTTTATTAACATAAAATAATCTGGACGCAGACTGAGAGCTATTGCACCAGAAGACTAGACTGTGGATCTGGATCGTCAATGTTAAGGGATACAATGTGCTTGCCGGGCACCATGACATTTCCCAAGAGGCGGGGCTCTTGGCCTTCTACTAGGTACTCGGCGCACATGGACAGCACGATGTTGGCATCCCGATCCGTGCAGTTGAAGAATCCCACGAGGACGCGTCCATCGGTTATTACAATACGGAGAACACGACCCAACCATTTCTGAAGCTTTCTCCTTCCAGGCGTCAAAGTGACATCGTTCATCTGGTGTGGGGCGTTCGTTGTGATCCTGAAGGGTTCCGGCATCGTGGGTGGCGGTGGTGGTGGAGGTAGCACCTGCTGTCCACTGATGCTTAGATCTGTCATCGGTTGGTCCTCGGCGATAGATCAAAATATTAACGAGGAATTTTTTTCTTTAGGTTTACTTGAGTTTACTGTGTTTGATTGTAAGTTTGTGTGGCTTGTAATAACCAGGGTTGCAAGGAGATGATAATGGCTCAGCGAACTGGTTCCCTTTTACGAATAAACAATTTTAAAAATTACCAAAAATTTATATATCATAAAAAATACTATTAGTGCGTGAAATATAAATGGAAAATGTGAAGACTTATCAAAAAGAGAATTAAATAATAATATAATTTGAATGAATATTTAACAAGGAAATGAGGCTCAGTATTTGATTCATCCCTTGTGCATAGCTCAAATACCAAACGGTTACTCTGCACAATCAGCTGATTTCAATTTTGCGGCAATTTTGTTTCTCATATATCTAAAGCTCGTAATCCTCTCCTTCCTTTTTTTCAAAAATTATAAAATGTCCGGAAAAGCTTTGAATATTGGTGATCAGTTTCCAAACTTCTCGGCTGAAACTAGTGTGGGAAAAATTGATTTTTACGATTGGATGGGCGATAGCTGGGCTATTCTTTTCTCCCATCCGGCTGATTTTACGCCCGTCTGCACTACGGAATTATCCCGAGTTGGGGCCTTAGTTCCGGAATTTCTAAAACGTGGAGTCAAGCCGATTGCTTTGTCCTGCGACACCGTGGATTCGCACAAGCGATGGATCGAAGACATTAAAAGCTTTGGAAGTGGGTTCGCTTCGGGTTTTACCATATTATAAGGCTTCTAATGCTTTTCTATTACAGAGCTTAGCAACTTCGATTATCCCATCATTGCGGATGACAAGCGGCAGCTGGCCCTCAAGTTCAACATGCTTGATAAGGATGAGATCAATGATGAGGGTATTCCTCTCACATGTCGCGCTGTTTTCATTGTGGATGACAAGAAGAAGCTTCGTCTTTCCATCCTGTATCCTGCCACAACAGGTCGCAATTTCGAGTGGGTACTCATATATTTTTAATTGTAAATTGTAGGTTATACTTCTCTGGTTTCATGTTTTTATATTGAGCATTATCTTTAACTATTATTTTCCGAATTAACAAATCGTGCACATAAATGTGTAAGTGTATAATTGCTTAATGATATGTAAATACTCAAAAAAGTGACTGTATTGATCTAAATTAACTTTCTTTTACTTTTTAATTCCAGTGAAATCCTCCGAGCTATCGATTCGCTTCATTTGACCCAAACGAAGAGTGTGGCCACGCCTGCAGATTGGCAAAAGGGCGGCAAGTGCATGGTTTTGCCAACTGTCAAAGCCGAAGAAGTGCCAAAGTTGTTTCCCAAAGGCATCGAAACAATTGAAGTTCCCTCCGGAAAGAATTATCTAAGGATCACTCCTCAGCCCTAAGAATGCAACAGCCGTTTTTCAAGTATGATTTATTACAAAAATTATAATTAACAACAAAATAATGCACAATAAAGTATACGCTTACAACCGTATTTTAGCAGGGCGGCGCTTCTAGGGTGCTAAAACTCGCCATCTGCCAGACAAAAGTGTCTAAAACTTTTGACTTACAAACTAAATTATATGGGGGAATGTGACAAAAAAGGTCGCGATTTGTGTGTACAAAATAAATATACATTTAATATACATGTAGACGTTTGTAAAAAAGGTAAAGATATTGCAACTGGATAACCATAAGGTTAGAAAAGTATAAATAAGGCCAACTCTGTACAATAACTAAAGCACTTTCCACGAAGAAAGCTAAAGACCAAGCTAGTGCCCGTAACCAAAGGTAACTGAAAATAAAGTAAGTAAGAATTAATTAATATGACGTCTTAGAAGATAGACAATTTTCTAATCTTTAGCCAGCTTTGTTTAAACTTTTAATTACAAATCCTCTTTACCGATAAGATATATAAACACAAGTGGTAAAAGCACTTTCCCTTGTTTAAATACTGAATGATATTCAACAACCTCAGTTTGCTTAGTGACCATTTCCTTGAATATGTTAATGAAATGCAAATATAAACAATATATCGTGTAAAAGCTTTCGCTGACAAACAGGTTCCCTGTGGTCTTGAAACTTCGCGAGAATTTCTATTGGATATAAATAAGGTATATGCTTTAAAAAAATTTTTTAAATTTCAGCTTCTAAAAAGTAAATGCCTCGGTCATTTAAAAATTAATTTTACTAGCTTCAACTACTACTATATCGTTTATTCAGCGTTCTTAGGGAATGCTCTACAATTTAGATTTTAGATCCTATAGAATATGTACTTACAATTTAACTACCACATATTTCTCCTTCCAAAATTTTAGCTTATTTGCGTCAGTGTCTGCGCTGCGGTGTGGTCTGCAGCATCCGCGCAAAGCGACGCACCAAGAAAGGCCACAGAATAAGGACGGCGAACCAAAGGGGGGAGATGTTTCTGAAGGGCCACCAGGTTGGCAGTGATCGTGTCTGTGAAATCGTTCCCTTCGCTGATTTTTGGCCACTGCGAAGTTCGTTAAGCGACTGCTCCAGGCTACGAACACGCTGCTGCACTGCACCTACATCGGTGTTCATCCGGGAGATGGCCGCCTGTATTTGGCGCAACAGATCAGTATTCTGAGCAATCGCCTGTGTCAGCTCGTGGCTAAGATCGTAGGGATCATCGTACTCATCATCCGAGGGCTCCACAATAGCCACGCTGCTGTTACTCGTATAGTTGTGCGTATCGTGTTGTGTATAGTTTGAGGATTTGGGACCGAATCCATTGGTCAGAGGAGGCGTACTGTGGCCATTTTCCTTAATCGTTTCAGACGAGGCTATTGGGGTTGGAGCAACTTCCACCTCTGCATCGCTATTGCAACTGGATCCGTGCTGCGGACTGTTGGTACGTGAATGGAATGGCGAGTTGGGATGCGATTCGGCCAGTTCCCGCATTCCGGGGGATACCAGCTCCAATTCGTCCAGGCTGATGTTTCCAAGGCCATCGAGGCTACCCACAAAGTTCTGTACATTCTCCGTAAAGGACATGGTCTCAATGATTTCCTGAAGGCTTTCTACGTATCGCTGCATGGCCTGTTCCTTGCTTAAGTGCCGGTTGTCATTCCAGGCATCCCACTTGGCCTTGCCTACGATGTCCCAGAAACCAGGCTTTTTCTGGTCGCAGCCTCCCTCGGTAGCCTGTTTAAACAATCCGTAGAACTTGAGCATCATGCTAGTACTGGGCTGATAGGGACCATTTTTCGGAAGGCCTTTGATAACGTTGACCGCCGCCTGGAAACGCTCCTCAATCGCCGCCATGCCTGCAAGATTATCTTGAGATTAACCACAGTACTCGATCGATAAGATATATACAACTATATTCGGGCGGTGCTAAGTTCACCTTGTCGGGTGAACGTCGCTTACAAATTACCTAATTATTGTGTGCAATCTGCGCTGTTGCAAACCGATTTTCGGGTCCTCTCTTGTTGTTGTCTTTCGTTATTGATTCCGAGCCGAAATCCGCTGCTGGGCATGGGCATTCATAAATTTTTGGCGACGTTTCGGATGCGCTGATGACAAAGTTCGAGTTCTGAAGTCCAGTCTTCTGAGCTTCGATTCGAATCGTATGAAGCTTTTCCCCTTATTCTTATCGACCTCGCAATTATATTGTTGTTCGGTGCGCTCGCCGCTAACGTTCAATTCGAGTTGCAATCAAATAAAACTAAACAAAAACTCGAAAACTCTCTCTGGACATCGCAGAGCGCGTATTTGGGTGTGTGAGTATGTCTGCAGGGCCGCAATAAAAGTATCGATACGTGTGTCGTTATTGATGGGCAGTTAAATATCGACCGGCCTAGCGAGAATCACCATTTTAACAAAATAGTTTCGATTGACCTATTTAAAATTATTTCTATGAATAGTTCTTGAAAAAAATCATAAAAAGCAATTGAAATAAAATTTTGAAAGCTACCGCCGTTTTAATGTCATGTATTCTATATTTCCTTCTAGGAAATAAAAATAAATTTAAACAAGTTTGATTTGGACAAAATTGCGCTAATAATCGCTAAAGTGAATGTTTTCCATCTCTATTTCATCTGTGGTATTTTGCGCTGTTCCCGCATGTGGTCACTCACTTTTTCATTTCGTAAAAATCAGCAATCGAATTAAGTGCTTAATTATTTGCATTATTTTTAAACAACGCAGAGCTTTCCGAAAGCTGTCACCGCAAAGTCCGCGAAGCGCCAGCACTGGCCATATCGAACCACCAATATTGGAGGACAGTAAACCGCTGTAGCACTAGAAATCGAATCAGAAGCAGATTATTTCACAAGAGCTGTGAACTGAGGGCGGAGTGGAGTGTCTGCCAGAGCGGAGAAAAGTGACTTCATTGCAATTAAACATGAAATTTGCTGCAACGACGACCAGAGTACGACATTTTTGTATTATCGCCAAGCAGCAAAATCAGAATCAGCAGACTATATATAAGATTCGCCCGCAACAATCGCGATCGGAGTTGAACAATTGCAAACGGCAAAGACAGTCGTGTAGAATTGCCAAAAATTGGAAACACCAAAGCTTTTGCATAGGTGCGTCCTGATCGGAAATATTTCGAATAAAAATAAAAAATAAACCCATCTCTAAAGAAACTTAAGAAGCAAATTTTCTAACCTAAAGAAATCAAAATCAATAAATCGGAGCAAACACGTGCGTTTTAGTTGCCGCCAAAGCGACGGGTGTGTAGACATTTTCGCCGTCGTGTAGACTTTACCGCCTGTTCTCCATCTTTGGAAAAAAGGACTTTCGGCTACAGAACATCTGTTCTCTTCTGTTCCGTTTTTTTTGTTTCGTTCTTTGTGTTTGAAGCAGCAGGCCACACAATAGAAACCAAAACGTCGTCGACGAGTTTAAACAAAATACGAGAACAACGCAAAAACAACAGCAACATGCCGCGACGCAACAAGAAATCAGCAGCAGGCAAAGGTGAGTCACAAAGAAAAATGTGTGTGGGTGTACACAGAAAGAAAAGCGGTGATACACTTCCAAAGTATATATTTTAAATATTATTATTAGGTGCTTTTAAATTGGGATAAACTGCTAACCCTTTTTTTTTCTACTCTAATAAGTATCAAAATAGAAAAAAAATTTAACTTTATTCCCCTAATAGATTATCATATCATAATTCGATTTTTTGTGAAGATAAGTGCAGGGGAATTTTTACAGATGCTTTCTGCTTGACCTTTGCATTAGTCATTGACAGACCAATAAATACCGTGCACTTTTTTTTGTGTATTTCGTTGGCTTCCAAACGAAGGAAGCTTTGCTGCCTACAACCTGTTTGGCAATACCCTCGAAATGAAATAATTATTTTCGTTTTGTTGCTGTGCTGGCACGAAAAAGCTTCACGCGCTCAGCTGGCTACACCAGTAATCAGAAAAACACTCACACTACAGATAAATATTTGTATATATGTATACAGCTGTTCTCAAAATAATAGAGGAATTTAAATGTTTGGCAAAATGAAACTGAAAAAACGAACCAAATTGTGTTCGCCAAATATTTAGTCCTTAATAGTTAATTACAAAGTATAGCTTTTTTAAAATATTTACAAAATAATATATATTACCTTCAACACAATTTGTCCGCTGCTACTATCTTGAACACACATGTAGATGTATATGTAAATAAATAAATACACACATACATATTCAATTCCTAAAGACATATGTGAACGTTCAATGCCAGCTTATCAGAATCACGCTAACAACAACTATTATGCGGGAATACCTTGGTGGGAGTATCAGAGGGTATGGTTTTGTAGGGCGTGGGGGTTCTTATCAAGACATTTGGATTTATATTTGAATGCTTTCTATTGAATTTTGTTTTGGGGTTTTTGCTTACCCGTACTCTACAAATTATATGAGATTTATTTATTTAAAATGTGTATATTCCATTAAAACATCTTATCCCTTGAAAAACAAATTTCATAAGTAATAGTCAAATTTTAAAGGTATTTGCAATGTGTAGGGTATTTGTTTGGACCACTATTGTATTTCAGAATATTAAATTTAAAAATAATGAGACGGAAGTAGTCTTCTCTTCTGTCTGTACCTTAATGGTGACCTAAATTATGCAACTTTGTGTTATGCATACCTTCTCTCAAATACAGATGGTTCACTCACCCGAATCTAATCCAAACAACTTTCAAACAAAGCCAGCTGTTTTCCACTATTTTTCTTGTTTCTTGCCTGCAGTTACCGCACGCTTTTGTATTTCGCTCGAGCTTTTGTGAAAGGTAAAAAACACGAGGCGGAAACTACCTTGCCCCAAATAGAAAACAGGCGCTGGGAAATCGCCATAATGAAAGTTGTGGTCGTCGACGGGTTTTCCTCGACGCAGTTAGCCAGCAAACAAAGAGAAAGAAAGAAAGAAAGAAAACTTGTTGCACAACATTGGCTCCCAAACTGTTTGTCGTGAAGGTCATTGCTGTGTAGCAAAGCATGTAATTGAATTTCTAATTCGTATGTATATATAGATGTTTGCATCGGAATGAGAACACAACCAAATGAAAATTGCTTGAAGACGGAAAAATTAAGTATACGTATTTCGTTGCCTCATTTTAAATGGTTTGACAAGCACTGATAGGAAAGGTTGGCACGTGTACGAGGTGTTTGCCCTAGAATTTTACTCCATTTAACAAAGAAAACTATGCTTCTAAAATTAGATGATGCGCGAGCCTATAAGAAAATTGTTTCTTAGGTTTCACTGTTTTCCATGTAAACGAAGCTATATAAGTCGGTAATCAATAAATGGACAGAGTTGAAATAACAATTCTTATTTACAAATGAGGAAATTGAACCAAGGAAATGTAAAAAAAAAAAAAACGTTTTTCTTCTTTTAATTCTATACTTATTATCTGTAACATTTTACAGGCCGCACCAATGACTCTAACTCAGAGGACGAGTCCTTTGACAATGTGAGTGTATACTCACATGTCTCCGAAGTTGCATCTTCGGATGCCACTGACGAGTTGGCCAATGAGCGATTCGAGGAGAAGTTTGAAAAGGCCCTGGAACAAGCCACCGAGAAGTCAGTCCAAACCCGTGTCCAGGCCCTCCAAGCGATTTGTGAGCTTCTTATGCACCGCTACATTCCTGACTATGTGGAGGACCGCAAGATGACCATGATGGACTTCGTGGAGAAAAGCATCCGGCGAGGAAAGGGTCAGGAACAGGTGTGGGGGGCTCGTCTCGCCCCCCTCCTGGTGCTCCAAATGGGCGGTGACCAGGGCATCTCCAAGGCGATGAATCAATTTCTATTGAACACCGTTCAGGACAAGTCCGTGGGCTTTGATGCTCGGGCCAAGTGCTGCACAGCTCTCGGGTTACTGAGCTTCTTGGGCTGCGAGGATGTCGGGGAATTGGTGCATCTGATGCAGTGCTTCGAGGCCATCTTTGCCGGCAGCTATTTGCGCGGCGATGACAAGACACCGGTATCGGTTACTGCCGAGGCTGGAACTCTACATGCGGAGGCTCTCAACGCTTGGGGGCTCTTACTCACCCTTATCCCCTCGGGAGACTTTGTTTCGTTGATGACCACTGGCCAGAATATGTTTCCGTAAGTGTTTAAGCAATAAACGAAAACTATATACATAGCAAATAATTATTCCTATTAATAATAAATAACAAATTTTTAGTTCTATTAAAAAATTCTTGGGCTTGTTGCAATCCACACATTTGGATGTCCGCATGGCCGCTGGCGAGACCATTGCTTTGATACTGGAATCGGGCCGTGCCCACGACGAGGATTTCCTTGAAGATGATATTGCTGAACTGTCGGAGGCCGTCAAGCAGCTGGCCACAGATTCGCACAAATATCGTGCTAAGCGCGATCGCAAAGCCCAGCGGGCAACCTTCCGTGATGTTCTGCGCTACCTAGAGGTGAGTAAGATTTATTTATCTGCGTTATATTTAGTATGACTCATTAAGAAGACAGTTTAATATTTTGTGTTACACAAATTTAATCGAAACGAGATGCACAAATATACAGGTGATCACTTCATGTCATTGCAAGTGAACTTAAGCTCGTGCTTGCAGTATTTGGCCAAGCACTTGGAGTGATCGTGCAGTTTGTTGCGCATAATAACGCAACCATTGCGGCTAATCGAGTCCATGTATTCGCTGAAGGTCGGTACCTTTCGGTACGTGGTTGGAGCGGAGCTCCAATGCGAATTGCTGCCGGATTCAATCGTCTGCGAAGAGTCTGAGAAGCTGGTCTTAAACGGCTTGTACGTCTTCTGGCACTCGTCGTTAGACACTTCGTAACCAGCAGACGCTTCCTTCTCAAGTTCGTTCATAACGTTTGAACGGAACTCATTGCAGGGTCCCCGTTCACTCATCAACTTGTTAGCATTCTTGGACTCGTCCTCCGTCTTTAGGCTTTCATAAATACCCTCCGGATACTCGTTCATGGCACAGTAATCGATCTGATAGGTGGTAAACATACGATTGGTCTCCAGCCTGCGGCTTAGCTCCTCCTTTGGCATCACTTTCAGTCTCTCATACAAATCCGGATATACGGTGCGTAGGATCTTTAAGAAGCGGTTTGGCTGCAGTTTGAAGCAATCGGTTTCCGCCGAGAAAGCCATCTTGTCCACTTGATCCTGGGTCAGCTGAGTGGGTATGAGCCGTGGGTCCACCAGCTTACCCATTGGTGCAATGCCTGTCCACTCAACACCACCACAATCCTTGGACGCGCTGGGCGGCATCTTGATTTTGGACTCGTCGACGCACTCACATTCTAGGACTTGCGGACCACTGTGGGCATCGGCGCCCTTGGGCCGTGTGAGGAACTCATATCGTTTGGCATTGGGCGGCACATAATCATGTTGATAGGTTGATAGCATCATCTTGATAGATTTAATTAAAAAATAGCGAAAAAGGAATATGCCAACTTTTTTTTTATTTTATATTTTTAAGGAAATTTTTTAGTACGTAGAATTTGGTCTGCTCTATGTGAAACTAAAACTAAAAGTGATACATTTCCAATATTTATTAAACTAATTATGAATATTTATTCAATGCCTACTTAAATTTAATTTATTTTGCGTATTTATTTCTTGCAGGAGGACATTTCCCCGGAAATCAGCATTCGCTTCGGTACCGAGTCCTTGACACTTGATTCCTGGTCCATACACCATCAGTATTCGGCCTTGTGCACTGTCATGGGTCCTGGAATGACCTTGCAATTGCAGGAGAACGAGGTTATTCGTGAGATATTCCAGCTGGGACCGCGACCCACAAATACCGGTATCAATGGCAACGCCAAGATAAAGCAATCCAAATTGGAGCGAGTAAGTTGATGGAAAAGAAATATATAGATAAAATTTTTAATATTTTACTTTTTGTTACTAGCATCTTGTGAATGCTGCTGCATTCAAGGCACGCTCCATAACCCGTGGAAAGAATCGCGACAAGCGATCGGCCGTCGTCACTTAAATCTATACTCCATCAACTGTTCCCATCCACTGACCACAAAACCATCTCAAAGCCCGTTAGCCAACTCTGGACTTACTAGTTGAATTGTTTCTAATTTTAGCTTGAACCAGGCAAAGCGTCGCCAAAGCTGAAGAACTAAGTCTAAATTTAGGATAATTCAGGATAATCTAACAAAATTCGTCTAGTTTATTACCCACGCGATGGAGCCATTGTTTAAATATTATTAAATATTTATTGCAAACACAGTTTTTGTGTTTAATTAACTGTAATGCAGGCTCCAGCTTGGAAATCATACTTGGTGAATTTTAATTTACACTGCGATTGTTACGACTAGCTTGTATGCTTTTCGATTTGGGTTAACCTCTTATGTTGTTGATCTTTTTTTACATTATTAGTATACAAAAAACACATTTCTGCTTTAATGTTGCTAAAATAGTTTAATGCAAAATAACAAGTTAGTCATAGCTTGACATGGCTTTTATTGTGCATATTGAGTAAGCTATATAATACATATATTTTGTAGTAAATACGTGTAAAATAAACTTTAGGCTTAAACAAAAACTAAATGAAATGTATTATTATTGGGCAGATAATATACACGTCTTTAATTTTCAGAAATGCCAAAGACTTCGACTCTTTGTATATATGGAAATATTTATTGGTAAATTCCATGTCACCCTCTTCAGTTTCAGAAAGCTCGCTATCAGGAGCAAGGCCATAAACTATTTTGATTTGAGTTTTATAAATTGTATTTTATTTGTTTGTTTTATCACAAAAATGTTATGGTAACTTAAGTTATATGTTGGATTTTTGTTTCTTTTGTGGTTTTTGTTTTGTTTTTCTTTGCTTTGACAAATTTTGTGTAGCAACTACAATAAAATGTATATATATATATATATTATATATATTTGTATGTATATATGGGCGTAACTTATTATATAAATAAGAATCTTAAAGAGTTAACTTAAGATTTAATACAAATACAATGTAAAAACTTATTTGCTTAATTTAATATTCGCCAAGTACTCATTTTTGCTTGTTATTGTGTATGCATCCATAGATGAAACCGAATATGAAATGGAGGAAATCAAAATGCTTTCATAAATTAGTTTTAAAAAAAGAAAACTAAAAACTATAGATCAGCCAGCACTGGCTGATTCACTGGTGCATTGAAGCTTTATGTTTTGCTTCTTCGCTCTTCAGGCTACTTGGCAACGCGTTCATAATCATAATCTCAGGATTTTCTCGTTTCTTTCTGTTTCGGTTTTGCAGTTGATACTGACCTACGCTTAAACTACATAATATTTGGCTTCTTTTAATACACTTCGCTTTTGGAAATCGGCATGATAATTTGAGAGACAAAATTGACTCGCTAATCGAAACGCTCTTCGCTACTTTTCTTGCTACTCACTAAGTGTTAAACCTATGTACACAGTTGAGGATAGGGAGGTAGGTGCTAGGACCCGCCCCACGTGTGATGTGTAAACTAATAATTGAGCATTGAGCAAAATCTGTGCAAAACGCATGCTAAACTAGGTAAGTAAGTGATGTGTGTCTCCTTGAGCGATCGTCCCTTAGCATCTTAGGAGGCCGCTCCTGTTCGACCCGCTGCTGCCGAAGTGCTGGCACTGACCTCTTCGCAAATGGTGTGCAGCTTCTCCATCTCCGAGCTGGTCACGATATTAATCGAGCTTACTTTGGCCCGCTGATAGGCCACGACGGTATTCTCGCCGAGACACTTGACGCACACATAGCCAATGAGAACGGCGATGCCGACTGTCATTACTCGTACTAGCGGATCGACGTACATCTGAATGACCACCCATGCGGTGGCTCCGGTCACGCACATCAGGGTGATTAATATAACTGTCTTGGACCAATGCTGGATGGTGAAGCCCTTGTCCCATTCGAGTCTTGAAAAGAGAAAAGAATGATTAGTTAGTTTTTGACTCAAACCTCAAGCAGCCTTATCAGTTATTGTGGTAACTTAGTTTGTCTGATAGCTGAGTCTTAAGTACCCTAATACTTTTTTATTATGAAAAATTCAAAGAAATTCTTCTAGAAGCTAACAAATTTATATCAAGGTGACCCAATTGCTTAGTACTTACTTTTTTGACTTCTCGATCTCGTACGGATGTCCGCAAACCTTGCAGGACAATTGGGCCTCCGAGTTGCTGCAGCTCTCCACCAGCCAGCGCTTGAGGCACTCGTGGTGTACCGAGCTGACATCGCCAGTGCAACGACAGGGTTGGATGAGGGGCTCTGGCTTATCGGTGTCATAGCAAATCCAACAATCCTTCTTGGTCAAAAACGACTGCCCCTCTTCGGGCGACAACTTGTTGGTGTCGGCATTTAAAGTTGGTATCGATGGATCGATTTGGCGGGAAAGAAGCTTGCGAGGATTTAAAATCCAGAGCTGTTCAGGAGCCATCGAGTTCCAAAGGCAGCAGGGAAACCACAGGGCCACTCCGATCTCGGCAATGCGGAAAATGATGTCATGCCAGTTGCGGGAGTTAACAGGAACCCTTCAGAGTAGCAAAAATGAAAAGCTTTTAGTTATACAGCAGCTGTGGATTTAATTAAACGCAATTACGTACTTTTCCTTCCAGAAGTCGCCCAAAGTTTCGGATGTAAGAAAGCCCACGATCACAATAAGCATTACGGCTTGACTAAGCAGTCCGAATCGCGACTGATGCAACTGGGAAGCATTCACAATGGCCTCGCTGGGTCCCAGGATCTTACCCGTTTGATCGTAGACGAAGCCGCCTCGCAGCTTGAAGAACACCTCGACGCCGTAGATGAGGAAGAAGACTACCACGATCAGGAGTAATACTGCATAACATCCGTTGAAGATGTGGGCGTAGTCACGACGCTCCGAGTTAATCAGGGAGTTGAAAACCTCGATGCCAAAGAGGCTGTACAGGAAGAAGTTAAAGGCTACGAAGCCAAGGAAGCTTTTCGACAAGAACTGCGACTTCTCCCAACGGATGTCGCGCAGGTGAAAGATCTGCAACGGCGAACAGAACAAGTGCGAATAAATAATACCGCCGATTAGGTTTCCCCAGAGTCACCCACAGTTTCTATTTCAGATCAAGTGCTGGGGTACGTACACTTGCCTCGAAACCTAATTAATTGTGCTAGCCTATCGGGAGGCCCCAAGAGTCGTTCTGCGAAAACAATGAAATTTTCCCGAGTTGCGGGTACAATTGTACCCGACGACTCGTTATCGCGCATTTGTTAGATATGAAAATTGGCAAGTACAAGTGGACGCACTCCAGCACACTACTGTGCTCGATAATAGAAGAGCACAAAATTCAGCTGGTCATAGCTTCATACGTTAACCTCCCCGTTCTCAGGGTTCCGGTGCGATCAAATACAGCTACGTCAGGCTGTTCGATCGCCATTTTGATGGTGATTACTTTTTAACTTAGTGGTGGACTCGTGACCAGAAATATTACCTAGCTCTAACTTATCATAGAAATTTATTAAATCTGCTTGCAACGAAGATAGGTTATCTATTATAATGCGTTCCCTACAGTAGTATGAGCGAGTTTAAAGATGAGGAAACTCTATATCCTACCCTACTCCAATTTACTTTAATTTACTGTAGAGAGTATCTCTAAATACGATGTTGGTTTACATAAGACTTAACTAATAAAATGCATACCTTTAAATTTACAATCTAATCATTTCTGATTGTCATATCTTTAGGCTGCCGTAGTAGAAATCTATTTCATTGAGTAGCATTAGACAATTAAGAACGCCAACTGGTAAAACGATTTTGAACTTTTGTTTGTTAGAAATCCAGATGGTATCAACTAGACGAATTTTAAACAAAGAATTTGGTTGAGACCTTCCCATTTATCACCACGTAACTTAGTAAATATTTTTTAAAAATTTAACCAGTTTAACAATTTTGGAGACTTATGCTATTCCTATAAATCTTTTCTTAAATAATACTTTAATCCTTTTCTTACCTCGGCCCACATGCAGACAATCAGGGAGGCGCAGGTCATGAGCAATGGGTAGTAGGCGGACATCAGTGTTACGGCCCATTGTGGCTGCAGATCCAACTGAAAATTATGGAAAGTCATACGGTTAAATATGAAAATCGGGAGAACTAAGGAGACTACTTACGGGAGTGGTGAAGTAGGCACCTCGCAAAGAGGCTGCCACAAAGACCATGAAGTAGAGCAATTTCTGGGTGGTGATGCGACAGGCGCGGAGAATGGAGGGTTGCTTGAGCCGCTGGTACTCGGCCACAATGCAGATGAGCAGCTGGATGACAGAGACGAGGGCCACCACATAGAAGACGGTGGAGATTCCAATGTAGTAGGGCAGATTGAAGATGTCGCACTCATTACCCGCGTACCGAATGTCGCAGACGCAGGTGTTATTCACACAATCGCCACGACCGGAGCAGCTGAGATCGTTGTCCGGCGTAAAGGGGCCGTAGATGCCCCCGGCAGCCGACTTGCTGTGGCCATTCCGCATCTGACTGGCGGCCGCCTCCAGCGGCGATTGCAGAACTCTCTTCGAGCAACGCATTAAGGTATCCAGGCTGGGCAGCATCCTATATTAAATCAACTGCAAAAAGAATGAACATCAGGAGTTAGTCGGCTGACAACTTAATTAATACATCGAGGCTGTGCAAATCGATGGGTTGGTTGTTGTATAAACCAACAAATAACAAACAAGCAACCCGCGGCGTGGAGCCAAAGGGTGTCATTTAAATAAACATTGAATTTGGTGTCTGGGCTGCTCGCTCTAAAAGCAAATGCAAATGTTTGCACAGCCGACCCAGGCCAACGGTTAGATTAGGGGTACTCTATACGTCAAGTGGGACACCAACGCTATAACACTTTCTTTGTGGCTAAAATCATGCTCAAATAAATGAATAATATAAAATATCAACAAATTGATTGTCAACTATATTGTTAGTGCTATAAAAACAATTCAAAATTAAACGTATGCATACTATATTACATTAATAAGATATTAATTTATTGGCAAGAACATCTAAAAAGTCAAGGTAGACGCTTTCCTTAACTTAGGATAAATATTAAAACATTCTCAAATGGTATTGTTTAACCCTACTGAGTAAAAACAAACAACTGACAGCTACCAAGGGTGGTGATGGAATACAGAGAAATATTTCAGGAGGGCAAATGGCAAAACAGGGCCCATGGGCATTTGGCATTATTATGCCAGCAACGATTCTAAGCCAGCGCAACCGTCAATCAATCAAGAGGAACACATGGGCATCAGAAATGGCGAGAGACTGGGGCATCGATAATAACGCCTGCCAGCAACTTGACACCCACAATATCAAAAATACAAAAAAAATGAACCAATTCAACATTGGGACAGTCTACAAGTTGCAATTCCATTGAGCTGTCGTTCAATATTAACCAATTGAAATGTTCTTGTGGATGTGGTGAAACTCACTGATGTATGGCTTACAGAGCGGGAAAGGGGCGTCAAAACTAAACCGAGTAATCTTACCCATTAAATGGGATATTCATTTCAGTGAAATGCTTAAAAACCTTTTTTTCGCTAATTGCTACATTTTTTTTAATGGTTATGGGGTCGTTGTTTCCGTCACAGCTATTAAATTTGCTCGCTTGAACAGAGTTCAACCATTTTTATCATTGATAAGAAGGTTTTCTTAGAAAAAGCTTCTTTCTTTTAATTGCTCTACTTTTACTGGAAAAACTTTTATAGCGATTTAAAAAATTAATCAATAAACAATGAGTTATTTACTAAGGCTATAAATTGGATTTATTTTTAGGTCTACACGTCTCAGAATCTTAGTATTTGATGATAAATGTTTTTTATTCTATACACAAAGTGTAGGCTCATTTTATTATTCCTGGAAAAAGCGGAAGCCCCACCGTTGTAGACAAATATGTCTTCATAAATCATGTTTTGCCATATTTGAAAGTTCGTTTTAGGCCAAACACAAATAAAAAATAAGCCGGCTCACAACCCATAAATAAGGTGTTAAGGTTATGCATTTGCACACCCATTTGGATGTTTTCCATTTTAGGCGACTGTATTAGTTTAGCTTTTTTCTAACAACTTTGACGGCGACAAACTGGCGATAAGATAAAGCCAGTCAAAAGTCAAAGACAAAGCTAACTGAGACAGAAAATTTCAAGTTGAGAGTAAAGCTTTTGAACAAAAAATTCTATTTATCTAAAAACTTCATACAAAATCTAATAGAATGGGTAATATTCAAGCAATAAGAGGAATTAAATTACTTTTTTGTTATTGTCTTTAGTTGATAAGTAAACAGAATTGATTATGTAACTTTATTGAATTGATTGAATTTCTTGTTATGATAGCTCCATAGTTGAAGAAGAAGATGTGATAAATGATTTATAGGGATTCCCCGATAACGATCTTTATCTATATCAAGTCAAGTACTATTGTTTCTTTCCAGAACACGTTTTTCATTACTGAGTCATAGAAATAACTGCGTTGCTAAATGCTAAATTTTGTCTTGAATATAATGATAAGAAAATGTCAAGCCTGCATAGCCTGAATTCGAATTTGCCTATTTTCTATTGCTTCGGCCAAAGGGCATTGGATGGGACCCAAGGGAAGTTTATTAGAGCGGAAATATTGAAATCCACGTAATTCACAAAATGCGGGGAAACGGTGAGTTGCCCAGATGGTCTGATAATAGGCACCCACCATTGTAATAAATCTAATTTTCTGCGTTTCGCTTTCGGTTTCATTTGTTGCACAGATGATCATGGGAAACCAGAAACTGCAAGTTCGTGGCGGACATATCCATTAGTTTTTGTTGTTTTTGGGGGCAGCAGTATCTTTCTTTCCTCTCTGGCTTGGTTTTGTAACAAAAATAGCACGAAAAAATACACAAAACGCGGTATGTGGCGATATATTTATGAATTTGTTTGACTGCCAGACAGTGCACATATGTGATTAGTTAGTGAAACGCTCCGAACGATCAGCGCCCGAGTCGCAAAGTTTTCAGACTGAAGTGAGTATATTTACAGCCGATCTTCCCTGACTATGAGTCCACATATAAATATATATATATACGTATATATGTTACTCAAAGAGTGTATCTCTGGCTCTCTTCCACTCATACCGTTGAGTAGGTATCGCCAAGCAGTGGAGGCAGTTCTTCGAGTGCTGCGTACTCGTACTCGTATTTTTTATTAACCCAACAGCAACTTGGCAATTAATTTTCCATCACGAGTCGGCAGCCGTCCGCTTTGGCTTAATAAATGTATCCATAAACAAACAGGCAAATTTTCGCCATTTTTTATCCCAAAAAGTTTCTAGAAATTGAAATAAATTTAATTCGCCTCATGGACTAACGGCCTATCGCGGACTCTCTTTTGAGTAATTAAGAATATATTAATTGCATAATAGCTTATCAGTAAATGTATATGGATGCAGGAAACCATTTATTATTATTTTTAAACAGCCGGGAGTTATGATTGCAGCAAGAACGGAAATATAATTTTGTAAACAAGCTGCAAGAATCTTTCAACTCCAAGAAAACACTATAAGCTTAGTTTATGTCAAACAATCTACATTTCTATTTAATTTGGTAATATTTTATATATCTAAAGAACTTATCAACCTCCCCTTGCTGTCTAATCAAAAGTGTGACTCCCCTGCCCACCTAACAGGTTTGGTTTTCATACAAAAACAAAAAAAAACTCAACTTTGAAACTAGTTTTTTGACGCCCGCAGCTGAGTTATATTCAACTGGTTTTATAGATCTCTTTTAAGAGAGCGCCAAAGATAGATATAGAGCCCAAGCTCATGGCCCTTGGTTGAACGAACGCTTAACTGAGTTGTGGGTTTGCCTCTGTTTTATTTACACGTACTGACAGTGCAAACATATAATGTTGATCACGTCACGACACCACATATAAGTAAGAACTCCCCCCTGCCTATCGTTGTCTAGCCTACTTTAGAGTTGGTTCCTTGGACTGCACGCTATTTTACTTTCCTTCTCCATAATTATGTCTCAAATTATGCATGGTAATTTTAATTTGATTACGCGCTTAAGTTGCCCCTCGATATAAGTGATTCTCTCAACACAGAATATTAAATAAACAACTAATTGCTTCGACTTCTACTAGCTATGAGTATAAAGTACGAAAAGTATATGGATGTGGCGTGCCTGTTCCGCCCATAAACGAAATTGTAGTAAATGCCTGAAAACGTTGAAAGAAAAATTATACCCATTTGGCTATAAGGGCAAGTTGACAAAAGGAAAGTTTTCGGGGTGTAATTTGGCAAGTATGAAGGAGCGGTTTATTTTTAAAGATAGCACTAACTTTTTCAAAGGGTAGGTGTACCGAAAGCTGGCAAATAAATCAAGATTGCACAACTGCGACACAACCAGTAGAATACTAGAATTTTAAATGTCGTTTTCGGCCCACGTGAGGTGAGGCCTCCTAGGTGAGTAAATTGATTGATAATAAATTGATCAAATAACTGAAGAATTCCCCACTAAGTTCACCTAAATGGGGAACTCACGACCTTCAAATTAAAATTAAATTAACTGATATGTGACGCGGCCCTCTCTTTGTCCGAAAAGTTTACTAGTTTGGCGTACATAAGTCAATTAATTTCTATTTAGCTGTCATTAGACTTCATTAGAAAGGAAAACCGAAATAATCCAACAGAAATTTGTGGTCCCAAAGGCATTATCCCATGAACTGTGAAACTCTCTCGATCTGCTAATTGAATGAATATTTTACGAAATTCCACCTTTGTCATTTTCTTTACGATGGCACGATTAAGTTGTCAGAATAATTACTTTTAATTAAATCTATTTTGAAACTTTCAATAACCTATGATAATTGACTTTTAACTGATATATACGTTAATAACATTTCTTTTTAGTTTTCTCTCTTCTAGTGGAATTAAATATAGAAATAGCCGGTAAACAACCGGTTTAAAGCCAGTTAAATGTTGACCTAACCAAATCTATGAGCTTTGAAGCAGTTAAGATGTTGTCTGGGTTGCAAAAATTATACACTATGGGAACCATTTACTAAATTATTTTCATTGTCTTAATGTCTTAATATGTGTTATGACTTTAACACTCAAATATTGTGACTAAGAACCCTTTCTAGGGCAATGAGAGGTATGACTCAGTTGTAATTCTCAATTAGTTTTATCTAATAGTAAGGTGATTCATATGCATGGACACTAGCCAATTGCAATCAAAGGTAAACAAACAATTGAGCCGTAATCTTATCCAAAATTTCCCAATAAATAAGGACTAAGTACCCTTTCAAGGTATAAACTTGTATTGATTTTTAACAGTGGGGTCTCATCAATTCAGTTGCTTTTTTAAATATTATTTTGCCACATTCTCTGGAATTGTATTATTACTTCTGACATTACGCAAGTCCGAGTCATAACAATCCAATATATAGATAAATAATTGTGTTCAATCGATTTCGCATTTAGATAATTGTTTATTCACAACCCTAATGAACCAGCAAGCAGGATTATAGAGGAAACTACTATAAAACAACATTTCCATGCAGATTACGTATTAAATAAACAGGTCATGCGTTTAAAACGATTCTAGGGGAAGAAACACCGTTTGCTAAACTCACAAAGTATCCATTTGAGGGCTACGATTATTGGAAGTATATTTAGGGGCTGGCTGACTATGAGTGCAAACTTTGACCCACTAAGTTTTGCTAAGCGTAAGCTGAAAGAGAAGCGCTGATGTTAGCCATATACTCGATTGCCGAATGTGTGTCACAAATGAATATTTAAACCATTGGACCAGAAGCTGAGCCATCGGAAAATAAGACAAGAGTAAGTCACCTACAAGGTGACTTAAAAGCAAAGCAAAGAAAAACAGGGCGAGCAAGAGGGCGATTTAAATATATATGCACTTTGTTGGGTTGGTGCCAAAAGATATTAAGTATAATAAATATTATTTATTGCTTAAAAGTCGTTAAGTTTAATTGTCGAAGTACGTAAGTACGTAGAAACCCATAAATAAAATGAAATATATAATTTGGAAACAATATTTTAGAGCCCGATAATGTAGTTTCTGTGTTCAGATTAAAGTCCTTGAGGAAGGGTAATGACTAACTCCAAAGTTTATTCTCCATATCGGAATTCCGATAGTGTCTTTTAGACAATTCCCATCAAAAAAGCAGAGCCTGATTTTATACGGAATACAAAATAAACTGACTAAATTTGCATTTGATATTCTCCTTGGGTCTCGTCTACATTATATTTTTTTCTCCCTGAGTTTGCTTTTAGCGCGTGCCATCGGAACTTGGAAAGACAAACCGTGAATGTAATCAATGTAAACGAGTTAAGTGGATGTGGCGAAGAAGTGTGCAGAAATTGACCTTTTGCTTCGACCTGCCTCCAGAAGTCGTAAGCGGGGAAATTGCGAGCGTTGCAGACAAATCATAAGTGTAAACAAAAAAATTGATATTTATATATGTAGGTACTTCCAATATGGACACATGAGTGCTGCTGAACAGGGGCGATCAATTAAACTGATTGAATCACTTTTAAATGAAATGCTTCAGCGTTGCGTGTGTCGATTGGGAAAGTGAAAAGGCACTGCCATCCCAAAGGGGATCACAGTGGAATCAATCTAGTTTCATCATATTTGTTATACATATTTCATAATATTCAGGAGTTAAATAATATAGTTTTTTAGTGCATCAACATTTAAGAATTAGTTGAGTAATATTGCTTTTAATAGTATCAAGATAATGTCATGAGTAAATTAATGAAATCTTAAACACATGAATAACATCTTTGAGAAGGAAACATTTTTATCGTAATTTTGGTTGTTAATACAACAATATGGGTTTAAAAATTCCAAAGCTTATCATATTTTCATATCGAAAAAGTAGTGTCATAATAATAAAAAAAACCCGACATTTAATGACCGTTTGTCATTGAAAGCAAGGGTTCCCTGTACTCGCCAATCAACCTTTGAGTGCAAGCAAATAGACAGAAGATATTTATTTGCGGACACCCAGATAATTTCAGTTTTTGTGGCTAAAAATGATAAAAAATTATATGTGAGAACAACAACAAAATCGAAATCGCAAAAGCAAAAGCAAATTGAAGTGAATGGACGTGGGCCTCTGTTTGTTTGTGTGTGTTTGTATCTTTGAATGTTCGTTGGAAGCCGTTACTAATGGCGAATGACGCGGCAAAGAAGAGAGAGGAAGGAGAGGCGCTCAGTGCAAATTGAGTGCAAGTTGGGTGCAAGTGCACTGGGCAGAAAGTGGGCGGCGCACAGTGGAACGAACCAGCGACTGGGGGAGAGTGTCAAAAACGAAAGCACACCTCAAATGTCAAGGTTTTATGTAAGCAATTGCCTGCCCATTTTATTTATATATATGTAGGTGCGGCTGTAAAGCTTGATTTTGGCAAAGAGTCTATTCAATTATATTATTTATTTTAATAGGGAAATATAACGATCTTTTCAACTAAACTATTATATGCACGAAATCTTTTTAAGTTCTCCAATAGATACTTTAAGCTTTGTATTAGATCTCATCTCTTAAACCAATATACAATTTTTGCCATTAGTCCCTAAAAATACATTTTCTATTTCTACATTTTTACTCAATAAATAATTAGCGATAATCTAAAACCGTTTATATGAACTTGGTTTTGAACACGGAAGATTGCAAAAAGTTTTTCAAGTGAAGGTATTAGTTCTGCATAATAAACAAAGCATTAATGCTTTCCCATTTGCTCGTTTGATTGTATGTATCAGTGAGTCAGTTTGAGGACTGTGCACCTGGAATCGCTCGTTAATGAGTCAGAAATTTAGCACGCGACAATGCAAGAATTGAAAACTCAACAACATAAGGGGATTATTATGCTTTTGTTTGGGTGTACATATGTGTGTATATGTAACACTTGATAAGAAAAGAAGATACCACTTACCGTATACTGTTTACGGATATATAAAATATATAAAGTCGTCTGAATACTGTCCAAGTTGCTTGCTTCAATGTGGCTCTCGTTATTCTATTGCATCACATCAATATTTTTTGTAATTCAGGAAGTAACTTCACAATTTGTTTTCGCTTTGCTATTCTGTTGTCACATAGTTATTAAGGAACGCACAGTTCCACGTCCCAATTGGATTTTTTTTTTTTTTGTGGTACCACCCAAATGCTTGTGCCCTAAACTACTACACCTACAACAGCACTGTCACTTTTGTCCCCAAGGATGGGATAATTATTATTATGCTTCCCGTGATTTAATATCTTTCTTTCGCGACGAAAATCACTTGAGTTCTGACTTGCAGTGTGACCGCGCTTTTCAAGCTAGGGGTGTGTACAAATTGATTAAACTATCGATCGAATTTGCTCTATCGAAATTTTTGCCCAGTACTGAATTATTTAACTTTTGATTTACGGTCATACTAAGTGCGAATATTTGAATTTGTTTTGTTGTTATTCTAGCACAACATATATCTGCAAAAACCATTTATTTAGGAATTTGACAGATAGGATATAAACGGTACATTTTAGGGTATACCGAGTTTTAAATAATTGTTTATAAAAGCACAAATTTTAATTCATGGCCAGTAAATCCACAGCAGAGTAAATAAGTTATACGGATTATGTTGCACCGCGAACTGTTTACCTCCTCTAGCCTAACAAGTAGCCTTAGGTCTAGAACTGTATTAATCCTATGATTTCACTTATGATTTTTAGCCATAAGCCTGCTAGACATTTCAATTGTATAACTGATAACTAAACTGAGTGTTGCTGTAAGCTCCATGTATGTACTTTTTAATTGCCTAAAATTAACTATGTTTAAAATCAGAACAATTGTAGCATAAATTCGGTCTTTCCTTTGAAAGGCAGTTGGCTTGAGTTTCAAGAAAACATTTTAATAATCCTGGTTTAATTTTCACCGAATATGATTTCTATTGTTTATGGGAAAAAAGTAAACACAAATGCAGACGTTTTACTTTAAATTACAAAGGGAATTCGCTTTATTACCAAATCAAGATCTTGTTATGGTTTTAATACACATTTAGAAGTTCCTGTAACATAAAGAGGTATTAAGAGATGTCCACCAAAATGTTTAGGCTTTAAGCTTACTTGGTAATGAGGCCGTCCTTCTTGGCCAGACGCACGATGCAGTCGTCCGACTCTCCCATGCGACGGATCTCTCCGCAGATGGCGTAGGTCTTGGATCCGTCGGTCTGGCGACCAGTCTCGGGGTCCACATCAACGATGCTCAGTTGCACGGAGGCGTGGTCCTTGGCGTGGATGATCCTGTTCGATGCCGAGCTGCATAGAATGGTATCAGAAAGTAGTCCTCGAAAATGAGCGGGGAACACGTGTTTCACTTACCACTTGCGGGGCACGTACAGATCAACATTCTCACCGGCGTCGTTCTCCATTTTATTGGGCTGTAAAGACGGTACATTAATTAGCTTATTGTTTTTCAATATTTAAAACATATTATTGTCGATTTACTCACTTTTTTGTAGAAATTTACAAATCTAGCGACCGCAACTCGTCGGTGGAGGCGAAAAAGAGAAAGAAATGACAGCTGGACGTGAAGTTGGTTGCGCTGCGCGTGGCGCCTCTACCGGAAGTTTTTCATACTACATTTTTGGGTGACCGTTTTGAAAGTTTTAATTAAAGTTTTTGCTATTTTTAAATTTCTTTTGGGTTAAAGCAATGATTTGTCAAACCTGTTAGCTGCTTCTGTTCATATTACCAATATATATTTCTTTTACTGACATCCTATGTATGTGCTAATTAAAATCGGAAAATACCAAAAAATAAATAACGTAAAAAACCGTACTTTTTCTTACATTCAGAGACCGGTCACACTGTTAAGAGCCTTAATATAGGCTGTAAAATTCGCGTCGGGAAAATTCTATTGCATATTTCATGGTGCATCAAGTAAATGACTCCCATTAGTGCGCCCTAATCTATTATTTGTGTGCTTCTGCAGTTTGGATTTACTTAACTTTGTATGTGAGTATTGATTTTACGAAAATTCAGTAATTGTTTCAAATATACTGGATGTTAGCGTGGGAACTTCCTTTGACCTCGCTCGATGTCAGCAGAAACTTTCGTCAATGGGTAGTGGATTCCGTTAGCTTTGCCACTTTTATTGCGATTTCGCGTGTGTGTGCGATTGGGTGGAGTGGGAGGTATTGTTTTCATCGCGGCTTAATGCCCGCCATGTCTCGGAATTTACAGTCCACGTTGCCTATTTATAGGCGTCGTATATTCAATGAACTTTCAACGGCGGCGCCTGAGGTCAGGCTCATAGGTTTGTGTGTTGCACTTGCCACAGTGCGATCTTTCCTCTCTTCTACGGCAGTTCAAGTTCTGTAGCACACGAGTCAACCTAAAAATACCCTCCTTTGAAGAAATTAAGAAAATTAAGCTAATAAGGTGTAGGGAACCACATTCCTTGAAAATGTTGGCCACGCCTGTTTAGAAAATAATCAAACAACTTTGTTAAAAAAATATTTTTTATAGTTTCGTTTTAACTTTTTTTTAAATAAAAATTAATAAAATATTTAATAATTTAATCTTAGGATATCTTAGCCTATCACCCCAAATAGATTGCGTATACAGGGTAATAAGAAAAAAAGCTGCAGCTCTCCTATACGATTTTGAATTTAGCTTTCTCAGTTGCTCGGCAACTTTGAAAGCAATCGGTTCACTTCGCGTCTGTTGATTTAAAAAACCTAAAACGGCGTGACTTTTGGTTTCTAGTTTTTGGTTGTGTTTACTTGTTTAGGGATTGAAACTTCTTGAGGTGAGATTTCACAAGTTGTCGGGTGGCTTGCTGACCTTTTGTTTGTGCAAATTATGAAAATTTTGCATAACTTATTTACGTCGAGCTAAGTTCAGGCGAGAGCAAAAAGATAAAATAAAATGAGATCATGATAACGTGAGATGCTATTTATAAGTTTAAACACAATATAGCAAAGATCCGAGACCCATAATAATGCGGCAAAATAGTAAATTAAATAAAATGAAAGTGAAACTAATCATAGTGTTCGTAATAATATGTGTTTGTGGATCATAATTGGAGTTCAAGAGTTTTGTTACTTAAAATTTGGTAATTTACCTAAAAGTCACTGCCCATTCCAATTTTCTGAAAAGCTATTGATCATTTTTGAATTTAAGTAAATACCAAGTGGCTGTCAGAACAATCTTATCAGTTCATATTTGCCAGTAGCATAAAAGTTATCGTACATGGCTAGCATGGCTAACAGATATCATATCAATTTGCTGGCTTATCTGTAGTTTAACATATTTTCTACTTAAATACCCATTTAAACCTACTGATTTCGTATATTTCGAAGTAAACCGGTCTTAAAATGTATTCTACATTTGTTTACTACTCTTAGTGTTAGCTACTCTTAGCGGAATCTTCACTTGGATCATATTTGAGTTATATTCCCAATGGCAACCCATTCCAGAAAATATTTCAAAGGGGCAATTAAGAATTCTTACAAGCCAAAGAAAACTCTGAACTCATGATGTCAGCAGCACACATTGCGTGCCTGCCCAAGAAGACGATGATGATGATGAAAAGCCACATGAAGAAAGCCCGAAAACTAAAACACTTTCTAGGTCAAAAGTTGAAAGGCAAAAGGGAAACATCACACATGATGCCCATAAAAAGACAATAAAAAAAAGCAGAAAACCAGAAAAAAGTGCGACTGCATGAAATGCAATTAATAAAGCACTGCTCAACAAAGTAAAAGCCCACAAAAAAAAAAAAAAAATGAAAATGCTTCACTTTGTCTGGCTTGTTGCGTGTTGATTGAGCCAAGTCAGGCCTGATCTGAGATGCCGCCTGTCAATTTTCAGGGGGAGTTCCTATTAACAACGAACAAATTACAGCATGCAAAAAATTAATAATTGTTTTGTTGTTGCAACAGGGAAATCGCATGATGTGCAAAAATTGCACAAAACCTATACTTTTTTAGAAAAGCGAGTTCATTTAAAGGTTAAAAACTTGTAAAAATATACAGTGAAAAACTGCAATACACGTATGAGTACGTATCAAGGCTATCGTATCGATTTTAATGAAAGTGCACTTATAGGACAATAAATTATTAAGATCAAAGCCACTACTGCTACTAAGCTAATAAAAACGGTCTTTATGTAGTTACTTTTTTCTGATATTGTTTTTTAAACACTTAAAAGTTTTTAATTGAAGAGCCTCTAATAATGAGCTGATTTCAGTTTATCAAGTTTTCCCAAGCCTAGGCAGAACCTTTCACCAAAACGCAGGGTTTAAAGACTTTTTACCAGGAACACATCCAATTGGATTGCAACTTTTTCTTTTTTCTCGTAGTTTTGCATTATAGTTCTAAGCTTTGGGGAACGATAAACCTGTTATTTCCTCAGCAACTTAATTTTAATGCGGCCCGTGCCTTTTGGCTGTGCTCTTTTTCTCCTCAATTTGCAGTGCTTGGGTTTTGGGAACTGGTCGCCTGGAATTAAACTTAGACTTGCACTTGGACAATGATGCCGCATCTAAAGTTGTCCGGTGTTGTTGGTGCGGCTGCTGGTTTTGTTGTGATTTGATTTGGTGCCACTTGCTAGCTGATCTTGTTGCCGCATTGCTGTTGGCCAGAAGTTGCTGCTGTTGCGGAGGGGCAGCGTTACAGTTCGGAAAATCGGTCAATGGAAACGGGCTTGTAAGCAGGTGCAATCGCTTGCAGAGCCACAAAACACAAGACCCAGAGGCCAGGAGAGATTGGAGCCACAGGCATGTCGCTTAAGGTGAGTAAATGCTCAAGTATTGACCCATATAGCAAGTAATTGACTCATTCGAATTGAGTTGAATGGCTATCCAAGCTTTAATGGGAAAAGTCAAATGGTTGAAATGAGTTTTGGGAAAAAGAGCTATAAAATCAAGATATAAATAACTAGATATACTTCAAGATAGACTTTTTACTAGTCTTAAATCAAGTACTCTCCGTTTAGTTTTTATAGCTCAGGGCAATAATAAATTTATTGTATATAAAGGAAATGCTTTCCAAGTGCTTTCCCCAAGTTATAAATAATATATACGAGCGGCAGTAAGAAGTACAAGTTAATGTAATAGAAAACAAAGCAAAGCTTGTAATTTCCAATAAATATTTAAGAGTTCATATGGCATTAATAATTTGCAATCAGATCTGAAGCTTTAAAAGTGTTTCCTACCTGCTGGTGGCACTTGCTTCTTGCTGCCTATAAATATCTTTGTCGTCATCGTCAGAAACGTGATTATCACGATGGCATCACCGTCTTCATTGTCATTATGTCACTTGAAAGTGCAGCAGCATTTGCATTGTTTCCCTGGCAACTTGAGTCACGTCATTTTCATGTAAGGGTTTTCACTTGCCTTTGCCTTTCAACAGGTGCTTCAGACCACTTCATCAATCCCTCCTACCTGCCAGAAGAAAACACACACGCTGACATCTGTGGCACTTAATTCGCTTCATTAACGCAATGTTGACATTTCAACCGCATTTAGCTTGAAAATATATTTATTGCATTTCCCCTTTTTTGCACAAATGCTCATGGGCTGCAACTTGGGTGACTTTTGTTGGGGCAGGTTTTTGAGGAGATTGGCACGCGATTGTTAACCCATGTTTAACAGTTTTTCAAAAAAATTTATTAAATATTTTTTATTTTAACTCATTTGGTCTTTTTTGAACACCTAATAAAATGATGTTAAGATAGCTTTTACCCAATGCTCATATACCATCTGAGGGTTAGGGATTTGTTTTAAAAAAATGCAGGCAATGTGGCCCGACTTCCGCTATGAAATAACTCTTTTTTGTTCGTTACTGCTCTGACCCTAATTGCTGTAAACAGGAAAAGTCATTTTCCCACGTGGCGCCCCGAATGGGGAAGCTACAAAGTGGAAACAGGGCGTGGGTATCACTTCCCCAAATATATTATTTATTTTGACAGCTGCTGCTGGGCAAGTTTGTAATTGATTTGATTCCGTTTTCGATGCCAACAGAAGGAGACACCCTCGGATGTGCAACTGCACATGGCAGCTATGAGGGGAGATGAGGTGGCTCTGCTTCGAGTTCTGGACAGCGGAAAAGTCCACGTTGATTGCAAAGATGAGGTAAGTAAAAACTGCACATTAACAATAAATTGAGATTATATGACTGTTGCATCAGTTTGGTTAATCTTTATGCACTTCAGTTTTTTATATGCAATCGGCAAAGCATGACACATGCGACTTCAAAATGCTGTCAGTAAAATATTACAAAATGTTTGCCAAAAAAAAAAAATATTTTAAAGTCTTACCCACGTAAAAATCAGTTAACACGTCGTTGCTGATTTAAGTACGCACCAATTGGCAAAGAAGACGAAAAGTGCAGCAAACACACAGCCGACCAAAGCAAAAGCACAAGTCGAGGTTTTTTTTTCATAAGATTAACGAATCTAAAATACTCTTTTCTTGAAGAAACCAAAGATATCAATTACATCTATCTAAAGAAAATCTTTTACTATTTGGCAATAATTATTATAATTAACATGAAAAGGATAAATTATTATCTTTGAAGACAGTTTAAGGCGCACTTGTTCAATTATTCATTTATTTTTATTACAATCGCTCTTACTAAAGTTGATAGATTGAGAGATAATCAAGTGGATAAGTGGAAATCAACAAGTGAAACTTCCACCTGTTAATTTCAAACATTTTAGCAATACTTTAATACCCTCTGCTAGAGTATAAAAAACGAAATTAAATTTCCCTGGTCGAGCAGCGAAGCATGGACTCAAGTCCAAATGAAAGGAAAGTGGGCTGCGGGGGCAGTGTGCCATCCCATATATATATATATAGTGCCAGCTGGTCTGCAAGAGTCCGCGGATAGGGCGGGCTCTACGTGACTCCCCCATTCGGATTCAGACCGAGTGCATCGAGTGCGATTTGCGATTTGTGGCGCTGTTTTCCCCCCGGGATATACCTCGATTTTCTCTTGTTTTTCTGCTGTTTAGTTTTTGTCGAGTTCGAGTCACCGTTTTGCATGCAAATCCGCATGAAACGATTTAGTGTTGACTTGGTGAAACTAATCGCAATTTGCTATTCAAATCATTTGATGGTCAATTAAACAATTAAAATAATTGCTTCTTCATTTATCGCATTGTATTTAAAATAAACATGAACTGTGAATGTGTGCTGGTAGGCGAGGGTATTAGTTTGTGAATTATTGGATTAATTGAGGGATTATCTAAAGTATATATCGAGGTCTTTTCATTTTGCAGGAATTTAACATATTAATCTATGTTAAGTTAATAATATCTATTCATATTTTGCTTGTTATCTACTTTTCAGGACGGTACCACCCCACTAATCTTGGCTGCTGCCGGAGGACATACGTATTGCGTGATGGAGCTGCTCGATCAGGGAGCTGATCCGAACTCTCGTCGTCTCACGGGCACCACGCCCCTCTTCTTCGCCGCCCAAGGCGGTCATCTGGATGTGGTGAAGATCCTGATGAAGGCGGGAGCTAATGTGGACACGCCCTCTGCGGATGGAGGCACGCCCCTCTTTGTTGCCGCCCAGGGCGGTCACGTGAAAATCGTACGCGAGCTTCTGGACTGCGGAGCAAATGTTAATGCCCACATGAAGGTGGGTAGTAAACGGATATTCCTTTTTGGAAATGGATAACATATAGAACTCATTTCTTCACAGGATCGGGCGACACCTGTGTTTATATCTGCCCAGAATGGTCATCGGACGGTTCTGTCGCTGCTAATTCAGGCTGATGCGGAAATCGATATCAAGCGAATAGACGGTGCCACGCCCCTTTGGATAGCCGCCCAAATGGGCCAGGATCACATATGCAAGGTGCTGCTGCAAAACGGTGCCAATGTGGACACGGTGCGCTGCGATGGCGCCACTCCTCTGTTTAAGGCGGCACACAAGGGACACGCTGCCGTAATCACCGTGCTGCTCAAATACCGGCCTAATCTTGGCCAGCTGCCCAATGGAGAGAGCGCCCTCCATGCCGCGGCCATGTTCGGCCACATGACCGTCTGCAAACAACTGGTGGCAGCTGGCAGTGATGTCCTGCTGAAGAATCAGGATGGACTGACGGCTCTGCAGTTGGCGCACCAGCAGAAGTACACCTCCATCTGTGATTATCTTCAGGAACGGATCCGGACAATGGTGGCGCGCAGCGCGAAGGCAATGGTCACGTCCGGAGTATCGTCCACGGTCAAGACGATGTCGGCGTAAGGGGATAACAGCTTTTGAGAGACCACGCCTCCAAAGTACCTTTATGCACAATACCTTGGCCTTTTTGCTTGTGCCCGATAAAGAGGCAAGGGATTAGAGTGTTTTATCGAAACTGAGCAAAAGTTATTTGGAGATAAATTGGAATCAAAGGTGAAAAATGTTATAAGCCAATGAGAAGCTTGTTAAAGATTTCAACGAACCTCAACTTGTTTTGCTCGGTGAAACACTCGCTCCTGCACAAAAAATAACCAAAACTAAAAACCAATAGTAAGAACACGTCCAAACTAAACTTAATGGCCTCCCCCAAGGAAACCAAACTATTTATTAAATAAGCCGAATCATTCATATTAAAAACCACTTGGAGCTTGTATTTTGAATTTAACATTAACCATAACAATAACGTTAACGTTAACAAATACTATATAAATGTTAACAAGGACCCGAAAAGAGAATGTTACAATGCCCCCTGTACATAACCATATATATAAACTTATATTTAAATTATATCTAAAGCTATTTATAGACCTACTCTACCCTAAGCAATTGTTGACAAGTGCTTTAAGTTTAAACGCCTTTTTGTCCATAAATTAGAAATTATTTACAATCGATGGCTTTCTGCTTGTTTCCCTGTAAAGTAGATACGATAATTAATTAATTTCTTACTTTATTACATTTTAAGTATAGCCCACAATTTTGCAAGTTTAATAAATTGACACACGATTAACCAAGAGTTTTATTTTGCAAAAATTTGGGTTACTTTCGCCTTGTTTTTGTCGGCTAGTGTTACTTACTTGTGCTTTGAGTCGCTTGGTGGTGCAAAACTTGGCTAGAAAGCTGTGAAACGTGAAAAGCTTTTCTGTAGAAGATGATGTTTGAAGTTTTGACTTGGACTTGTATTATCCATTGAATCTTAAAAATCAAATAGTTAATTTCATTTTAATAAAAGGAGAAATAAATATAACTGTTTGCTTTTCTAAAAGATTGAAATATTTATTTTTGGGCTCTTCCATATCTTAAATCTTATTAAAAACGTAGTTATCCGAAACAGTTTTGAAATGTAGAACTTATGTATGTATTTTTCTCTAACGGGTTATTCTAATGTACTCCAGTACGAAACCTATATAGCAGTATCTTTCTTCATACACCGGCTACTAGACAAATTATGTTTGCTCAACTGTTTTTGATAAAACTATAAATGAAACCATCTGATCAGCTCCAGAATAAGCCTATGCTGCTCAGTCGGCTTACAAACGTATTCGGGATCAGTTCTATCTGGAAATAGGGTCTCCGAGTTTTGACGTATTTGGTAGACAATAAGAAATTGGACAAATAGCCAACTTTCTTGTTTGCACAAGTGAACTTCTGGCTGTTTGAGCCATTTGGTTCCCAGTTGAAAGGGAAATTTGAAAGTGACCCAAAATATTTAGTGTAGACAAGTGCAAAAATGACAAGTGCAAGTCTTCTATCACGCTCCCTGCTAACAGAAGGTGTGGAATGTGAAATAAGTCAAGTTAACTAAAGGGTTTTAAATCAATTTAACGATTGCAGCTCCTCGCTCTAAGAATCGATCGGTGTTTACCCTGATTGTGGGCTTAGTGGTTGGCTACTGCCTGGCCCAACTCTTCTCGAGCCTTGTGCCACACGAGAGTCTATACCCCTATCTCAGCAGACGCCTGCTTCTGCCTAGTGATCCGAAAGCGCCCATCCAAGGACAGTCAGCTCCAGACCACAGTCCCTTCCAGCACGAGCATCCCGATGACAACACCACAGTGGCCGAGCAGTTAAAGAAAGAGGTTCGCATCCTTTGCTGGGTGATGACCAATCCCACCAACCACAAGAAGAAGGCTCGCCACGTAAAGCGTACGTGGGCCAAGCGCTGCAATATTCTGCTCTTCATGAGTTCCGGAGAGGATGAAGAGCTGCCCACGGTGAAGTTGAATGTGGGCGAGGGCCGCGAGAACCTGTGGGCCAAGGTCAAGGAGGCGTTTAAGTACGTCTATAAGCACCATTATAACGACGCCGACTTCTTTTACAAGGCGGATGACGACACCTATGCGGTAATTGAGAATATGAGGTATATGCTTTATCCCTACAGTCCCGAAACACCAGTACACTTTGGCTTCAAGTTCAAGCCGTTTGTAAAACAAGGGTATATGTCCGGCGGAGCAGGCTACGTACTTAGTCGGGAGGCACTGCGTCGATTTGTGGTTGAGGGCATTCCCAATCCCAAGATGTGTCTGCCAGGCACGGTGGTCAACGAGGACATCGAGATAGGGCGTTGCATGGAGAACTTGAATGTTACAGCCGGCGATTCCAGGGACGAAATTGGACGCGGGTCGGATGTTTCCATTTATCCCAGAACATCATTTAATCCCGGCCAAATGGGATAAGAACTACTGGTACTGGAACTACCTTTTCTACAAAACGGATGATGTAGGTTTGCTTGGGGGTTAGTAATATCGAATTTTAAAATACTTAAAATTATATGTTATCAGGGCCTTGATTGCTGCTCGGACTTGGCCATCTCCTTTCATTATGTTCCACCAAATATGATGTACGTGCTGGACTATCTCATCTACCACTTGAAGCCGTACGGTCTGATGCGATCTCTAGAGGCTCTACCTGCTAAACTTAAAGTGGGCCAGTTGCTTCCCCCTCCCGTTGAGCGTCCATTGGCCAGTAATGAAGATTCGGTAGATGACTTTGATAGGATTTATACGACCACAACTGCAAAGCCAAAGGAACCCGATGCTCGGGAAATGGATTCCAAGGAGTTGGAAAAAGAGGAGGCTAAGTACAGGGAAAAAACGTCAAAAGAGGCTGAGGAGGACGAAGATTCGAAAAGAACTGAAGATGATTCGGAGACTGAAGAGGAATCGGAAAGGCGTTCCAAGTCCAAGGAAACTTCAGAGGAGAATTAGAGCAATAGGAAGTTAAGCTATATATTTGACTTGTAAAAAAATTGTTAGCTGTACTGAATAGGTTTCCAAAAGTGTATAAAAATGGTAAGATTTTGTTTCTTTTTTATTTAATGCAGCAATAATTTTCTAAACGTAACCAAAGTTTTGAATTCACAATAATGTAATAAAGTAAATGAGATTTTAAGAAGGGCAAATGGTCTTAAGAAATAAATTCCACAGAATTTTTGATAATACTTCAATAGGCGTAGTCTGGTGGGACTTCTTCCTCAGCATTAACTGGTCGGTCTTCTTTAATGTTCTCCAACTTTGCTGGAAGAGTCTCGACTGGAAGTTTCCTTCCAAAAACCCTCAACCTGTAGATCATGTACTCAAAGCAGTGCATATAGCGATGTTGAACAAAGGGAAAAGAAACCGCATAGTTGGACCAAGCAAAGATACCCTAGAAAAAAGAAAACAATTTTAAGGATAAGTTGTCACAAGCAGACAAGGATCATACCTCTTGTGTCCTGTGGGCAAGGAATTTCCAAAACCAGAACTTTGGGTTATAGCGAAGGTAAAAATTGGATCTGGCCTGTGGTTCAATGAGATACATTCGCCTGCGTCCCTTGGAATCGTAAGAGTTTCCCTCCACTAGATTGACGTTCTGGAAACACTCCTTTAGTTTTCCGCCAGTGGGACCCGAGTCCTTGGGTTCGCACTTTGATGGATTGGGCATAGACACCTCCACGACACGACGCAATGCAGCCCGACTCATTATAGTGCCCGGTGAGCCAAAATAAATGGCCATCTCTGGGCTGTACGGATAGACCATATATCGTAGGTTCTCCATCAGGACATAGGTCTCATCGTCGGCCTCTAGGAACCAATCGGCATCGGTCAAGTGGTGATCATAGAGGTACTTTAAAGCCATCTTTGTTTTCTTCCATGATTCACGGAAGTAGGGACTGACTGGCAGGGCCACGGATCCCGACAAATTTCTGTCGACCCCGCTGCTGAGGAAAAGGAGCTTGTTGCACCTCCTGCCCCAGGTTTCACGGACCGCCTTTGCCTGGGTTTTATGATTGATGGGTTTTGTGTAGACAAAGCACAACACTCGCACTTCATCGGTCAAGTTGATGTCCAGCGGAGTCGTTTTGCCCGCGCGATTAGAATAAGATCTGAGGTCTATAATCGGCCACAGAACAACCTGGGTGAGTAGATAGCCTATACCTATGCCCAGGAGCAGAAAGAGCAGTGGACGCGACGATGATGCCGCCACCGAATGCTGATTTTTTCGATCCAGAAAGACAAACTCCTTCCTGTCCATTTTCTTTAGAACTGAGCTTGTTAGCTGTATATTTATTTCTTCATAGTCACACCTATTAGTTACGGTTAATATTAACTGAAAAGCCCCTTAAGAGGCATGGTACTCTCTTTAGCAATCAGACTTTCAAATGTAATCTATGGATATGGGTCTACACTGGCGAAAGTAAAAGTAGATTTAATGATATTTCGTAAGCAAATCAAATATAAAATCGTTTTAAAACATTTTAAACGAATTCAAATATGTATATGGTTCTTCCGATTTCCTTGCTCTTATCATCTATAAAAATAAAACAAGGAAAACAAACGTACATCATACATCTATTCGTATGTCGTCGTACTTCAGCTGAAACAGATTAGCTCGCGCACAAAATATCAGTCTTTAAAAAGTTGTCTTCTGAATCGGACAATGGAACGCCACTGGGCAGTAGGACTTCTTTTTTTGGGATGGATTTTTTATGCCAAGGCTTGTACGGCTCCAAATCGCTGTGTTCCTAACGATCGAAGTTGCCTAAAGGCGTCTGCAACCCATTACCATTCAAGAAATCTGTGTGTAGACGATGAAATATGTTGTGAAATCTCTTATGAGGTAAGTGAATCATTATGATTGGGTAAAGCAATGACTTATGACTGAGAGCCTTATGTGTCAACCAAATCAGGTTCCTGGACGAGTACAAGGATCTCCACCAAAAAGACTTGAGGACGCGAAAGTGGTAGTGTCTGAAGATCATTCTTTGCCGGCTCAGTTTCCCTGGACGATCGCTCTATTTAGCAAGGGTGTGTACTTTGGAGGCGGTTCCCTAATTGCTCCCAGTGTTGTTTTAACAGTAGCGCATTTTTGCTGCCTGAAACTGGGAATAACATTGAGGTCAGGGCTGGCTTATGGGACATGTCATTAGGTACGGATCAGTACTATGAGGAGCGACGCGTGTCCAGGATTGTTCGACATAAGGACTTTATATACAGGACTGGGGCCAACGATATAGCGTTATTATACCTCGACACACCGTTCGTGTTAAACGACCATATCAGGACCATTTGTCTATCTAGTCAGGGATCATCTTTTGACAAAAAGCGCTGCTTAGTTGCTGGATGGGGCAAACGTTTGATGCCGCATAGCCACTTGTCCAACATACAAAAGAAAATAGACTTACCTATGGTGAACAGAGAGGATTGCCAAAACCAGTTGAGGCGAACTATTTTGGGTGAAAGCTATGAGCTGTCAGCCAGTCTTATATGTGCCGGTGGAGAGAAGGACAAGGATGCCTGTACTGGCGATGGTGGATCTGCACTGTTCTGTCCACTGGACGACCTCGACGATCGCTTTGAGCAGGTTGGCATCGTCAACTGGGGCGTCGAGTGTGGCATGGAAAACGTACCCTCGACCTTTACAAATGTGGCCATGTTCAGAGATTGGATTGACCAGAGTCTGACAGAAAACTTATTGCAACCAATTCCTAACTGTATTAGAATCAACCCGAAATAGATTTAATTGATTGATTGACAATTGATTGATTGGGAATTTAAAACTTTTTTTGAATTTATTTTATATTTTCAATATATTTTTGAGCTTTTAAAATTAGGTATATGCAGTTTTCAGCGTAGTTTATTTCACAAAATTCTATAATCTTGTATGATTGTACTCAAAAAGTTCAAAAGATTCATTACTGATTCTTATCAACTAAGAAAGACATAATCACATTAAATTTATTGCTGTCACCATTGACCCCGTGCCGAAAGATTATAATTCAAAATATATGAGCGTAATCAAATTCTGGGAACCTCCCAGAGTCAGTCTTTTCTGATTTTCATTCGTGACTAAACCATGAAGCCGAACTGGGTAATAGGAGCTCTATTTTTTTGCAGCATCTTTAATAAAATAAGCTGTGCAGATGTGGATTGGGTAAGAGATTCAGAACCACTAAGTCTAGTCTTAGGTTTATTCAATTTCTTATTTGTTTTTTACTTTCTAGTTAGATATTTTTAATCATGCAGCTGAGACAAATGTTGGCCGAAAAAATGGGTTCGAGTATAGCCCACCAACACAATCTACACCTTCAGATGAGCTTTGCGGTGTCGTTAACCCGAATGGTTTAGATGAGAGATTTCCAGTTTCTAGGGAGCAATCAAGGCCTGGCCAATTTCCATGGGTGGTGGCTCTTTTCTCCAATGGTAAATACTTTGGAGGCGGATCACTGATAAGCTCGGGTGTTGTACTAACGGCAGCTCATCTTGTGATGTACAAGAACCCGAATAGCATTGTGGTCAGAGCTGGTGAATGGGACTTGGCATCCAGGTCGGGAAAGTTTCATTTTGAGGAACGTGTTGTGGATAAAGTCGAGCAACATGAACATTTTTCTTATGGGTCTTCGTCTAACAACATAGCTCTTTTATTCTTACAATCACCGTTTGAATTAAAAGCCCACATCAGGACCATATGTTTACCCAGTCAGGGGAAGTCAGTCGACGAAAAGCGTTGCATGATTGCCGGATGGGGAAAACGAGCGTTCGAGGATATTGAGATTATGAAAAAACAAAGACTGATTGAGTTACCCTTGATAAGCCGAGAAGAGTGCCAGAATAAGTTGAGAAAGACTAGATTGGGAGAAAAGTATGAGCTGCCTGATAGTCTTATTTGCGCCGGCGGAGAGAAGGACAATGATGCCTGTACTGGCGATGGTGGATCTGCTTTGTTCTGTCCGATGGAAGACGACCCTGCTCGCTACGCACAGGCGGGTATCGTTAATTTTGGCATTGGATGTGCCCAGGAAAACGTTCCGGGAACCTTTACAAATGTGGCCATGTTCAGGGATTTCATTGACAGGAAATTGGCTGGCGGCGACATTGATTTGTAGCATTGCAAGATATTAATTATTATTAATTGGTTTGACAACGTGGCTTGGAATGTATAAATAAAACAAATTCAATATATTTTGGTCTTCGTCTCACTGTTAGCATTTTGAAGTATTCAAATGGTCATGATGTTTCTTTTAAGTACATACATATGTACATATGCATAGTGTGTATTTATATTAAGAATGGAATTTCGATAATTTTTTTATTGCTTGGAACTGTTTTTCTTATCGCTAAGCGAGATTTGTGTTGCGACCACATCGACATTATATTCAGTTGGCGAGAGAGCTATGCCACGACTCTGGGCGCTTTATTTACTTTTCCATATTGGATGCATCCTTTTTAGCGATGCAAGCCACGTTTGCTTGGGTCCCAATCAGTGTGTTCCCAAAGAAAATTGCCAGCAGCAGAAGCCTTTCCCTGACCTCAGTTGTAGTGACTCAGAGGTCTGCTGTGAGAAGTCCAATGTGGTGAGCACTTTAGGAAATAAAACTTATTCCAATCAATTCTCTTGGCTTTTTGTTTTTGTAGATTGGCATAACCTATAGACCTTCAGTATCTCCACCAAGCATACTGTGTGGCATGAGTAATCCGATTGGTCTCGATGAATACAAACAAGTAAATGGCACCCAGGCGAGACCTGGGCAATACCCCTGGGTTATGGCATTGTTTAGCAAGGGGAAATACTTTGGAGGCGGTTCTCTGATTACTCCTGGATTAGTACTAACGGCAGCACATATTCTGAGGCACCATTCCCTTGCCCACATTATGGTCAGAGCTGGCGAATGGGACTTGTCCTCCAGTAAAAAACTGCTTCCGATCGAGGAACGCCGTGTGACTAAGATCGAGTCCCATGAGGCATTTGACTACATAACCGGAGCTAACAACTTGGCGCTTCTCTTTTTGGATTCGCCTTTTCAGTTAAAGGCTTACATCCAGACCATTTGCTTACCCATTCCGGAAAAGTCGTTCGATGGAAGGCGCTGCATGGTTGCCGGTTGGGGCAAGAGATCATTTGAAGATGCACAAATTTTGTCCATACAACAGAGGGTCGTCCTGCCCATAGTCGAAACTTTAAAGTGCCAGGATCAGTTGAGACAAACGGCCTTAGGCGGCAAGTATCAGCTTCCTGCTAGGATAATTTGTGCCGGCGGAGAACAGGGCAGGGATATTTGCTCTAAATTTGGAGGATCTGCCCTTTTTTGCTCCTATGACGACGAACCCAATCGCTACGAGCAGGTCGGAATCGTTAATTTTGGCGTAGGGTGTGGCCAGGAAAATATTTCGGCGACCTACACACAAGTTTCTGAATTCAGAGAGTGGATTGATCCGCATTTGGAGCAAGTGGTCAGCGTGCCAGGAAATTTGGTTACTATCGTGCAGGGTCATCTTCGAAAATAAGAAAATTTCTTTGAAATTTTGTATAATGAAATTAAAGAATCCCAAAAAATGGTATATATTTTCTTTTCCGTTCTTATAACTTTTCAAAAAAGCACACCAAAATACTGTGTTTCCATGTCATCCCGAATCGTCTATACCCTAGCTATTAGGTTGATTATTACTAACAAACATTGTGCAAGTTTAAAAGATCAAAAAATAAATCAATATGCATTTTCACTAACTCATTTTTTTAGTATATTTGTACTTACAGTGTTGAAGTGCGCTACAGTATTGGATTGTATAGTTTTCTTAAAGCATTCTCATTGCTGATAACGACAGTAGATTATTCGTTCTATGAATATGAGTTCAGTGGAGTGAGCTCTCGGAATAATCATAATTTTATTTTCAGTCGTCGAGATCACCATGTTCCGGAGAGTTATAATTTTCAGTTGCGTTTTATGGGGGCTTGCCGAGGCGGGAGCCCATTGTGGCTTCCAGATGGAGTGCGTGCCACAAGGCCTTTGTAAGTCACCCGAAAATGTACAAGGCTTTCAATCGCCGTGCCAAAGACATGAAAGCTGTTGCCACAGCTCTCAAATAGTAAGTGTCTGTGTAAGTGAATCATGTTCGGTTGCCAACTGTTCGATTTCTAGTTAACTGTCGGGGCCCCATTAAACTGCGGAATGAGTAATCCCAACGGCTTGGGAAACGGACCCCTAGTTGATGTTAATCAGGCAATGCCCCATGAATTTCCGTGGGTTGTGGCGTTGATGCAACCAGATACCTCCTTCTTTGGGGCGGGAACTCTGGTCACCGAAAATGTAGTGATAACTGCTGGCCACCTAATGCAGGACAAGAAGGTGACAGATTTTTTGATCGTCGCTGGTGCATGGGACTTGAACCAATTGTACCAATCCACGGTTGCAACGCGATCTCCGGCTAGGATTATTTCTCATCCAGGATTTGACAACCAAACTGGCGCGAACAACATTGCGTTAATCATACTCGATTTGTCGTTTAATTTAAAACCCACCATTGGAACAATCTGCTGGCCAACTCCAGGAGTGTCCTTCGACAGAGAGCGTTGCGTGGTCGCTGGTTGGGGCAGACAGAATACCCTGGTCCAACAGTACTCGAGCAGGCAAAAAAAAATTGAGCTGCCAATCGTGAACAGTGCGTGGTGTGAGGACCAATTGCGGAGAACACTGGACATGAGCTACAAGCTGGACAGCACTTTACTATGTGCGGGCGGAGAAAGGAGCCGTGATGCATGCGACGGTGACGGAGGGTCTCCGCTAATGTGTCCCATTCTTGGACACCCAGGGATCTACCAGTTCGTCGGCATTGTTAGTAGTGGCGTGTCTTGCGGAATGGAAAATGTTCCTGGCGTATACACAGATATTGCAAAAATGAAATCGTGGATTGATGACCATCTAAGCGATGAACTCAATAAGCCGTATAAGTCGTTTCCTGTATATAATATAGACTTCGATTAAAAAAAAGACAAAAAGGACCTTATAACAACATGACCTAAGGAGCTGTTTCTAACAATGTCATTGGTTGCAATAAAAAATATTACTGACCAAAGAAAATGAGCTTATTGGGATTAGTCCGGTTATTAGTTCTATCAACCTTGTCTTGGCTGATTATTCTCGAGTTGTTGATATTTTATAAGACCACTACATTTACGGATCTGGTCGAATTTATTCAACAGCCATATAAGGAGACCGTAAATGCCTATGATGTTGGTCTGCGGAGTGAACACTGGGACGATGTTCGGATAGCCAGACTCCTTCAAAAGCAGGTTCGCATTCATTGCCTAGTTTATATGGACCGTTCGGACTTCAAGAGTGGATCTCAGAAAGCTGTGCATGTTAGAAATAGTTGGGGTCGTCGATGCAATCGTCTGACCATCATCAACAAAAGGGGGATTACTCTGCTGAAAGCATATCGTCAGACTTATGTGAAGTTTCATGATGAACTCGACTGGCTGCTGGTCGTTTACCTGGACTCGTACGTAATTATGGAGAATCTGCGTTATATGCTGGCGCAGTATCCATCATCTGAGGAGATATACTTCAGCGCGCAGCATGACTCTTATATTTATGCCCATGTGGGCCAGGTATCCACCACCGACTACATATTCAGTCACGACGCGCTGGAGCATCTAGCCACAAGGAATTGCCTGCAAAATGAGTTCTTTTTCAGGGAGTGCTTGAAAAGAATACGAAAGGGACCCAGCGAACGTCTTCTATCACTTGACATCCCAGGAGAGGTAATCCCGTTCAGCCTGCGTGATGATTTCTGGCTTTGGCCCTGCGCTTTCCGAGCTGTCTACAACAATCAGGTAAGGGTTAGAGGTCTTGATTTTAAATATTTTTATAATATATTAATGATTGCCAATAGAGCATGGAGAGCTGTTTTGGAGGAGCAATAATATACCCGTATTGCTGCGCCATTCAAATGCATATCCTTGAGTTTTTCCTCTATCACCTGCGACCTTATGGACACTTAAGTCCTCTGGCAGAACTAAGATCTGCAAATTTTCCAATAGCGATAGCCCATAGGCCATTAAATGATCAGCTGGCAAGGCATTTGTATCGGTCGGTTAAGATAATATGCCTGGTACTGACCTGGCCAAAGAAGTACAAGAGTGCTGTCAAGGCAATTAGCGAGACTTGGGGTCGCCACTGCAACCGAGTGGTATACTATGGCAGCTCTTATAAAACCATTTTACCTGAAGTTGAGACTGTTGGCCTGAACGTCAGCGATACTCGCAGTAATCTATGGGGTAAGACAAAGGAAGCTTTTCGCCATTCTTATAAAACTTATGGCCACGAGGCGGACTGGTTTTTCAAGGCTGATGACGATACCTATGCCGTGATGGAGAATATGCGTAAACTGCTCCAGCCCTACTCCTCTGACACACCCATATACTTCGGCTCTCCATTTAAGTTAAAAGACACCCTCTACATGTCCGGAGGTGCTGGCTATGTGCTAAGCAAGAAGGCTGTGAAGTTGTTGGTTCTTCATGCAGATGAGAAGTGCAAGGCAGGAGTTGAAGGCACTGAGGACTATCAAATGGGCCGTTGTCTAAGACTATTGAATGTGCACGCTGGTGATTCCAGAGACCTCTTTGGCCGCCATCGGTTTTTCTCACTTTCCCTGGGCCACTTTATCATACCTGGATATGATGATGAAGGCTTTTGGCTGTCAGATTATCTTTATCAAGCAATTGGAGAGGTAAAAAAGTTAAAGTTATTCTATTCTACTTCATTTAATTTTTTCTTGCAGGGCATGCAGTGTTGTTCGACCTATTCGATTTCTATGCACAACGTGTCGCCTTACCAAATGCACTTTCTAGAAACCATTTTATATAAAAACCGCCCATACGGAGTTATTGCTGGACATCCTCCCTCAAGAAGCTCAAGAAAAAAAGGACTGGGGAAGCAGCAGTATAGTTTATAAGGCTAATTTTATTAACGTACTTATATTGATGCGAAAACATAATAACTTTTAAGTACTATCTTATCCTATTTTTACAATATCGGGAAAAATAAAAATCAATTCAAGACTTAAAAATCTGTAATATTAACAATTCAGTAATTAAATTCAAGAAGTAGTTTTGGATTGATCATTATTGACATCTTGGTCTAACTCTTTGGCATTTTCTGTTGCTATCAACATAAAAAATATATTTTGGTCGTGAAAAGGCTAAGTCTTCGGCTTTGGCTTAGGTTTGTCTTTTCAATTTGCTTTTCATCATATCGTTTTCCACAAGCTCCATGTTATGGGAAGTCGGAAAATTGTTCCACAGATCTTTAGTACTTAAAATTGATTTCTTCGCTGTTAACTGACTTCGATCTATGCCGAAAGTCTTTAGCTTGTAGATAATGTAGTCAAGCACGTGGAACTCATTGGCATTGTTGAAGTGAAACGAGATAGCAGAGCTTGAGCAACAATCGCTGGTGTCCTGCGGGAGATAGGAAGATGTTTTGATTAGTGGTCAAAAACCAAAATTTGTAAGGCTTTCCATACGTTTTTAGTCTCGTTCCATTCCTGGGCCTCAGGATACCAGGACAACGGTGAATAGGGGACAAAACGGCTTAGCCCGTGCTCATCTCTGGAATCTCCACCCAGAACACCTACCGCAGACAAACATCGCCTAAGTTCCACATCCTCGTAGCCGTAGCTACGGTTGGTGCAGATGCTGCTGTTGCTAAATCCCAACTTTATCAACCGGTGTAGGGCCACTTTGCTCAAGATGTAGTCCATTCCTCCCGAACTGTATCCCTGAAATGTAAAGATTTTCAGTAAACTATTTTAATTCCAGTTCTTTTATGGATTTATCTCGCGGAACATTTAAAAATGTAGCAAGCCTTTAGGCGCCAATAAATATACTCGTACAACTTTTAACTGTTTGTTAATTGCGTTTTCTACTTTTTGAGCATGTAGAAACAACCAATAAACTATTGTTTAGTAATCATACCTCTTTTGGATGTGCTCGGAATATATTTCCGAAATAGATAGGCGTTTTCGGACTAAAGGCGTGTAGAAATGACCGTAAGTTCTCCATTATCACATAGCTGAAATAGAAAAGGAACTTTGTATAAAACTCCTTGTTTTTAAGGTTTTTTTTCACTTACGTATCATCATCAGCCTTCATGAACCAATCGTAATCCTGAAAATGATGTTTGAAGACGTACTGCAGCGCTTCCCGAGTTTTTGGCCATGAATTTGAATAGCCATCTCTTACATTAAGGGCCACAGTACCCAGTTGCTTATCCGCCTTGCTGCTCATGAAGATCACCTTGTTGCAGCGCGTTCCCCAGGTGCGCTGGATGTAAATGGCACGGCTCTGGTGGGTTTTTGGACTTGTTAGCACCATGCAAAGAACGCGTGTCTCGTTTAAAAGATGAGATGCAAGGATCCATGGAGGTGGGTGTGTCGTGGTGGTCGGTTGAGTTGTGGGGCTACGGTTGCTCCTGTGACTACCTGGGAAGGGGCTGCTTTCCTCCTTCAGCTGGTCCTCGTAGTACTGCCCACGGGCCCGTCGCATCAACTCGGAGAAAAAAAAACCCCAGGCCAGGCCGATCAGTACCATCAATACTAGCTTCTAAACGCTTACGGTGCGGGCGGGCTCCCATCATCTTGCTTGACTTTGTTGGGTTTTTTATATAATTAAAAATTTAATTTATTTATAAACTGATACGAATCAATAATCATTTTTGTGGGCGTGTTTTTGAAGTTTAAATACTCAGGTTAGCTTTTTACTATATTAGCATGTTTAACAAATATTTACTTTCAATATGGCAAACTGAAATAAATCAAAGGAAGTAGCCAAATTATTATAGAAACAAATTACTTTTGTTTCTTTGTTATGAAGCATCCATTTTTATAGCTAGCGGATTGATGTATGGAACTGATTTTGTTTTGATTTTTTCCTCCGCCTTTTTTCTCTTTTTACGATCCGCGTTTGTTTACTTTTTTATGCAAATTTAATGTCGTCAGGCGGCAAACTGTTGTGCCTGCTACAGGCAGCCGCGGTTGATGTCGTTGTTGTTTTCGAATCGCCGAATTAACACATTCTTGAGACAGTGACGCAGAGTCGAAAGCCTGTAAAGATGCGGTCGACCTTCGGGAAAACGCTCAGTGGCTCAGGTGTGCGTCTGCAGAGTGGCACAATCTTGTTAAGTTCAATTCGATTCGATCCGCAATTGCTATGTTGCAAATGGCAATTGCCTGGCCTGCTTGACGTTTTTTGTCTTCCAAGGCGTTTCAATCTCATTTGGCCCGTATCGTTTCGAGTGGACGAGTCCAATTATGTGACTGTGTTTTTCACCTCTTCTACTCCGACACTACTACAGAATTTCAATCACATGCCCCCAACGGAAAGGCCATAAAAATAAACGTAGCTCGAACGCGACTTGAAGCTCAAGACAAAAATAAACAATGAGCCAAGGCGAAAAAAAAATTGTGAAGCTCGAAAATAAACAGCTAACAACGTCTTCGCGCTTTGCCGGCAGTTGACAGACTCGGCTTAAATGGGCGCGTCGAAAATGTTGCTATCGAAATACCTTAACGCTTGCTTAGCCATAATGTTGCCAGATATTTAACTGTATACAACTTAAGCTTTTTACTTCAAAAGATCGATTTCGAAAACTGACAGAGTATGACAATTGTCTGTGACTCGATAATAATTCAAATTATAAGGTTAAAACATTTTTAAGACGAAATAAATATATGTTATTATACAAAATGTTTATGACTCTAAACTCACTTTTAGAGAAATCATGGGTTTTCCATTTTTATATAAACTTAATATGCATCATTTGATGATGAGTCAGTTTGACGGAGTTGTAAGCAATTATTTTCTTATGCATGCTGCATGATGCTTTGACCTTTCATATTTTTCTTAACGATTTACTAAAAGTCGTTAAGGCTTGTGGTGCCTCCTTAAAAGGCTACAACATATGCCACTTGCACCTTAATTAGTTATTTAACTTATTTTGCAATACAATACAGGCTGTACTTCAACGCAGTTGAAATGCCAGAAAAAGCTTTTAGAGCTTTAGTATAATCAAATATGCCTAAAAATAGGCAACACTTTTGAATCTTTATATGAGGAACGTTTTGTATTTATTAATTAGAAAACTAGTAGTAGATGAAGCACAATGAAGGAATATACAAAGAGTGCATAGGTGAGTAGCAGGACTCAGGCGTAAGGACCTCCGGAGGCGTCAAGTCCTCGGGGGGCATTGGCATAGCTGTCCTCTGCAAAGCTATTGGACACCCCGGAACCGGAAACTGTACCAGAGGACGAACCAGAACCCGAAGCAGTAACCGAAGCAGTACCAGAAGCAGTAGCCGAAGCAGTACCCGATCGTATCTCAGCTTCCAGAGTTGCTGCTCCTGCTGCCGATCGAGTAATATCTCCGGACTTGGATCGCTCATCCAGAGCCACAAATGGAGTGGGCTTTGCCACTTGCGTCACCTTTGACACTGGAACGACCACAGCTTTAAGGGCGTAGGGCACTCGGTTAACCACTGCATTGAAGCCATGGACATCATCCGCCGTGTAGGTCACGGTGCGCTTGTAGCCATCCGGATCGACGAGGCTGTAAAAGCCGCGAACGACATATCCATCACGGGTTTCACTGTGCTCCTTGATGTCGCCGGTGCTCTCGTCGTTCACGGCGTAGTTGAAGCTGTAGCTGGCAGGCGTGAAGACCTCCGGTTCCTGCTGCTGGCGCACAACGGACGTTACTACAACCGAATCCTGCTTTTGTTCCTGAATGGCCGGAACTATTTCTTGTTCTTGTTCCTGCACAGATGAAATCACCTCCGAATTCTGCTCCTGGCGAAGGATTGGCAGTGGCGAGGGCAGCAAAGCGGAGGCGGCGTTGGCTGCACTGGCAGCATTTTGGAGCAGATTTGAGGCCTGAGCACTGGCCTTCCGGCTGCCGGCAGTAAACTGATTCCTAGTGGGAGCTAAGTAGTCATACCCTTCGGGAGTCGCCTCCGAGTTCAGGGCATTGTTGCTAGGCGTGTGATAGTCGCTCAGGAAATCCTCACCGGAACTGCTGGATGCCCGGTGCTCCAGGGAGTTGACCGCCGCAGCCGACTTTTCGTTGTAGTTGTACTCCGCTTGGCCGGCGGTGAAAAGGGCCAGCAACAGCAGGGCAAAAAGCTGAAAGTACAGTTTTGTGTTAAATGTGTATCCTTTTCATCCTGTATTCCATTTCTTTAACTAAATGTAAGTTCAGGATGCATAAAACTTACTTTAGCTGCCATCTCAAATCGTTTGGATCTTCCTTCCGTGCGTGAGGCTCTACAAATTGTCAGGTAACTGATGGCATAATTGAAGCAACTCGGAGTTTTTATACTTCATCCCAATTGCAGTTTATTACCCAATGAGAGCCGTTATACAATGTCATGCTCCTCAATTGATCGATTTACCTTTGTCAAATGTCTCTACTACGTATTGGTAACACTTTCATTTTCAATTTGTGACCACTTTTATGCTGCGTAAGCGTAGACGCTATTGAAAGATGATTCGACCATGTATGACCATTGAACAAATAAGAATTGGGGCAGAAGTTTGCAATAAAGATGGACAACATGAACTGGAAAAGCTAAAACCATGAAGAAGAATAGTACATGTTTTTTTAGCTTCTTTGTAAAATTTGTTAACATTTTTTAGGAACAACTTAACTCGTAACCCGTTTAACATCACGTTTTGAAATCCAATCCTATTTAATATCATTAATATGATAATTCCTAAACCAACTTAATTGCGAATCCCATTTGGATGGGCATCCCTAATCGCCCACCGAATCACAGAAGTTTGATGGCGTTTGATAAGAAAACAAAACAAACCGGTTGCTGGCCAACTGATGCCAAGCTGCTGCCTGATTTTGGCTGATTGCTGTCTGGTCAAAACAAACGGCCAGCTGCCGGCAATCGGGAATCGAACGTCGCCGAGAACACAACGCTTGCGCAGAATGACGGCCAAGATTAAGTTGCGGTCTCAACTGCATCTGCTGACGGGTTTCATGGCGGGATTCGTCTTGGCCTTCGTGTTGCTCCTGTACGTCTACGATGTGAGCAGGGTGACGCCCTACTGGAGCAGTTCTTCTACGATGTCCACGGCTACGGCCAGGATAGAGGATTTTCCGCCCGCGAGGATACTGTGCATGGTGCTCACCTATCCGGAAAACGTAGAGAGCTTGGCCAAAACTGTCTACAATACGTGGGGTCGACGCTGCAGCCGCTTGATTTTTGCCAGCAGCGAGGATTACGAGCCACTGGGCGTAGTTGGGGTGGTCGAACCAGGTGGTGGAGGCTACGAAGATCTGTGGATCAAAACACGGGAGGGATTTCGCCACCTTTGGGAAAACTTTGGCCGAGACTACGATTGGTTTCTTAAGGCAGATGATGATACGTACGTATGGCTGGAAGAGATATTTCCGGAATCCCTTATCTCTACCTTAATCCATGCAGGTATGTGGTTATGGAGAACCTGCAGCACCTGCTAAGCGGTTTCGATCCGGATACACCCGTCTACTTTGGCTACAAAATGTCACGGTATAATGTGGTGAGTGATAAATGTTAAACATGTCCACCATTAACTTCCAACCTTGTGCTTATCTTTGTTATTCATCAATTATTTCTTTTGGGAAGTATAACCCTATGAAGATTCGTAAAAGATTTTTGTCTGTGCATTTGATTTATTTGATAAGTGATCCAGATTATCGTTGGCATTAGCTTCTAATTAACTGCTCATCTTCCATGTTATTGTCGCCCGCTTGCTAAGCTAATTAGAATTGCTAATTTTTGTTTCGGATTTGACAGTTTGGTTTCGCTTTTCGCCGTTTTTAAATAATTTCTTCCGAGCTCAGCGGACATGCTCCCGGCAAGAATAGTTTCCTTATGTCAAATGATAAATTAAGTAATTTTTAAAGCAAAATCAACATATAGCCCTTAACTGATTATGTTTTTATCAATTTACCATATTAAACATAAAACAGTAAATAAGGCTCTTTGAACTTTCTCGAATTGCTTTAACGAACGAAGAAATGTGCTAATCAAAAATTGATATTTGTGACAATAACCGGTCTTCTTTTGTGAGTGTAATCTAACAATACTTAATAGCGATTTATTGTGCATTCTCTGGCGGTAAACACGCATTAAATCTATTATTGGTAGGATGATATCATGATATCAGAACAGTTAAGATCTTGACTGGCCAAAAGCTTCTTGTCTTGGCGTTTTCCGTGAGCATATATCAATGTTAACCAGCGACAATAAGAAATTAAGAATTAAATTCGCATTAACAATCGCAGATGCAGTGTGCAGAGACTAATGGCAATGCTACACCTGAGGTCATCACGATAACTTGACACGCATCTTACTGAGCCGCGCCTTTTTGGCAGCGGCCGGAGATTTATTTGGCCTTTTGACATTTCCAAGAGTTGAGTAAGCTTTGTGTAAAACGAAGTACATTTCGTCTGCAAACATTTGCTTACACATAAATAAACAAATGAGTTATGGAGGGCCCACATCTGGTCGGCCAAAAACTAAGATTTTAAAATATTTTCTTTGTTTCAGCTTCTGCTTCTCTCACACTTTGAATAGACTTTATCGCGGGCTGATTATTCCTAATGCATCGTAAATGTTATAATGATTTGTGATTGATTGTTGTGATTATTTCTCCTGACTTTGTTTTAAACATTATCGTCTTTTCTTAAATTTGAATTTCGGTATTCAGCCAATTAACATATTTGTCTGCTTCCATGAATTATGTATTAATTTAATGCGGTGTTATACTCGTATGCACTAAGGAAAAAAGATAAGAAAAATTATGTTCATAAATGAGAAAATTTACGATAATTTTTAATTGACTTATAATGAAAGGTTTTTCAAGAAGAGTATTTTTGATAATTTTAAATTAAATTATGAGCTCAACGAGGTATGACACGGCTTAACAAAAGTACTTACAAAAGTACCGATTATAGGACCAAAATACGGCATACCATTCGATATTCCGATGATTTTTGGCTTTGCTATGGGAAAAATGCTGATTTTAGGGCCAAAAATCAGGGTGGACCAAAATTCGCATTTTTAGAAAAAAACATCATCAAGCTCCACGAGGTATAACATTACTTTTGCTATTGGCAATAATACCTGTTTTTTGTCGGAAAACCAATGAAGAAAATATTTCAAATTTGTTCGCACCTTCAGCTGTTTTATCTGAAATAATCCCAAGTCAAATGTCACTTCCATTAATTTTTGAGCTTTTGTTTGTTTACAAGTAAGTTTGATGCGTTTTTTGACACATCATTCCATGGTGAGTGACCTCCAAAATAGGATTAAATACATCTTGATTTCGTTGGTGGCTATGTTAAAGAGCTCATACCGTTACTAAAGGTGGGAATAACATAGTATTTTCGGGTCTTTGAAGTGAATATTCATACTTCAACATTAACATTTTCGTATGTTGTGGGAACAGGTTTTGGAAGCTAATACAGGGCGTGTGTGCTATATTAATTTTTAAGTTTATGGTCTATAATTTGAGATAATCCCTTATAATTATGTTTGGTTTTCTAGAGTTATATGTCTGGCGGTGCTTCGTACATTCTGAGTCGCCAGGCACTCCATCGATTTATGACAAGAGCCTATGAGTCGGAGGTGATTTGTCCACAGCCGAAAAAGATGGGCATCGAGGACTTTTACATGGGCGTGTGTCTCCAGAATGTGGGTGTCCACTTTGTTGACTCTGCACAGGCTTTGGATGGAGATAGGAAACCAAAGTTTATGCCTCTGGACCTTGAGAACTATATGTCGGATGGAAATTATACTATTCCGGAATGGTTGCGCCTGATGAGTGTGCCAAAAGTTGAAACCGTGAGTTCTAAAATTATATCATATGAAACCTAAAAAAGTCTTCCTTTTTCCCTTTAAGGGCTTGGGCTGTTGCTCAAATTATTCAGTGGCTTTCCATTACGCTAGCCGCGAGCGCATGTTTCTCTACGAGTTTCTTATATATCATCTCAAAGTTTATAAGCCTGATCAAATTTCGGAGAGCAATCATAGAAATCGTTTAACTTTATCTGATTTAGTGAGGCGATTTCCCCTGGAAAATAACTCCTATGTCAAAGACTTGCTACAAATGTCTGAGAAACCTGATAATTTTTAATTATTTAATTTTATTGTTATTTTAGCTAAATGTGATACGCAATTTGAAAATAATTAAATCGTTGTTAAAATTATAAACATTGATATGAATGTATGCATATGTTTAATTTAAATTTTGTTTAAATTTAGAAGGAAATAAAGGGTCTAACTGTGATTCTGGGTATGGGTTATTCATATCTTTCTTCCTAATAATCTACGCATTCATATTTAACAGGCTAAAAATATTTTGTCAGTGTTTTAAATATTTATGAGCTACATTACGTTCCTTTTAATTAGGGTCCTAGTGACCGGATCGATAATGCCTATTTCTTGGATATCAGACGTTTTACTAACATAAACATTTTAAAATGAATTAAAAAAATTCAAATTCTGACTCAGCAACTGTTAGTACACAGGCTGTTATTAGACGTTGATGAATAATAACACTCTTGCTCAGCTATTTAATGCTAGCCGGCATCTCAGTCAGCATAAGTTAGTTGTATTTGAGTGAGGAACATCTGAGGATCTACAAGGCACTAGCTCTGTAAAAACGGTTCGGTTAGTTACTGTGAAGTTTTGTTTTTCTTTAACGACGTTAATTTGCGGCAATACTTTATTCAGACCATAAAAATGCATTTAAAACGAGCTTCCTATATCGATCCTCAGTCCCAGCTGATTTTGTCTTTGGCCAATCAAGATATTCAGCGGTTTGTCGCTGCTTTGAAAGGCGGGGCCAGGGCTGATCAGCAGATCGGGCTTATGATGAACATCTACGAGAAGGCGCTATCCACTCCAGGTTGCCGGAGTTTTATAAGGGCGTGCATCGATCACGGTTGTAAGGTCAACTATGTGAGTATTTTCCCGCAAATAGTAAAATCGATCCCTAGGTTTCAATCTTCTTCAGTATAATACGCGTTTGATGAAAACCGCAGTCAGCTTTGCCGCCGATTCAATAGACCCCGGAAATCTCGAAGCGCTTCTTGCTTTCAGTCCCGAAGGAAAATCTCAGGTGGACATAAAGTATGAATACCTCACCCCACTTAACTCTCTGGCCGATAATCTCACGGAAGACAACGCTTCGGCGGTTTTATCCTGCATGCGATTCTTGCTCGAATGCGGTGCCTCTCCGAACATCGTCGACTTACGAAATTTAACGCCTTTGCATAAAGTGCTTCGAAAAAAGGTTAAGGCAGAGAGGCTGGAGCTGGTCAAGCTCTTCCTCGCCCAGCCAGACATAGATATCGATAGCTTCCACTGGGGAAATGTGCGACGTCTACTGAAGGCGGAGTTTCCGGAGCTGCGATTGCCGGAAAACCGCAAAAGTAAGATGGAGCTGGATATAAAAAGCCTTCTACTTACTCTAGAAGATGGAGATGATGACCTGTTTGAGCAGCAATTTGCCGTGTACAAGAGCATGCCAGGCAATCTACTGAAAACTGACGATTGGGAGTACATTAACCTACTGAAGGATTGTATTCGTTTGGGAAGGCAGAGGGCTCTTGAAACGATCCTTTCTTCTGGCGTTAATATCAATTATCGGACGATAACCGGCAACACAACTCTCTTTGGGGTGGCCTTACACTGGGGCAACTCTATGGCCCTGAAAATCCTTCTAGCGACGCTTAAAGTTGAGCTTGGTTCAAGCTCACTCTTACTACGCGTGGCGATCGATCGCCTAGACGATAAACCCATTAATGGTTTTAATCATCAACGTTGTTTTTTGTATCTATTAAAATCCGATCTCGTGAGCATCAACGAGACCTATGATGATGATCAAGGGCCGCTAGCATATGCGGTGAAAGTTCGGAACACATTTGCTATGAAGGAACTTCTAAAGCATGGTGCCTACATTGGGTCTCTGAATAGGTATGAAACCCTGCCCATCAAAGACATGCTGCCTGAGGTGCTCGAAGAGCACTTTGACTCCTGCATCACCACGAATGGAAATAGTCGTGGTGAAAAGGATTTCGGGATCACCATCGAATACAAAAACCTAATACCTGTCGGTGTTGAGGTGCAAGACGAAATGTCCCCCATCACCTTTATCGCCCAGTCGGAGGAGATGCGTCACCTGCTGCAGCACCCGGTAATCTCGACCTTCCTCTTCCTAAAGTGGCGCCGCCTTTGCGTGGGTTTTTACCTAAATTTTATATTAAGTACGGTCTTTACCTTCTTCATTATCATCCACACGCTCCTTAGACTCTACGACAGCGAGTACACAGCTTTCTTCGCAGTTTGCAAATACCTTTCCTATGTGGGAATAGGCTATCTATTTATTCGGGAGGCTATCCAGTTCATGATTTCTCGATTTCGGTATGTTAAGTCCATAACAAACCTTTTGGAGTGCTCTCTTATAGTATTGTCGATCCTGACCTGCATTAAATTCAATGACAAGGAGACAGAGCGCACCGTAGCCGCTTATACCATTCTATTGGTCAGCGTAGATTTCTGCCTGTTGGTGGGGTCCTTGCCAGTGCTCTCCATTTCGACGCACATGCTTATGTTACGCGAAGTCTCAATGAACTTTCTTAAAAGTTTTTCCTTCTACTCGATCTTTGTGATCACTTTTAGTCTCTGTTTCTTTATTATTTTTGGAAAATTGCCAGAGAAAAAGGATAGACTAGCAGGTACCACGATATCTCCGGAGACCACTGAAAGTACATCTTCGTTTTTGGAAGAAGAAAACAAACAGGACTTCGACTTCACCAACATATTCGTGGCCCTAATCAAAACCATTGTAATGATGACAGGCGAGCTTAATGCCGGGGACATAACCTTCACTAGTGTCTACTCGTACTTGTTCTTGGTGATCTTTATTATGTTCATAACGATAGTGTTACTCAATCTGTTGAACGGTCTGGCCGTGAACGATACCCAGGTAGGCTCATCTGCCTTAAGCTGCCAGTGATCTAATTTTTATCATTCTTTCCTGTTTCTCAGAATATTAAAATGCAAGCCGAACTGAACGGTGAAATTTGCCGTGTCAACCTGGTAAGTCGATACGAACAGGTGCTAAACAGTGGTGGACGACCTGGGCTTTTCAATAGCCATCAAACATTTCGGAATATCTGCCGACTGCTAAAAATCTTTCCCAACTGCCTAACCCCACGCTATATTTGCATTAAGCCGAATGATGACCGCAAGGTTTATGCCTATATGCCCTGGAGCCACTATACTATTGTGGGATCACGCTTAATGAAAAATTATCAAGAGTTCCGGAACGGACGGTTAAGATGGCCCTCGCCGTGATGGATAATGCCGAAGACAGGCAAAAGCTGAAAAGAGATGGAAGAGATGCGAAGTAAGCTTATCGAGAACAAGTTAAACCATATGGAAAAAATACTCAAGAAGTTGCAGAAGGCAAACTGACTAGACATTTGAAAAGAGCTAATTTTAAAAGTGTCAAATGATGCTGCATACTTATAGGCTGTTCGAAAAAGTAAAATGGCCGCAAACAAATTGTGGCGCCTTTAAATACAAATTTACCTGCAGTACAGAAAAAAATCTATTTTACTTCTATGCAAATTTCATTAAATAAGTTTAAAAACGGTACACATTATGTGTTGGGACAGATGATTATATATAAAAATGTTTTATTTTCTTTGATATAAAGTGTTATTTAGAGTGATGGATTGTGACAAATGATTTTACACTGGCTAAAGGGTATTCGATGTTCACCAAAAGAATAGATTTTTGTAAATTCTGCAAATGGTATTAAGTGGATGGCACATGTTCTGCAATATATTTTTTTAATTTATTGCACTGACCTTGTAAGCTCCACAGGTATTTAATTAACACCTGACAGCTACACTGAGTTAAAGAGTCAGCTATGGAGGGATTTGGGCAGTAAGAGTCTTTAACTGTCTAGTACTACTTGAATATCCTCCACTTGGGGCATTCTTGCATGAAGGGCTGACCAACTGAACTGCACTGGAGTAGGCTGTTTATTTCATTACCAAAGTCAATGCCTCAGTCTCACCTTAATGCCGCTTCACCTGCTTCAGTTTACCCAACATATGTGTTTATACTACTACCTGCTGTGCTGTTGCCGGGCCAAAGTTATTTAAATCCAAAATCACGTACGCATGCTCGGTGTATGTCAGTTGGCATTTCCACTCTTTCCCCTCCGAGATCCGGCAATCGGAATGCCTTTGGAGATTGAGATGTTTTTAGACGCCGGCTGCGAGGCTCTGCGAAACTTTGTATGGCTAAATTGCATTAGAAATATCATAGATGGGACACATTGATCTTATCCACAGAACATCGTTCGTTAATATGGGATGCAAGTGAAAGGGAACTTGTTTAATTTATTTGCTGTTGTTTTTACTTACATTGTATGATTGCCCGGCTTGGGTTTATAGTTAGGCATGAGCTCAGTGTGTTAATGGGTTAATACAAGTAATTGAACATAAAAGCGAAAAGCTCTATTGAGGAAACGAATTCTCCGGCACTTGTTCAAACAGGGCGCTTAGCCGGTGCTGGGAGTGGGCCACAAGTGTACCTTGGAATCGCACTTCAGTGCAGTGCCATGGATATGGGATGGGTTCAAGCTTGGAGTAAACTCTTCGGACTCAATTCGAGCTTAATCGTTTCTTGTTAAATGACTGTGGGAATCTGTGATGGGTTTTTAATTTTCATTATGTTGCATACGAAAACCATATTCAAAAAATGATTATAAGATTGGTTTCTTTAGAATTCAATTTTAGAAAAAGTGGAAAAATACATTAATTGATTTTCTCATAAATAAACCTTCAAAAATAAAATTAGGCTTTAATCCTCAATAGCCAACGATTCAATCGAGTCATATCAAAGAATCCAATTAGTGGAAAATGCACTTAATTTATGAGACCTACCAACTCCGCACTGAAACTATTTGCTAACAAGCTAAGCTAATACGGCTACCAGTGGCAGCTACCTACCTACTAGTAACTAGTTAATTCAGTTTACTTATTTGCCCAAGCTCAATGTTTCTCCGTTCCAAAACGGCCGTCACACGGTGCGTATGCTTAATGCGTTTTGCCTTAACTTTGACTTACTCCGGCTGCGAATCTGAGCTGTCGGTGTTATTTCAATGGCGCGTGTTCCATTTTGTGGGCCGACACAAGCTTCACAAGGGGTATAGTTTGGTTGTTGCTGCTCTTGCTCTTGTTATTGTCACCTGTCCGATTATTATTATTACTATTTTTATTTGGCCGCATTGTGCGTTGTCGCTGTTGCTGTCGAGTCGCTTTGCCTGACCTTCGATCTCGTTCGCTCTCGATTTGCAAGCCATTAAAAATGATATTTTTCGTAGTTGAAAATTGAAATTGTATCGAAATCGAAATTCAAGCTGTAAGAAATCAATTACTTGCCTATGCGTAGCCGTGTCTTACTCATTCATTTTTTTTTTTTTTTTTTTCTTGGCTTTTTGTGCCGTGAAAGTTGTTAAACCATTTAACAATATTATCGCTGTTGTTGGTTTGATTTTAATTTTGCTGAGCAAGATAAATTAATTATTAATGTGGCTCGAATATTTGCAGGCCATTTCACATAAACACAGAAATTATTGCTCATTTTTTACCCTTCACTTTTTGTGGCCAAGATACAAGCCCAGGAATGCGATATCATTGTTTATGTCTTCTACTTTTTGTGTTCTGTGTGCGTAAATTGTTGTGGACTTGGCTGAGAGCTTGTTTAGAACTTGTAATTGCTGTTGGAGCCGAAAGTGTTTTGGGCTTGGTAGTACCATTAAATCTTCAAGTGGGTGCTCGAAATTTCTGCTCTGGACTCCAGCTTGAAGTCTATTTTTGAAAATGTCATTCCTGGCTTATAGGTTTGATTTTATTTATAATAATATTGATATTTTTAATGAATATTTTATTAATTAGAAGATTTTTATTTTTATGAAATTTTTAATCAATAATCAGTCAACAGCTGCAGATACTAATCGAGTTAAGTTAGTCAACTTCAAATTGTTCGCTTGGAAGGCCCCATTGCGAAAAACCATTTACAAGTTGCCTCATTGCACGCACAGATAAATCAACACTCAACGACAATCGGCAGCACATAAAAATTAATTAATTTAATTACTTATCTAACCGAATTGCATTGGAGTTACGAGTTCTCAACTTATGCTTGCTGTTGTGTGTTTTCAATACATTTTTTCATTTTTTTAATGACGATCAAGCATGAAGCGTTCGATTCACTTTTTGGTCTTCTATGTAATTCATTTAAAGTGCACTTAAAAGTTGGAAATATGTATTTTTTGTTTTTCGATGCGTGTTAAAAGTAAGCTTCGATCGTTGTCTTGCAATAATAAATATTTATAGATGCGCCCGATCTGCTAAATGCCTGACTGCACTTGTTAAGCTCGGCATAGAATCGAAGATAAATAAGAATCTTAATTGATTTTAATGTGCACAGCTGCACGGTGTATAGCCGCAGTTGACGACTTCTGACTATTGACTGACATCCGAACAAAGATCGAAGAGGCTAGTATGGGGCCATAAAGGTAAGTGAGTCGACATACTCATAGAAAACTTGACATAAAATATTGTCTCTGGACAATGGTTAAATGTTTCAGGCCCTAATCGTTGAGCAATTAAATACCTTAGGAACTTAAAGGTTGCCCTTTGTTTTTGTCAATTACTACAGAAGCTTAAGCAAAGTGCGGCAAACCCAGTCCCCACTTTTAGACAATGTTCCAACATCTGACAATGGAGGACTGTAAATAATTTGTTACAAATTATCAGAGTTTCAAGCTCAGGAGAATACCAAATATCTTTTAATCATTTGTCCAGAAAGTCAAGTTCCACTTCATAAAAACCTAATACCCATCAGATTAGTTTTATGCCATTCCAATTAGTATGTAAATTTTGTGTAATCAAACTGAGTTGGGTAATACTCGGATGTCCATTCACAAGACTCCAAGAACCAACCGCTGGGATCTCTCTCGGGCCCAAGCAGGAACTCTTCTCCTCATGGGTGCCGGTTTTTACCACTCAATTAACCGCAAGAGCAGCCGAGGTAACCGATTGAAGATGGGCTGCTCTCTCATCTGATCTGTCTTCCACCCGGTTGCAATGCATCCGCCAGGCTGGGAAATTCCCGCTATGCGACGAGAGAAAGGGCGAGAGGCACAGCAATGATTAATTCGACACGTCGTCATGTCAAATATGACGGAACTCATTTGAAGGCGGACATGGCTTGGGATCCAATCCCAGATCCCGAGAGCCGAAGCCGAAATGGAGCATTAGTTTGGGAGTACCAAAGAGCGGGAGAGACTACACTGGGAGAAAGTTTGCCAACAAATTCTTATTTCTTACTTAAATTTAAATTTTATTTATTTCGGTTACCTCCAAAATCGGGGAACAATGGTTCATCAGAACATCATTATATTTGAGATTCTTTAAAAAATAGGTTTTTAAATATACTTAAAATACAGTTTTACTACGAAAAAATTATGAATTTTCCGATTTTGTTTTCAGTGCATAACCGGTTCCACCACGGACCGATTCGAGCTCTAATGTGGAGGGTCCCCGCACAGCTGGGTTCAGTTTCGAACGAACTCTTGGCCGCTGCGGACGTGTGTTGGAGCCCTCATCTCGAAGGCGGATTCGATTCGTGTGTGTGATGTGCGGTGTGCTGGTGAGCGAACGCCGACGAGAGTGAATGTGAAACGCTGAAACGTGTCGCGCATGCGCCGTCTTCTTCACCGTTATCGTGGCTCTGTGTGCGGGTCTTTGTGGCTGTCGCCGTGCGAAATGGCTTAAATTGTTTAGAAAATAGTGCAAAAGCCCGATAAACATTGAACACCCACCTCCGGAGTTTATTGGATATTTCTTGTGGATCTTTTTTTTCGGAGCTACCCATCTCTTTTGTTCGCCCACAAGCAAACGATTCACCCTCTCCGTCACTTACTCAGTGTGTGTGTGTTGGTGCGTTTGTGTGTGTGTGTGTTTTTTTTTTGGGTCCCCTTTTGGAGTTCCGAGTCTTCTTTGTCCGTTGCTTCGTCGCCGTCTCGGCTTTGCTTACGTTTTCGTTCATGAATTTAATTTATTTTCGTGTTTAATTTTTGCTGTTTCTTCTAGTCGTCCACAGCCTCCCGTGCAACAAAAGATGGGTTTTGCGCAATTTTGGCGACTTCAAAAATATTAAAAACATAATTTCAACTTTGTGGCTAGGGAAAACAAATATTTTCCAAACGGAAGTAATTCAAGTTTAGGGAAAAAAGGCCAAAAAGTCTTTCCTATTGTTGGGATAATTAAAAAAACAAACATAACATCGCAGTGAATGGTCATTTTGAATGAAAAGTATCTAAATTTAGACTAGCGCTAATAGTGCTATTAGTAGTTCATATACCTTTGAATGCTACCAAAATTATTTTCATAATTATTATAATTGGTTGCCATTTTCATGCTATTTTAGTTTTGGCTGATTCTGGTTTTGGGACTGCGTCAGAAAAGCCTGTTGTTCGATAGGAATTTCGGGGCTTATTTGATGTCAGTTCGAACTTTGGCCAGCAATTTTTAAAATTAGCCACAGAAATGTTTATTAATTAATATGAAACAGCCGGGGGCTATGGCTAATGTTCAGAAAGCTGAGGCTCTTGGCTTCTTACCGCAATACGATTTGCTGTATTGTACCGTAATTTCAAAGTGATTATTGCCGTTCAGTCTTCCACGCTTTCCGGACTTTCTCTCTCTCGCTCGCTCACTCATTGGCTTGGATCTCTGTTTTTTTTTTGTTTGGCCAGCGGATTTGGTCAGCGGATCGCCCACAATTTTAAGCGACCATTTGGACCTGGCTTTTACCGCATCGAGTTTTCTCCGCTCGGCCATTTAATAACAATTTCTAAACAAACTCCAAATTGCATTAGGCGGAAAAATGTTAGGAGTCAGTGGCAGGGGAGAGGGGCGGTCTTTATGACTTTGTTAGCTATAGCACTCTGCAGTTGCTGTAATGTTAATTGTTTGCAGTTGTGCAATGGCATTTTATATATTTTTTACTTCTCTTTATCTTCGCTTTACTGCTTTGCACATACATTATTTGTATGCTTTTCGATGTTGTCTGTGTGTTTTTTTAACATTTTTTTTTGGCTTCTTTCTCGACTATTGTCGATTATGACTAATGGAATCTGTTTGTCGTTTGTGGGTTTGTAAGCCCCCAGAAGGTCAATTGCTTTGTGGGTAATTCCGCCTTTATCCGCCTCTTTGCCCTTTATTTGTTTTGCCATTTATTTGGCCATACACCACAGTGCATTCAATAAATGCGATTTTATTCGTTCGCTTCACTTTGTGCAATTTAATTAATTGGCTAGCATTAACGAACCATTTCGCCATTTACTTTACGCTCTTTGCGGTCGAGCCAATTTTGGGTTTTAAATAATCCTGAAAAAGAAATCTCCAAAATTTCTGTAAGAGATACATACAACCCAACCAATGGGGGTAAAAATAAAAAAATATATTGTAGCCAAAAAAAAAAATGAACTATTTTGGAAGATCTGGTCTCCTAAAGATATTCACAGTTTTAAGGGCATTCCTCTGTTTAAACCACATTCCTTTCCCATTTTTAAGCAAAGAGCAAGTGACAATCATTAATAGATAACTTTATCAGGTTTTATGCTAATTTAATCGATCGCAAAACATTTTAAACGAGAATTGGGGTGAATTGACTGATCAAAAGTGACTAAAAACAAAGAATGTGAATCTCTGAATGAATCACTACATTTTTTGGATAATCGTGTCTCATAGAAATCGCTTGACTTGTTTTGCAGTGCAATATTTTGGAAACCATGGGATCTCAGCTGAGTGAAAATTAAAGTGCGAACCAAATGCTAAATCGAACCACTGTGATGATAATCGATATAATGGATAATTAGGCCCATGCCCTCAAAGTCAATCCAAATCCCAAGTTGTTAGTTTACTTAATTAATTTAACAATACAAACGCGTCGTAATCGACCGATTTTCGTGCAACACAATAGCGAACAAACGAATATACAACAAATATAAAGAAATTGCTTGCAATCAATATGAGTGTTCCAAGTGCGCCCCGTCAGAGGGCAGCAAGCAAAAATCGAGATACATGTCCCAGCCAAAAACCCAAGCTCCGGCATCATTTGCCCGGGGCAGCTTACGGAGGAGCCCTGCTGTTGCTGCTGATTAGTCTCGGTCTGGATCTGGGATCCGTCCATTGTTATGGTGAGTACCAACGACCTACCACTACCCCGCACCATATGGTTATTCAATTCAATTAGGTTTATTTGCATAGACTTGGATCGTGCCGTTGGGGAGATTTGTATGGTTGGGGAATGGGAAAACTAATACAAAAGATGGAGTTTACCTAGTTGCAGTTCAATAAGCAATAAAGCATTCAAATTTGCAATATAAATAATGTGAAGAATATATTCTCCTGTTAACTATACAACTTTCAATACCTAAGAAGCGTTGACCAACATCAATCAACTGAAATTATCTGCCGTTGCAACGTGTGAAGTTGCAAATTTATTTAAAGTTAAAATGCATTTACTGCAAGACAGCTGAAGTGTTTTTAACAAAATTACGACTTTTAAGGCAACTAAACCTATCATATTTGAACTCACTAAATACTACCTGGTTAGAATTGACGTCATTCCCTAGACGGCATGCAAACGGATCGCCAGACGTGCTGAGATCTTGTGGCTTCAAAATGACCGATTAGATCCCGGCACAGACAATTTATAAGTCAGGTATACATATATATATTGTTCATACACTGTACGAATTGACATAATTTTTGTTTTTAAGTAAATAATGAGTATGTATAAGTAGAAGTAGTAGTAATTTTAATTTTCAAATAGCACTTTTTCTCAGTATACATTTTTCCACTCAGAGGTATAAACTTTTAGAGAAGGGAAGATAGCAGTGGGCAGCAAAGCTATAGATTCCGCGATGTCTGTGCATACTGGTCACGTACCGCATGTGCAGTGGCGAGAGGCGTGGCTCGAAGCTCGATCCGAGTCAAATGTCAACGCTCGGCCAACAGGCTTCCCCCCTTTTGGCTTCCTCTCTCAATTTAGCATTTAATTTATTATTTTTCACCCGATTTACTTTTGTTTTGGCTTTGCTATTTTGCCTATCATTTGATTTATGACCAGAGATCCAATTTTATTTTCTTATTTCGCAATATTTAGCTTAATGAAATTACTGCAAACAAACGTGAAATGTATCCCATTGTGTTGGCCAACCCCGCCGCCCGCAGTGATATTGTCTTCGTGCCCTCTTCCTGATGGAAAGATCGACAGTTTTAGCGATCTCCGATCTCAGCAGGTGGCATGGGGAAGTCGAACATTGAATTCGTCTCGCCTGTTGGCGGCAAATGATTTGTTTCATTTTGTTTTCTTTTCATCAATTTTATTAGCATTCGCGAAGGTCTGTTGTTAGCTGAACTTCGATTGATTATATTGAAGGTGCTATATCGAATTGTAGTTCGAATACAAGGAATGATCTCACATGGGCTATATTAGGTTATAAAAAATTATGTTTAAATGTTTTTCAAACTTTTTTTGCCAGCTATATTGAAAGCCAAAGGCATACTGACCCATTTCGATTGTCATGGGCCCCTCAAGATATAAAAAGCTCAAAATGATAAGAAATTTGCTTTGGCTGACGCATTTTCGGAATCAGTTTTGTACTTTTTCCGATAAGCAAAAATGTTTGGGGTACTTTACTACATTATCAATGAAAGTTTACACTCAGAATTTTCGGAGAATTTGCATATATATATATATATATTAATATACATATTTTAAGGCATTAATAAATGGGTTCACAAAGAGCTTTTTCTTATCGAACGTATAGAGATATATATAATCGTTAATTTTATTAATTTTTTGTTTACATTTTTCAAAGGTATTCTTAGATTAAAATTGAGCCATTCTCTGAAAAGCAAAAGCATTCAAATAATATTAAATTTATTTTTTTAATCTTATATTTATGTACCTTCAGTTTTGTTTGTTATTTTTATAACCATAAAGTACTGTTTTTAACGCGTAAACCGGGGAATACCCGGCATAAACGTGGTCCCTTAAGAAGCATTGATAGACAAAGGCGGGTTGGCTCAGTCGATTCGCCGATATCAACGCGTACGGATCATCCAGAAATGAGCGGAATAAACGATGCACATTCTGAGAGTGTAGGTGCAAGAAGTGAAGGGGCAGGAGAAGAAGCAATAAGTGAGCAAAAAGCTCTAACTACCACTTCGGAAGAGAATCAAAATTCCTGCGCAAAGAGAAAGATCGACGGAGAATTTGATGAACATGTTTTAAGTTCAAAGCGGCCAGATTTAGTAATTGGGGATCAACAAATTGCAAAGGAAAATAAAGAGAGAGCCTCGTCTTCTAAGACACCACACAAAATCTTCGCACTGGACACCTATTGCTGGGATATCATACTGTCTTATCTTAGCCTGAGTGATAAAATAAAACTTGCTGCCTCAAATCCTCATCTTACAAAACTTTACGAAACTTTACAGCACAGATATAGTCGCATTACTGAAATCGACTCAGCAAGTATCGACGGTACCGAGTTGGCACACTTGCTGGAAATCGTCAATGAGTATGTGATCAGCTATGAGTCAACACTGGACCTTCAGTCCACTGACGAACAAAATTTGTGGCTGTTGCGAACTTATTGTCCCAAAGTGCAGCACCTGAAAATGACTTTTCGAAGGCCCAGATGGCACGATTTAAAGGAGTTGAAGAGTCTAACATCATTACACGTCCAATTGAACTTCGGAAGAGCAGAGACCTATAAGGATTTTATTCTCACACTGATGGAGTTGACTCTTCTTAAGAAACTTAACTTGGAGGCGCCAGCTTATAAAGGAGATGGATTGCATGTCCTGGAGAATTTGGAGTCCCTTGAGATCGGCGCCCGACCCGGTTTTGATGGTGACTGTTTGGCTATATGTTGCATGAAGTTAAAGAAGTTGCGCTATCTAAATATCGGAAAGTACATCGACAACCTAACTGAGGAGAACTTCAAGGTGATTGTGAAGAACTGTCACAATCTAGAGAGGTTTTCTTTTGGAGATCAACTTTTGGACTTAGTGCCCTATGAGATCGTCTGCCAGTTGCCGAAGCTTAAACACGTGCAGTTGTGGCATTCGGATAATCTTAGACCTCATTTCATCGAGGGACTGATTAATAAACCAGGCACACCGCTGGAAAGCCTTATTTTAGTGGGTTTCGAATTGAGGGTTGAACAAGTTGATCATATCTGCGAGATTGCTTCGCTTCAGGAACTTCGCATCGCCTGTGAGAATGCTTCTTTGAAAGGCCTAATGAATCTGAAGAATCTTAAAATCCTGGATCTGAACATGCCAGATCTGACCAATAACCAGCTATTGGCGCTTTTGGAAGGCCTGCCTCTTTTGACAGTACTTGGTGTCCGAAAATGCAAGTTAATCACCTCGGAATTTGTCTCACAAGCAACTCGATTGTATAATTGTAGAAAGATAAAAATCTATTTGCAAGTCTCTGCCAATGATTGGCATAAACTCCGGATTTCAAATGATAGTAAATCACTTCAATTCCAAAGGGGTTATTTAAGCTACCCATATTGATAAGCCAAGAGCTTGTAAAGTTCTGGTTGATATTAATTTTTTATATATTTGTAGAAACTTTTTTATATATATATTTCCAAATAAATTAAATAAATAATCGTTACCTAAAATTGTAAGTTCTTCCATTTTAAAAAACTTCCCAGCTTAACTTTATTTGCTAAAAACGAAAATCATCAATTAAAATGTTAACAAATTCCCCCATTTATTTAACATCACTGGTTGGGTATTGATCATCATTTGGACTTTCAAATTTAATGTTTAGTTCTACAAACTTATTTGCCAAAAAGTCCAATACTGGAAATTTTAATTAGGCAAATGGCATTTTGATTAACAAAATAAAAATGCCCCAAGCGAGACAGTGGAAAGAAGCAAAGCAACTATCATTAACATCGTGTAAGCCGAAATACTAGGCAAGTGTTTCAGTAAAACTTCAATTTAGGAATGACTGCATTCTTTGCGAACCGCAACTCTTAATTAAGCCGCTGGAGATAAAATAAATTCTTTGCGATTCATTAGTCTCGAAGTTAAGCGGGGCGAGAACTTGTACGGGAATGTAAAATTTAATTAAGTCATGTGCGCATTTTTATGTTCCGACAAATTTGGCCACCAATTAACAGCTAACAAATAGATGTCACTGTCTACATTCGTTTTTTTTTCGTCCTCCATAATTAGTGCTAATTTTAATTCGCTTGTAACAGAAAGGGAAAGATGCCTGCTGGATGTTTGCTTTGGCTTTTGTGAAAAAATATTCTAAAGTTAAAAATGGTGTCTGGCAGATATTTCAAGTCTGTTTCTACCCATTCCCGAATTTAGAAACTGTCATACCGCAGAGATTCCGCATCATTACTGCCTATGCCACGAACTAAAAACGGGGTCCACACATCGAACTTTCGTTTTAGAAGCTGCCAATTTCGCAGTGGACAGGATTAACGATTTTATCAAGCCGTATCCGCAGTGTAAAAAACTTTCACTGAAGGAAGTTCGTGCTGCCTATCGGACAAAAGATGAGTAAAAAGGAGACTACAAGTCGCCTCAGATTATGGTCCGATTTAAGGCCTTGCCTGGAAATGTAAACTTTGATGCAACCGTTCTTTTGAAAGTTTTTGATGCTGATAGGAAGGTTATGAAACTGGGAGGTCCTGTGACCAGGACAGACAGATACGGTCATCAGTCCTTTTGCAGGTTCAGAACTACCGCATTAAATAGTAGCCTTGATTTTGTAAATCAAAGCCATTAGTTCGTTTTTTAAATATATTACTGACTTAGCATCTTTTGACATCATAAGTATAAAATCGTTCTTAAATCAATCAAAAGTTAACCTATTTTACCCCTGCGTGTTTTTCAGAGTGTAGTAAATTACAATTAGTTATGATGGCCTGCATGTTTCTCTCTGAAAATTAATTATGCAGTGCCACGTGAAAAAAATCATCGTCTTTTGTTTAAACAGCAAGAGTCACGCACCAACCGAGATGAAAGTGAATTGTGCGACGTATCGTACTCGTATAAATCAAAAGACTTAGAAAACGAACGCGAAACAGCTGAAGAAATAGAGTGGGATTCACAGAAAGTACAATGCGACAAAGTTGGATAAAAAACCAGTAGTTCATATATGTGCAAATGTATTTTGTTTTTTTTTTAGGGGGAATCCGTGATGTCGTGCAAGTTTTCCAAAAGAAAAAAAAAACAGCTTATATGTGGAAGCTTCTTCTCTGTGTGCAGGTGTTGGTTAGTGATTTTTATTTTTGCCGACATTCCGTACTCCGCCAACGCAGAGTGTTTGTGTACATCCAAGCCATATATATACATATATAGACGACCAGAGTCAGCTGAGGCTTCCTCTCTCTGAGCCTCCTCAGCTGGCAACGTTTTTGGTTAACCGGATCTGATTCTGTTTGCCATCTCAGACCTGGAAATTAATGCTGTTTGTTAGTGGTTGTTGCTAGCCATCCATCCAACCATCCATCCATCACTCACTCACTCAGAGCCGAGCAATGCTCTCGAAAATGGTACGAAATATAGTCATGACTTGTAGCTGCGGCTGCCCCTTCAGCTGTCAACGTCATGGCTCCGGCATGGTTTGCTCACGGTGAAGAATGAAAGCCCACAAATCCGACAAAACAAACCATCTTATTCTGTTCGGAGCGGAATTATGGTCGAATTCGAGGGTGATGCCGTAACAAAAAGGTATATTAAAAAAGAACAAATAAACTGGTTTAAATGATTGCTATGTGTATTCCATCTAAACACTTTTTAGAATGTTGGGCATGTTTTCTTTTTTGGCTGCGGCCATTGGCTTGTTAATTTGAAAACTGGTTTCTCGCAAAACCTTCCCTCTCCCCATCGCAATTATACGCAAATAAACCATAATTATAACGTTTAGCGTCAGCACAATTACGCCTTGCAGATTTTTATCACTTAAAGGTGTCTTCTGTTTAACAAATATTTATATTTAGAACCCGTGTTTTTCAGTGTGAATCATGGATGTAGTCGGCACAAAAAGATGTAATTATTAATTAAACAGGCGAAAAGGGGGGTTTCATCTGGCTTTGTACTTTTCTGACAAGTCTCAGCTCTCAGTTAACTATTTAAACCGAATTTTTCAATCACAGATTAAAATTCTATTTAAATGGCCGGGTGTGGCGTAAATTAGTAAAGTTCAATTAAAATTTAACCGAAATCGTTTTGTAATTAGTTTTATGATGACAAGTCGAATAAAGATAATTTTCCAAAATTGCTTAGGAACTCGTTAGAACCATAAATATGTATAAAAATATGTAAATTGCAGCCATTCCTACGGTCCAGTCATTTGTGCCATTGGGTGTGATTCAATCTCCGCCGTCCGAACCTCAAGTCAATCAATTTTCCAGTCAATTAGAACCAAACTAAGTCAACCAAAAACATTTTCCAATATCACAATCTACAATTTATCGGATCAATTTGACTTTGCTAAAAACCGGCTACTGTCCACAGACAAGTTTATGCGTAAATTATTTATCTAATTTGAAGTGGACATTTAAGGCATTCTCTGATCTTAACTAGCACAATTTATGTGTCACTTACACGCATAAAACTCAGCCAAATTACGCAAATAAATGCTAATTATTTTGGGAAAGTCATCGCCAACACCTTGGTTCTGTTTCTTTTTAATGAATTTAGTATGTTGAAATGGAAAAACTTACGAATTTTTGTGTGTCGATACGATAAGTAGTTTAAGGCCTTGATGGAAATTCCAAGGTATTTGAAATTGTTATACTTCTTGACTCAATACGATCCTGGGGGTTATACAACCATATCTAATAACCGATTCTAAACAAGAAAAGATAAAATTTAACTGCTTGAACCCATAAATTTTAACCTGTGTCACATATTTGCTATCTTTCAGAGAAAATGTATAGTCAGACTGAGAAACAGCGGTACGATGGCTGGTACAATAACCTAGCACATCCAGACTGGGGATCCGTGGGTAAGTTATAAACTGGATTTTCCGCCAGGCTGCTGACAACTTTCGAAAAGGGTGAATTGAGCTGATTACGTGTCTAATTAGAAATAGTTAGACTGGTGATCGACCTGGATTTGCATATCAACACGTTCTTTTGCAATGCCTGCAATTACCATATTTATATATATTACCTTCGCATCCACTTTTAAGATAGCCACCTGGTGCGAAAGGCACCGCCCTCCTACTCGGATGGAGTCTACGCGATGGCCGGTGCCAACCGACCCTCGACCCGCAGGCTCAGTCGACTGTTTATGCGCGGAAAGGACGGACTGGGTTCGAAGTTCAACCGGACGGCACTGCTGGCCTTCTTTGGCCAATTGGTGGCCAATGAGATTGTAATGGCCTCGGAGTCTGGGTGTCCCATCGAGATGCATCGCATCGAGATCGAGAAGTGCGATGAGATGTACGACCGAGAGTGCCGCGGCGACAAGTACATACCCTTCCATCGAGCAGCCTACGATCGGGACACTGGACAGAGCCCGAATGCCCCGAGGGAACAGGTGAGTGACGGTCATCGGATGGGTTTAACCACCACTACTGAAATCATACTCCGCAGATAAATCAAATGACTGCTTGGATTGATGGCAGTTTCATTTACAGCACCTCCGAGGCCTGGCTCAATGCCATGCGCTCCTTCCACAACGGCACTTTGCTCACCCAGAAGGACGGAAAGCTTCCGGTGCGAAACACCATGCGTGTTCCGCTCTTTAACAATCCGGTTCCGAGTGTCATGAAGATGCTCAGTCCGGAACGACTCTTTCGTAAGTTTTGGAAGTATAACTAAGGAGACATTTCAGTCTATACATCTTCCCTAAAAACATTATAAACATTGGTATAAATATATGTAATTCCAGTTCTTGGGGACCCTCGTACCAACCAGAATCCTGCGATCCTCTCCTTTGCCATCCTTTTCCTTCGCTGGCACAATACCCTGGCTCAGCGGATCAAGCGGTTGCATCCAGATTGGAGCGATGAGGATATTTATCAGCGGGCGCGTCACACGGTGATTGCCAGTCTGCAGAATGTGATAGTCTACGAGTATTTGCCCGCTTTTCTGGGTACCTCTTTGCCTCCTTACGATGGCTATAAGCAGGACATACATCCTGGCATTGGGCACATCTTTCAGGCGGCTGCCTTTCGATTTGGCCACACGATGATTCCACCGGGAATTTACAGGCGAGATGGTCAATGTAACTTCAAGGAAACTCCCATGGGTTACCCGGCCGTCAGACTTTGCTCTACTTGGTGGGATTCAAGCGTAAGTTTGGTGGTTTTTTGGGTATGGAAATATTTATGACTTTTCATTATTTATAGGGATTTTTCACAGACACCAGTGTGGAGGAGGTACTGATGGGCCTGGCCTCGCAAATATCTGAACGTGAGGATCCCGTTCTCTGCTCAGATGTGCGGGACAAGCTCTTCGGACCCATGGAATTTACACGTCGTGATCTCGGAGCTCTCAATATTATGCGGGGTCGGGACAACGGTTTGCCGGATTATAATACTGCGAGGGAATCGTACGGACTGAAAAGGCACAAGACCTGGACGGACATCAATCCCCCATTATTCGAAACGCAACCAGAACTCTTGGAGTAAGTTAAAGTTCGTAACTAAATTATTAACTGACCCAACTATCTCCTCCAGCATGCTCAAGGAGGCATATGATAACCAGTTGGATGATGTGGATGTGTATGTCGGCGGTATGCTGGAGTCCTACGGGCAACCGGGCGAGTTCTTCACGGCTGTGATCAAGGAGCAGTTCCAGAGACTGCGGGACGCCGATCGCTTCTGGTTTGAGAATGAACGAAACGGCATATTCACGCCTGAAGAGATAGCAGAGCTTAGGAAAATTACGCTGTGGGACATCATAGTGAATAGCACGGATGTTAACGAGGACGAAATCCAAAAGGATGTGTTCATGTGGCGCACTGGAGATCCTTGTCCGCAGCCAATGCAGCTTAATGCCACCGAACTTGAGCCCTGCACCTATTTGGAGGGCTACGACTACTTCTCTGGCTCGGAATTGATGTTCATATACGTGTGTGTCTTCCTTGGTTTTGTCCCCATTCTTTGTGCCGGTGCTGGTTACTGTGTGGTCAAGCTGCAGAACAGCAAGCGCCGTCGTCTGAAGATTCGTCAGGAGGCACTGAGAGCGCCACAGCACAAAGGATCCGTGGATAAGATGCTGGCCAGGGAATGGCTGCACGCCAACCACAAGCGACTGGTTACGGTCAAATTTGGTCCGGAGGCCGCTATTTACACAGTGGACAGAAAGGGCGAAAAACTGCGCACCTTCAGCCTGAAGCACATTGACGTGGTCAGCGTGGAGGAGTCGGCCACGAATCACATCAAAAGAAGCCGTATATCCTGCTGCGTGTGCCCAGCGATCATGATCTAGTTCTGGAGCTGGAATCTTACGGGGCGCGCAGGAAGTTCGTGAAAAAGCTGGAAGATTTTCTTCTGCTACATAAGAAGGAGATGACCCTAATGGAGGTTAACAGGGACATCATGCTGGCCCGAGCAGAGACGCGAGAGCGGCGCCAGAAGCGGTTGGAGTACTTCTTCCGGGAAGCCTACGCCCTGACCTTCGGCTTGAGACCAGGCGAGCGGAGAAGGCGGTCGGATGCCTCCAGTGACGGCGAGGTAATGACAGTGATGCGGACAAGTCTGTCCAAGGCTGAATTTGCCGCCGCCCTGGGCATGAAACCAAATGATATGTTTGTGCGGAAAATGTTCAACATTGTGGACAAGGATCAGGATGGACGGATCAGCTTCCAGGAGTTCCTCGAGACCGTAGTCCTATTCTCCCGTGGAAAAACAGACGACAAGCTCCGTATAATCTTTGATATGTGTGATAATGATCGGAATGGGGTTATCGACAAGGGAGAACTGAGCGAGATGATGCGATCTCTGGTAGAGATTGCTAGGACGACGAGTCTGGGAGACGATCAGGTCACCGAGCTGATCGATGGCATGTTCCAGGATGTGGGACTCGAGCACAAGAACCACTTGACTTACCAGGACTTTAAGCTGATGATGAAGGAGTACAAGGGTGACTTCGTTGCCATCGGTCTGGACTGCAAGGGAGCCAAGCAGAACTTCCTGGATACATCGACGAACGTGGCCCGAATGACGTCCTTCAATATCGAACCGATGCAGGACAAGCCACGCCACTGGCTGTTGGCCAAGTGGGATGCCTACATCACGTTTCTGGAGGAGAACAGGCAGAACATATTCTACTTGTTCCTCTTCTATGTGGTCACCATTGTCTTGTTTGTGGAGCGCTTCATCCACTATTCGTTCATGGCGGAGCATACAGATCTGCGGCACATCATGGGTGTGGGCATCGCCATTACCAGGGGATCCGCCGCCTCGCTATCCTTCTGTTATTCGCTGCTGTTGCTGACTATGTCCAGGAATCTGATCACCAAGCTGAAGGAGTTTCCCATCCAGCAGTATATTCCGCTGGACTCGCATATTCAGTTCCACAAGATTGCGGCCTGCACAGCTCTCTTCTTTTCGGTACTGCACACGGTGGGTCACATTGTGAACTTCTACCATGTGTCCACGCAGTCCCATGAAAACCTGCGCTGCCTGACCCGCGAAGTGCACTTCGCCTCGGACTACAAGCCGGACATCACCTTCTGGCTTTTCCAGACGGTCACTGGAACCACAGGCGTCATGCTCTTCATTATAATGTGCATAATCTTTGTGTTTGCCCATCCTACGATCCGAAAGAAGGCCTATAATTTCTTCTGGAACATGCACACCCTATACATTGGTTTGTATCTTTTGAGTTTGATTCATGGATTGGCCAGACTGACCGGTCCACCCCGTTTCTGGATGTTCTTCTTGGGCCCGGGCATTGTGTATACGCTGGACAAGATCGTTTCACTGCGCACCAAGTACATGGCTCTGGATGTTATCGATACAGATCTTCTGCCCTCCGACGTGATCAAGATTAAGTTCTACCGTCCACCGAATCTTAAATACCTTTCCGGCCAGTGGGTAAGGTTGTCCTGCACCGCCTTCCGGCCACATGAGATGCACAGCTTTACGCTAACATCGGCACCGCATGAGAACTGCCTCAGTTGCCACATCAAGGCCCAGGGCCCATGGACATGGAAGCTGCGCAACTACTTCGATCCCTGCAACTACAATCCAGAGGATCAGCCTAAAATCCGCATAGAGGGACCGTTTGGAGGCGGCAACCAGGACTGGTACAAGTTCGAGGTGGCCGTGATGGTGGGCGGCGGCATCGGAGTCACTCCTTACGCCTCCATTCTCAATGATCTGGTTTTCGGCACCAGTACCAACCGATACTCGGGTGTGGCCTGCAAGAAGGTTTACTTCCTGTGGATCTGCCCATCCCACAAGCACTTTGAGTGGTTCATCGATGTCCTGCGCGACGTAGAGAAGAAGGATGTGACCAATGTGCTGGAGATACACATATTCATCACACAGTTCTTCCACAAGTTCGATCTGCGAACGACAATGCTGGTATGTACAAGGGTTAGACATATATCTGCTAGTGACAGATACTAAAAATTATATCTTTTTTCAGTACATCTGTGAGAACCACTTCCAGCGACTCTCAAAGACCTCTATATTCACTGGTCTTAAGGCGGTCAACCATTTCGGTCGCCCGGACATGTCCAGCTTTTTGAAGTTTGTTCAAAAGAAGCACTCCTATGTGAGTTTCCTGTTCGACCCCTAAATTTTATTATTATTAATAACCTTTATTTGTAGGTCTCCAAGATAGGTGTCTTCTCGTGCGGTCCCCGTCCGCTGACCAAGAGCGTGATGTCTGCCTGTGATGAAGTTAACAAAACTCGCAAGCTGCCCTATTTCATTCACCACTTCGAGAACTTTGGATAGATCCGGGAGAGCCACCACACCCACTTTAACTCCTGCCAGCTTACCCTATCGCCCTCCGTCTCTTATTCAACGAAATCTAATTGTACTTTTAAGGTTCATTCATTAGTCTAAGCGAATTCGGCTGCTCAAACGTACTTAAATCGATATACCTTAATCGTAGGCTAATCGTACAATCATAATTTAGTCAAGATTTGTTTAGTGCATTATGGAAATGTATCCCATTGTAACAAAATCACCGCAACCGCAGCAAGAACAACAAAAAGGCCTCTATGTATGTATATGTGTATTTATTGAAAATATGATTTGTTATCAGTTTTTGTAAACCGTTCACATTATTTATTAAAAATTTACAATTATCTTTATACGTAAAACACAGAACACAGAATTTGTTACTAAAGGGGTTGAGAAAGCTAATCCAATGAATAAATATTTAATTGGTATTCAAATTTAAAAAAGCTAATGGCGCCATCCTAGTTAGTATTAAGAGCAGTGCCGTTTCTAACACTATTTCCTAACTTTTTAGTGCGCAGAAGCGAAAAACAGCTGATTAAGGATGTTTACTAGCAAACAAGCAACCCGTTATAAAAATTTCTCAAAGCGAGTTAGCCGAAAACGAAAATAACTCAAGTTGAAAAAATATACATTTAGGAGTAATGGAGGTTATTCATCGCATGATAGACTTCGCATCGAGAACGTACACCGTAACGCTTAATCGGGAGCTGTTCATTAACGAATGGGCCCAAGAACGGTTTGAATTGGCCTATTTTTAACATTTTTGGCATTGTGAATTTAAAATCCATTTACAGCTTATCTTTCGGTGAGCCCCTGTGGAATTTTCTTAGCGTTCAAGTGGAGCCAAGCAACCTATTTAACTTTTTCATCCCGCTATGTGGTATCTTCAGTCAGGAGATTGTCATGCACCTATGGCCAGCGGTTGTTCTAGTCAGTACACTGAACTCCTTTGAAAAGTGGTAAGAATATAGTTATTAAAAATCTCTCGTAAATTTAAATTAAGTTCAAAACATTAAAACAGGATTTTTCCGGAGAGTAGGCCACTGTGGTTTATGAGGGAGCAGTTTGCCGATACAAAAGCAAGCGTGAAGCCGACAGTGGCCTTGATGAATAATCCAATCAGCTACGAGACGAGCGGGGGCCTGCCCTGCTCCCATTCGATGGCCTTTACGGTGTTCGTTCTTATCCTTTCCTCGTTCTTTTTTGTCCGCTGCTGGGATCGGTTCACCGCCTGGCGTTCACCCGTTTATCGTTGCCTGATGTATCCGCTGATCTCTGGCTTGGTGGTCTGCATGTGGCTGAGTCGCCTCTACCATGCCACAGAGTTTCTCCACCAATGCATCCTGGGTAGCTATTTTGGGATCAGGGCTCTCAATACCTTCGAGAACAACGTCAAGTATTTGTACTCCCGAACACGGGGCTATGCGGTTTCTGCTGTGTGCTTCTTGGGAGGATTGGCGGTTGCGGTTTATTTTGTAAAACTACATCTCGATATGGATCCCCATTGGTCTGTGCGGCAGGTGAGAGTCGTAGTTTTATCAAAGCTATATAAGTTAGATATATGTATATTTTTATAGGGCTTTAAATGGTGCCAGGAGCCCACTTTAATGCGTCATGAATTGAGTCCGATATTTGCACTTGTTAGGGATCTGGGTAATCTTATGGGACTGGCACTTGCATCGCCCTTATATAAGCTGTAAGTCGTTTTCTTGATAATTTTTATATTCTAATCCACATACTTTATAACTTCTATAAAAGGAATATGAAAGAATCAACATTTTTGCGCCGTTGCAAAATCCTGGGACTTTTGGAGTTTGTTAATTACGGATTACGGCTTGCCACTCCAAAAAATCACGGTCGATTTGTATTCTTGGCCTATGAGTTTTCAAGAAACGTTTTGCACTCCTGCGTTCTATTAAAGTTCGTTACCGCTTTTTACTAGAAGAAAATAAATCTTACGAACTTTTGTACAGACTAAAACTAAGGCAGGTTGTTAGAACTAAATAAAATCAAAGCAATATTGCTACAAAAATATTGTTTTCAATTTTTTAAGCTTTAACAAAAAATGTGCTCATATGTTAAGCTATTAGAGTAGACTACACAATTTTAATTTTATTAAAAAAAAACCCAAATATTTTTTTGAAAAATGGATATACAAACACCATATCTTCCAAAAGAAATGATCACTTATCCCGTCCAGTATTCTTTTCTGTAATAAGAACAAAACGGGTAAAAACAAATTATTTGGAGGACCACAATTTTTAAAATTTTCATTCAGTGCCTACCTTCTTGTTCTCGGTTTGCCATCTGCAGGTTTGAGATCTTGCGGGATCGCCTCCTATCCGATCGGAATAGGCAGTCTACCTGATCCGCTTCGAAAAATGCGTAAACCACACGCACATTGTTGGTGAACCCGCCGCCATCCTTCCAGGCACTCAAGATCACAATGGGATCACCGTCTTCGATTATGTTCCACTTTTTTGCGGAGGTCAGGGCAAATTGTACACGGGCATCGACATCAGTGGCGTAATCCGAACTCGGTTCTGACGTGTAGAGGACCGGCAGGACACCGCGATGCATGTAGACCCAACGGGAGGTCCGTTCACAACGCGTGATTGCCAGGATCGGACAGCGTGGCCGAAACTTGCTGACAAGTGTTGCTGAACGTCCCGAGGTGGTTAGGACTATTATTAGGGTGGCGTTGGTCCGCTTGGCCGTCTCCACCGCAGAAATTGCCAGAGAGTGGGCCGCGTCCAGCTCGCCACGCACCTCGCTAACCAAATCGGAGAAAAGGTCCCTAAACCATAGAACCTTCTCGGCCTCTCGGCACAAGACATCACAAGTGGCAACCGTGTCCTTGGGAAACGACCCAATGGCCACTTCAGAGGACAGCATGATGCAGTCCGCTCCGTCGATGATCGCGTTGGCCAGATCGAAACACTCAGCTCGCGTGGGATGTTGGAGGTTGCGCATGGACTCCAGAATGTGCGATGCTACTATAACCGGCTTGCCCGCCTTATTACACTGGCCCAGGATGCTCTTCTGGGTGATGAAGAGCTTCTCGATGGGTATTTGAGTGCCTAGATCTGCACGGGAAAGAAGCAGTCCGTCCGCCGCCCGCATTATTTCCATAAAGCGACTCAGCGCGATCTTGCTGTCCATCTTGGCGATGATCTTGATATGCTTGCCCTTCTCACCGAGCACCGCGCGCAGCTCCTTGACGTTCTTAGCACTGCGGACCGCCGAAGCGAAGAGGAAGTCTACATTCAGCTTTATGCTGAATTGTATGTCGAACATGTCCTTCTCGGACACGGCCGGTAGATCTATCTCGATCTCCGGAAGGATCACGTTGCAGTTGTTGTTCAGCTGACCGCCTTGGATGACCTCACATAAAAGCCCATCCACGCCCACCTCCATGATATTAAGCAGGAGCCTACCGTCGTCAATGAACAGGCGATCGCCGGGCTTCGTCAAGTTAATAATGTTTGGATAGTCTACATAGACCGCTTCCTTGTTGCCCTTTGTCGTAAAGATCCCGATTAATCGAGAGCCGCAGATTTTCACCGGCTCGCAGGAAAACGTCACCATCCAACAGGCCAGTTCGGATCTGCGGCCCACGCGTGTCAGCCGCAATGGCAACCGTTCGAATCTGACCCGTCTCCTTGAGAATCCTCTCCAGCGCCTCATGAATCAGCTCGATAGTTTTCGAGTGCATCTCATGCGATTCGTGGGAAAAATTTAGACGAAATATATTAACCCCTCTCTTAATCATGGCGTATATGGTGTCCACGTTCCGGGAACTTGTGGATATTGTAGCTATTAAGGAAACCAGGCGTTGATGTGAGGCCTGCTGGCCAAGTTCTAGCTCGCAGATATGGTCCAACTGTGTGGAGCCCTCCTTGAGTACAGATTTCGCGGACAACGACATAATTGTCTTAAAAATATAGTTAAGAAAGAAACTTAAAATTTTGCCTAACTGCCAGTAATACGACACTCTGTGACGTTTTACGAAATGTGTTATGCCTCTTTGTAGCTGGAGAAACGCTACGATTAGAATTGAATGGGCGTGAACTAAATTTTTTAAGGCTTTTGCAGTTCCAAAGCAGTGGCCGCAAAACTGTATGAGGCCAGCATCCAAAAAGTATGCTACAATTTAATCTTTTAATGGTGAAATATAATTACATACAAAAGTTTGGGGAATAATAATGAAACCAATAGCATTTTCGGTGATTGGGCTAAAAATACATTAATTAATGGGTCGACTTATTATTTAAGTTTAACAAAGGACTTTTGCGACCCACCAATATTTATTTTTCTAAAAAATCGATTTCTCAATAAAAAAACCAAATTTGATTTGTCTTTCAATATTTTATTTTCCTCTTTTCTTTACGATTTTCTCGCTAACTCAATATACGCTACTTAAACAATGAAAATAATTACATTACATATTTAAAGATAGCACTTAGTAACGCTATTAAATTAAGTGAAGCTATTTGCTAACTACCTACATACTTCGAGTGCTTAAGTACATTGACTTTAGCTTTAAACTACAACTAGTGGCAGCACATGCACTACAAATAATTACGATTAAGTAATAATAACGATAATGTAAATGCTTTGCAAATGAATTTAAATTAATTGAAGAGAAATGTAGTTGAATGCTAACTAAAATGGAACGAGTCTACGACTAATTTGTCCGATATGTAATTGTAAATTGGCTGTTAACGGTGGCCGCCTAGGGGCACCGACTATCTCTATCTGCAGCCACATGACTCCACCACCATGTTGGGCAGCGTCTTCACCGTGGCCGACGTTCTCGAGTCCATTACGACCAGCTGCAGCGAGGAATACTGTTTGGCGGTGCAGCAGGGCACCAACTCCAGCGATTTGTTTGCACCGCTTGTGGAGAGAATTTTCTGTAAGAAAAAGAATACGAAGTCTCTTAGTGTTTTGTTTAATATTGTCTCAAAAATCTCAAAATCTCAGACATTTTTCTTACTTAATTTTTAAGAAAATCGAAACCTTTTTTGGAGAAATTTAGCCAGGACACTTACCATTATGGAGCTGTGGTGGGAGGCCGCTTGCGTAACACTCGCCACCGAGCTGCAGGATCCGCGGCAGAAGTAGGCGTTATAGCCCTCTGGCTTCAAGATCCAGTTGCTCCATCCGATGTCCCTGAACGATATGTAAAGGTGCTCGCGACAACACTCTGTCATTCCGCTGGAGCAGTTGATGCTGCGCTTTTGACGGCTTTTCCGGCGGCGATTCTGCATATCGATCATGATGAACGGCCGGTAGTCTTTGTCCACAGAGATAATCTCCTCCATGTCGCTAACATCGCAGCCACCGCAGGTGATTTGGATAAGGTGACTTAGCTCATGACCGCTCATCCAATGCTTGATGGGCCACTCAATGTCGATTTTCATCCATTCATCTGAAGATATTCAGAAAGAAGAGAAGTTTGTTAGGGATTCAATAAAGTTCTGATGAAAACAGACGAAACATTATTTTTAGAGAATCATAATATTTGTAAAGCCACTTTCTTATCATCTAACTGACCCCGGGAACTCCCAATTTCGCGGGGTGTAAGAGACGAGCTCGTTTTTTGGCCAAAGTTCAGTTTTTGCACCCACGAAAAATATTTCAGCAAGTTATTCACCCACATGAAAATAAAAATCACGAATCTGAGCAATGATCTGTCTAATTGAAAACACAAACATGATGATGGAGCGGGCAGTGGTTGTCAACGTTGCTACTTATCGGCGTTCTGTATAATTTGAATAATACCCATCTAGTATAGACATGTCACTGAATTTGATTTCTCTCCCGGGGGTATTGGGGGTCAGTTTTGGCCGGAACGGCTGCCGACCAAAGGTCCAAACGTGTGCGATTCTTTTCTTTGGGTAATGATTATGTTCTAGGGGTTGAATATATACTAACCTTGCACATTCACCGACTGGATGGCTATGGTCTTGGTCGCCGTCAAATACTTGGAGTCCTTCTGGGGATCCACCTCCACCTCGGAAACGACGATCGTCTGCTGGGAACTGGTGCTGTTCAGTGAGGCTTCATCAGTGCGGTTCTGTTTGTTCTTGAAGAGCCACAGGACAGCGGTGCTCACATCAAAGCCCTCGGCATCAGCATCGTCGATCTTGAAGCTAAAGCACATGGACGGGTTGGATTTCCCACCTCCCACGCGATTGCACTCAACCTCTTCTGTTAAGATAAGAAAAAATAATAAAAATTTAGTTAGCTTTAACTCTAAGATTGGATTCTTCTTTAAACTTTTTTTAATTTATTTAAGAAAATTAATTTATTTAGTCAAAATAATAAGTTGCTAATGAACTGCTTACCTCTATTCAGCAGAATGAACTTTTTGCTAGTCCGAGCATAGTAATCGTCTAGCTCCTTGTTCTTGGTGCTGTCGTCCGGATGGGAGAGTGTCATCCCGTCGAAGATGGGCTTAGGCAGCTCCACAGCCGATACCTTGGGACTCTCCTTGAGACGCAGCTTCTCCAGGATCTGTTGCTTGACAAACTCGATGCGCAAATGGGTTAGCTGCTCCTCGGAGATATGCTCAACTTGACGGTTGCTCTCACACTTGGGACATCCTCCGCCGCTGGACTTCACAGAAATAGTAATGTTCCTCTCTCCCAGCTCAGGCTCAGGCTCTATGGGAGCCTCGGGTGCCAAGTCCAGATCGAGATCCTTCTCTTGATTTTTCTGCTCCTCTGCCATCAGTTCATTTCGCACAAAGTCCAGAGGAGAGAGGCCTTCGAGCTGATCATCGAACTGATCATCGGCGCTATAGGATGAATCCTCGGGGGCATCTCCGAACATGACAGGGTGTTCTTTCTCTTCCTGCTCCATCAGGTGCTGCCATAGGCGGGGGACTTTAAGCTGTTCCGGATTGGAACCAGGATGATTGTAGCTAAGCTCCTGCCGCCGAAACTGTTCCCTTTTTTCCATGACGTGGCGCCTCAGACGGGCGTAGTATTCCTGCTTAGTTATCGGCGCATCGTCCTCCTCACTGGTTGGATCTGGTTCCATGTGCTTAAGCCTGGCGGGATCGCTGTTGACGGATGTGGTGCTGTTGCTGTAACTGTTGCGAGGTGTGCTGTACGTGAGGATGCGGCTGGTGCTTGGGATCAGGACGCAATATGTCGCCTCGAGAACTGGGATGGGATCGTGCATGCAGGCGATTGTACACATTCTTATTCTCCAGGGCCAGGCACACCAGCAGCATCAGGACTATAAAGTATTTGGCCATTTTCGTATGATTGTGATTTACTTCCTTTTAAAATTTTGGGATTTATTCAATACAGTGTTGATCTCCTTTGGTTTCACTCTTGATTTATCGGCTGGGGCTGATTGCTATCTATTTGGCAGCATTAAAACATCAATTGTTTTGGCTTTTAGGTTTACAAAACTCATAGAATTGCAGCGGTATTCACTTATTGTTGCCGTTTTAGAGCCTTGTTCAAGCACTTTTGAAACGTTTTTCGTTTTTTTAGTTATTGCCAACGATTTATACGCTTGGATAAAACATGATAAGCTGTTTTGAGTTTCAGTTTGGTCTGCAAGTAAAAAGAAAGGGGGAAATTTCACTTTAAGATTTTTTAAGATTCTGAAAGTTTTTTGTCAATTAAACTAAAAAATTATAAACTTAATCTTTTAACGAAATGATTTAAAATTTATTTTCATAATTATTTTCATGAAATTCTTCAACGAGTTAGCTCTTCGAGTGTCTTGCCCCAATTAAAATGCAATTTAATATGCCAGCGAGGCAGGTGCACTTATCACTCACTAAGCCAGAAGTCTCGCTTAATATTTCATCGAATTGCATCATTTATTTTATTTTTAATATTAAATGCGAAACGACAAGGTGGCAAAGCTCAATTTTTTGACATTAATTCCGGGAGGATTTAGTTTTGCCAAGTTTTCATTTCACATTATCACTTCCACCGAGCTAAAGGCCAAATGCTAATGGCTTATCTGGCTAGGACTCGAATCGAAAGCGTAGTTGCGCAGAGTGGCTGATAAGCAGGTGCAATTAGATGGCAATTAGGTGGACCCCACACGTACCGTGAGCACACTCCGATTTATTATATTGGAATTCGATGACTTGGCACTCAATCTGCCGGGGGTTGAGGCAGTAACTTTGAACCCGGACACGAAATGGACACGAGAGGCTCTTCGACGGGCTGGCCTTTATTAGCTTAGATCACGTGTATAAAGTATATACTATATAGGATTTGAATATGCTTCCTTTTCTTCCGACATGCGGCAACGCAAACGAGTTGTGAATGAATGAAGCGGTTGGCTGATTAGTAGAACAATTTATGTGACGAGCGCCGCTCCGCTGATTGATCGTTCCGCGAGCGGCAGCACCAGCCGAGGTGTTCCGAACCACTCGAATCGGATCCGATCGAATCAAAGTGAATCGTATTGGATCGGTTTCAAACCAAGCCGAGGGGTTCGGGTCTTGGTTCCCCAGACGATCGGTCAGACCGTAGACCATGGTTATGGTTACATGGCGCTCTCTCGCCGAAGACAATTGGATATGCAAGTGCGGTGCAGCATTGCATCAGCTTCAAGAAAACGCCAAGACACCGAAATATGCAAGTGTAAAATTCTTAATTGCAGTTTTATTTTTGGTTACGCCGCCCCCTTTGGCGACGCCACGCCCCCATAGCAGTCGCTATCTGGTGTCGTTTTTGGCAAGCGTTTGGCCACAATGGGGCATTTTGATATGAAGTGAATTTATGATTTCGGATCGAGTCGAGTGGCCCATTCATGCTAATTACCCCGAAGCGCTATCAAGCTTGACTTTGATGATCCGACTCGATTGTGTGTCAATCAATTAATAGTGAACACGTTGCTGATAACAGCGATTTTCCACTTCTGTAGCGCATCTATGGAACGCCCAATGGTCCATTTGGCAAGCCACAAAACGAGAGCATTTAACCAATTAACTGCGCTTATAGTGCGATTTTCACAGGGCTTACTTCTTGCCTCCAATCGGTTTTGGGTAATCAATACACGCGATTAAAAATCACTCGCATTTTAAATGACTGGCGCCCCTTAATTACTGTGTTTATTCTTTTTAATTTGAATTCGAAAGAAAGTGTTGCGATTGGGAATTTACGGGGACCTCAAGTGGGCGATTCACGGGCTGTGTGTTATTTTCGTTTGGGAATTTCATCAGCCAGAATTTCTTTCGCTCGTTGTGGTCTCAGCTAAATGTAGAACAGTCGGGTAAGGTCAAGAAAACTGAAGGCCGCCGCGTAGATCACGAGTTATATTACCGTCTATTTCATTTCGGTTTAAGAGCTGAACACGTGCCCGATTTGCTTGTCACGAATTCTAACTTTTATAAAACTGAAGCCAATTAGATCATCGGAATGAATAGAAATGATGAATACTATAAAGATGTTCGCTTAATTAACAGGAATCGTTGTAGGCCTCTCCGTGAGTTCTTGCAACATTGTTAGAAAGGTTTAATGGCAAATAAGTAAAACGTGTGCTTGTTATTATGAAAGAGATAACACCTTCAGATCTCAATGAAACTATATCTGAGGGGTAATTTATTTGATTCTTAGGAAGTAAGTGTTACAAGAACCTTACTTGTAGTTATGCAACAATGGAACTTTTTATATAAGAGAGAGATTTGGAATATTCAAATCAAATTCAAATTTCAAAGCTGTTAATCATGATTGGGAATTGTACTAAAAGTCTACCAAGGCTTATGGCTTTTCACTAAAAATTCTCAATTTAAATGGTGTCCTTGCCTTCAACATAGGTCGTTCCACTTATCAACTCATCGCATATTTTTCCACAATCTACGTAGATTGCCACGTTCCAAAATCTGTATTTTTTCCACGCCACACCAACTGACGTCGATAATGGCGGTGGGGGGGCCCATATTGAAAGATCGGATCAGATCGGATCAGGAAGTAGGGACTACCACACACGCGACATGTGACACGTTTTTATTTACTTTTTTTTGACGTAATTTCAGCTCTGCACTGGGCGCTATTTAACGACTGACCGACTTATCAAAGGCAGAAATCAAACCGAGGCGTGCGACTCGATGACATGGAGGTCCGGAAAAGGGGGGCGCCAAAGTTGAAGAAGGTCATTTAACGACCAACGATCGAGGCAGTGGCGCTACGTCATCGGACACGCATAAGGCGCGTGATTCTCAGCAGAAACAAAAGCTAAAGACTCCGCAGTTGCCAAGTGGATGCAAATCGGAGCACTGGAGAGCGGAGTGGAGTTGGGAGTCTCGAGATGCGTTGAGTCGAGGTGCAAAGTACAGCCTCGTATATATGTAGTAAGATATGCCTTCCCGACTAACTGACTTGACGACTCTTCTTGGGGGTTTTCCATGAGCGGCGACTCTTGGGCTCCTGCTCCCCATATCATTTTCGCATTAATTACGGGGCAGCGGCTGGGGCTATCGTAATTGCCGGGCATTATCACTTGCATTTCTTCTTTCGCCCTGCAGTTGAATGCACTGCAACAAAATGCCGCTGCCTCTTTTGGGTTTTTGGCAATAAATCACGCCGATCACGCCGTTCTCGCTGATCAGCGCCTGGGAGCATGCCACGATCTGGACTTTGGAACCGCTCACGGAGATTGCCCCGATTGCCAGAAGCAGCGCAAATTAATCTGCCATAATACTTTTTCCCCACACGCTCATCAGCGATGCTTCCATAAATTAGGGGCAGGATTAACTAAGATCACTTGAGCACACTAATATTTTGGTTAATATCTCACGACGTGGCAATAGCTCTTAAAATTCGCACACGTTGGCCAAGAGCTTTTGTAGGTTATGCCTTGTAGGCCCGAAAACTGTCAATCAATCAAGTGATAGGCCTTTGATCGATAAACAATTTAATAAATTTATTATTTGTTTAATCATTTAATGACTTTCAGAATCTAAGCTAGAAACTTCTATGACTCGGCATGATAGACATTTATATCCGTATCGAGTTTATCTTGATCGTATGACTGACTCACTTAATGAAAATAAAATATAAATTTCGAAAACAAATTAAAAAAATATTTAAACAGCATATGTTTATGTTGTTTCAGTAAACCATCACTTGTTTGATTTGTTAATTTGATAGAACTGAGCATTTTTAAGACGCAATTTATTTGTTAAACATGCTAAGCAGGCACCTTTAAAAAATAATAAAATATAAATACTTGTATTCTTGTTATGTAACTCACCTAAATTAATAATCCATATTTGAATACATTTCTTTAACACAAGCTTTATTCAAAGGATGCTTTTCGAATGTCCTTGAATTTGATTGATTTAATAGCTGATTGTCTTATTAATTGTTTTCGCAAATCATATTCGCAGAGTAATCATTGTTTTGTATTTCACCACTTGAACTTGATCTCCTCAGAGTGACAAGCTATTATTTTGTTCAACAAAAACAAATGCCTTTCGCTTTTCCTTTTTTTTTCTAAAAAAACACACCGAATACTTTTTTCCGGAGAAGTCTAAAAATTATTTGTCACCAAATTGGTTATTTGCACGATTTGATTTTTTTGGTCCGATCGTCGGGAACGTCTGCGTGTGAATAATTCGACGATGGGCGGCGCAGCGACCGCAAAAGCTGCCCTGGAGCGGTACGACTAACGGTATCTGTGGGGAGCGGTATGGGTATGGGTATGAGTATATGGGTATGGCCCAGTCTTCGGGCGGCAGACAGTTCAGTTTGTTTGATAACAGACCCGCCGATTATTGGCGCACTCCTCTGCGAGTTATTAAGTGATGCGCAATTTTACTTGGTTTTTTTTTTTGAGAACGAGTGTGAGTGTGAAAGAGGCAGGGAGATCTGGTGATAAGGTGCAGCTTTCCCCTCTAACCCACAGCGACATTTTCAAATCCGGTTGGCTCCGATTCGATCGCCTCCTGCATCGAACTCCCACGCCGGACACGGACCCTCGAGCGTGTTCGATGCCCCATGTTCGAGGTGGTTGGGGCTCGAGCGCAGCATTCGTCACCCAAAACGTGAGCTGACGTCGGTGACGGTGGGGCTTTTGCGCTCGTTCCAACCGGTTCAAAGTCCATCGGTAGTCCAGCAGCTTGTTTGATAGCCGACATTGCCTAATGGCTAATGGTTCTCACACCGACGATACAATCGTTTTATTCAACAGCCCAAAGTCTATTTATAATCTGTAGTAGTTAAAGACACGAATATGATACGTTTTTCATTTCGTCAAGAAAAGAAAGCATTATACTAAATATTATACGAGAATTTATATATCTAATGAGAGAAAACATCCTGGAACGATTTAAAATTGAAACAAACCCATTTTTAAGCCCATCTTCAAGCCTATCTTATTATTATAAGCACTATGAATGAATCTATGAATTTCTTAGAAAACATTTCTACTTCTTACAAAATATAAAGTATCCCTGATTTGGGAGCCAAGCTATTCCACACTTTCTTGTTTTTGTTTAGCTCTTTGGCCAACTAATCGTTTCCTTCTTGACCAATTTACTGTGAGCTTTTACGACGTTTTTGAGGTTTCTTGTTTTCGACTCGCTTGTTGATTTGATTGATTAGCATGGGTGATATCATAATTTTAGAGTTTTCACGACTGCTGAGCATGGGCCTTTTGAGATTACCATGGAGGATTATAATATGTAAATTGTTTATATAAATGAAAACTTGAGTTTGAATCCGTATCACCGTGTTTCACTTTCAGACCTCATGCCAATCGGCTGATTAAATTCGTCTCGAGTTTTGTTTACCTTGAGAATTCATAATAAAGCATTCACCTCAAATGGAATGCCGTGGAATCGTACATTCTATACCTTTCATAATTAATATACTCAGGATCGAGGCACGATTTGTTCCCAACCTACGTCTAATTTTCAAAACTGGCGCGCGTGCTGAAAAACACGTCACAAAATCCGGCTTATCGTGGTCGGGCCTCTAGAATTTCAGTTTTTTAATGTCATAATTAAATCAAGAATGAACCGATTATAATATAGCCCTGATAAGGATATTCTGAGTTTACAGCTTTATGTTTAGCTCGAAAAAGAAAAATATTTTCAAAAACTTTTCTGCTATACTCCTTTGTATTTTATTCAGATTCACTTAACTTGCTAGCTACGATTATAAATGGCCTTACTCGTCTAGACTTTGCCCTTGCATTTGATCAGGAAAATTCTATGCCTGACTTCTGAAGTGCAAATAAATAATCATCATTATTCACTAGTGTTGAAAAGGTAAAACATTTCAAATCTAAAAATCTTAAGGTTGAGAAAATGGAGTTAGTTGAACGATTTTTTTATTTTATACTCTTTGGTTTATAGGTTAATACGAGAGCCAGCAGAACAAAGTCTTCTGATTACAGAGGATTCCTTGTTGACAACCGGAAAGTAGCCAGACAGAAACACAAATATACACTGTTTTATATATATATTTTGATAACCATTGATAACACCCACGACTTTCGATTTAATTAGAAAAAGTAATTTAAAAAATTCTTTAGCGCGCAGATTAGTAAAATATATTATATGTATTATGGTAAACACTTTGTCAAGGCCGAAATCTAAATCTAGATTTTTTATTTTAATTACGCTCTGCTAATCTAATTAAAAATTCAAATAGAATAGTAAAATTGAATATATCAATAGGTTAGTATAACATGTACAATGTCATATTCCTGATTAAAACATAAAAACATTAAAATTGATTTACCCAAACAGGATACCTGTGACTTTACGAATATATTTCATTTAATAAGATCGAAAAACAAGCCATATTTCTAGTTGTTTTGATCACTTGACCTAATAAATACAAATTAATAAGTACCCATCCTTGAGTTTAAGAAATTGTAAATTTTTTTAATCACAGTGTTCGCAGCTCAAGTGAAAATCAATAACCACTCATCGGTATAAAGGCAACTACTAACTGTTTAGGAAACTAATTAACATGTGCTCAGTATGGAGGGCTTTTGAGCGGACAGGTGTGGTGGTCCGATTGTGGTCTGATCATGTGGGCTCAGCGTGGATCCTCAAGGAGATAATCAAACTGGAGCCAAAATTATTTCTATAGCTCGGACCACAAGAAGTGAAATTAATTAAAAATTGAGTTGAATGAGGGGCCACTTAATCAGTATGCTGGGGAAACTTTCCGTTGGCTTTGTAAGTGCGAACAAATTGATATTGAGCGTAGTAATTGCGAAGCCATGAACGGCATTGCGCCGATGATGGGCAGAATTGACAACTTGGACTTTGGACCACGCGAGACGAGGCGCCTGCATCCAGAGGCGGAGCAGCAGACAGACAGGCTGCTAGACGAGATCGGGCACTCTCGATATTGTACCACGCAAGTATATTTAGATTTTTTGGGACCAAAGTCCACTTACGAGTCATGCGCCAGTCGTGTGAACCAATTTTCGAATTTTATCGAATCGTCTCATTCAATTCACTCAATCATCTGGGCTGCACTAAAGAGCAATTAACTCGAATTGCCAAGGCGTCCACGCATGCAGCTCGTGTCTGCCGGATTTCGTTATTCGGAATTCGAGGGGGCCAGGCGATCTAGATGATGCATAGACCACACGAATGCCAACCCATGACGTCTTTCACACACTACAGATGACGATTTGCCTTTCTTTTCAGCACTTTTTTGCAAATGTTAAAAATAATACATCGCTTCATTATCGCCGGCCAGTGTGCGTGGGGGACCCGATCTAAAATTAGCATAGCGTTTTAGTTCCACTTATTTTCAAATTGATGTGGTCAGTTTTAATGATTCCAACGAAACAGTCGAGCCACTCCGTACCACATGGCGGAAATCAGTGGGAAAGGTGCTAACGAATTGTCTCCACGAGCAAAACAATTTATGTTGTCCATCTGTCTGGGAAGATTTAACACTTTTAGGACATAGACTTTAAGACTTATTCCCTAATTATGGGCTGTACTATATACCTTTAAGAGTAATATAACTTTAACTATATCTAGTCAGCATTTAATTATAGCTTTAATAAAATAACCACTTAAACATATATAGTATTAATGATAATTAATAACTCGATGCTTCTATATGCCCAGCAATTGGTAGATAAGCTCATTAAACGTTTGCCAATTGGACCTTTTTCGTTCACGTTAGAATCTTAATATATTTCGAAAATTTCATATACGTAGAAGAAAGGCAATCAATATGATTCATTTAGCTAGTCTTTGAAGACAAAGTCTAAACATGGTGGAATTATCAGTTGTTGACTAAAGATTATAATAAGTTAGGAACTTCGAATTGCTGGCGAGTGCACATCTCGATTAGAAATGCTTGATAATGTGCCAAAAAAAAAAGCAAATATGCAAAGAATATAAAACTAATTGCCGAAATTAGGGGCACGTGTAGCCTTGCCATAACCTCGACCACCAAAAATTTTGATACCACAACGAATCAGGAAAATAAACATAGGAAAAAACCAAACATCAGTTGATTGGGGGAATCTAATCTGGTGATGCAGGCGGAAAGAGAGGTAATTCACTTGCCCCAAACCAAAACGTCGAATGTCACACCGATTGCCCCAATTCAAATCGATTGCGATTGTGCTCGATGACACAGCAACCCCAATAATGCAATTGCCCCACGGCCAAATCGGATCGAGCGCGTGCCGCTTCCCTTATCGCCACTGGGAGCAAGTTCAAGTGACCACTAGCCACCACTCATTGACCACCGACCGCGAAGCACCACCGACCACTGGTGACAACTGATAAGTGATAAGTGGTAAGTGCGTGAGCGAGTGCGTGTTTACATTCCGCTCTCCGATTCAATCATCAATCATTGGCGATACATCGCGATCGCGGGCTTTGATTTGAGTCCGAGGACTACTGGCCATTTAATTAACTTCTTTGCGCGATTTCTGATTTCCGTGCAAGGGTTTATCTTTATAAACGATATGAGAAATCACGAACCGAGGGTATGGCTGAACGCCTGATTGGGGCGTGAAGGTGACCACTATCCAATATCGTGATTTATGTACTCAGTCGTTAAGGATAGCCAATTAAACGTTAAAGATTATTTATAAAGCAAATTGGAAGAATAATTTCTATTGCGTATATAGAAATAAATTAATTATTATTAATATATACTATTAGTTAAAAATGTTTACTTCGGATTTCGATTTTGAGTTTTCATTTTAAGCATAAGAAGTTTTACTTTTAACTATTAAAGAAGACTCACAAATTTCTAATGGACACTTTTTTTTAAATAAATTATTTTAGTAAGGCTCAGTTAATCTGTTTTTTTCACAGCATTAAGCTTAAGTCTTTAAAGTTAGGCTGAAAATCATTATAAATATATTATAATTTTCATTTGTTGAACATAAAATCATACGAATTTACTTTAATTTAAGTACTTTAATATAATTATGTCAAAACATTGTTAGCCTTAGATAAATAAGTAAATAAATAAATAAATGTCAAAACATTAATTTATGATTTTAAATACTTCGGCATTTAAAAAATCTTTAATAAATTATCAGCCCAAAAGTTGGCAACGGGTTTGAGTGATTCTTTAATATATTTATAATATAATAATAATGATAATAATAATGATATCTTAAAAACAGAATTTTGTAGCATTGCTAAGATTGTTTCTTTGATTTATTATTAGCGCTTCCCTTTAGGTAAATATATAGTAACGCAATGTCGACGGCTTATTTGATTTAATGATTTACTACCGCCATCCGTCTGTCAAATCTTAGTTTTAAGCGGAAGCTTGAACGAAAAAGCCCATAAAAATAGCTTTGTAAAATGGCGCTTTTCCTTCGGCTCATCCCCCACACCCTCTTGGCATGTCCTTGCTGGCAACTCTCTGTGTCATTGAAACAATTCCGTTTCAGTACGCATGTACCGATAAACGTCCTGCGAACAGGTTTTGAAGGAGCTTTTAAATTTACATGTGGTCTTAAGTCAGATGTTTACTTTCCTTACGAGAATCGAAAGAGAGAACTTTCGAAAGCGTCATGATTTGCAATATGATAAAAATAGATAAAATATTTAAAAAACAGATAGCTGATGATATTTTAAAACAATGTGCCAAGCTTTAATGTTTTTAAAATGCTGTAATAATATTAAACATAAATTATAATATTTTAAAGTTCCATCGTATAGTATGTTTTTCTATTATCCTTGTAATGTTATTAATATCGTAGGGGCTTTGTCAAGTCTAACTGGACCAACGCCTGTCCTCCGAGCTCTCCACTAATCCAAAGCTCCGGGTCGCGTACCCAACCCCGGTCACCCGCTGGCCAACAAACCAAAATCGATGCCCCAACCGGTTCGCTCTCGCTTTTTGGCGAGTGGCCCAAGCTTTTCCTCGCTGCTCCTGGAGCGTGTGGGCCAAAACGCGAATGAACATCGACCGTGGAAGTTGACTGCTGAAGTACAAAGCGCTAGGCTGAAGGTGATTGGGAAAGAAAAATTCTAGAGCCCCATAAAAAGTTGCAAAAATCCAAGAGAAATCTCTAAAGAAAAATTCTTAAACAAATAACGAAAATCAAAGGAATAATTGGTTGAAAGCAATGAATGCAATGTGATTAAAGTGTTTTAATATTTGTTATATAAATGAAAACGCCATAGAAAGTCCCGAAAAGTGTTGTGCGCGTGTGTTTGTGTGTGTGTGGGTGCGTGTGTGCGTCTGTGTGTGTACGAGTGTTTAGCACGCGCTGACGAAAAGGAGAACATTTTTTGTGTATCAGAATTTTTCGCAGAAAATATCGAGAAAAAATGGCAGCTACGCAAGAAAATTTTAATTGAAAATTCCAATGTGCAATGCGAAAATGAAAGAAGCGAAGAAAAATGGGCTATCATTGAAAGTGAAAACGCATGTGAGCTTCTTGCTGGGATATTGATTTTTCCCACACGATTATTGTGGTGGTGTAGGCCAGACGAAAGTCAGGATTTAACACAATGTAAATGTGATATCGTATAACGGGAAAATTCCATCGATGCCTTATAATTAACTAATAAATATTTGAAAATTGTAACTTAGTTTTCGATATCAAGTTTATGTGCCTGAGTGTGAGAGAAAGGGTAAAGCTTAATAAAAGCCAAAAGAGGCAGGCCAAAAGACCAAAAAAGGACGAAAGAAATGGCCCTAAGAAAATCTCTATCCTGAATTTGCTTTCTTCGAGGGAAAAGCGAATTTGCCATTCTCCCACTCTCTCTCTCTCTTTCTCTCTCTACCCACACAGACACACACACATAACCTTTTGAGCAAGGAGACACAACACACATTCACACACAAAGCCAAATTCGCTCTATCAATATTTACGCATACCATTGTATTTTGATATTACGTATACGCTGCGTATATCCCACACTCTCACTCACTCTTTCTCTGTATTTCTCTCTCTCTCTCTCCATTCGCGTCCGGCCTGCTATATAAAATATTCAAACAAATTAAAAAAAAAAAAAAAAATTAACAACTACAAAATCAAGTATACGAAATTCATGTGAGACTAGCGAGCCGCGGCCTCACTAGCCAAAGCCAGCCACAAAAAACCAAAAACGGAACACAGGCAGCAGCAGGACAAGCTCACACACACACATCGACTAGTACCAGGACCCGCATCATCATATCCTTCCTGCCAGGCCGTCGCCACTGCTGCCGCCCCTTCGCTCCTCTTGCAGGAGTCACGCTTCGTTAAACGCTGCTCAACACCCATCATCTAATTAATAAAGCGGACGATAAACAAACACATTAAATACCGAAGAGAGTGAAACCAAGCTATTAACGCTAGTCTGGGTCCCGATTTCTGATTGGAAAACAAAAAACATTGGCATCATTTTTGATTAGGAGGTGAGTACTGGACTTATCGAAAACATAGCACACTTTTTGGGGCAACTAATAAGCTAGCTCAGATAGGAAATTATATTTTCGGTTTAAGGCTTAAAATATCTTTATAGGTTTCATTTATTAATTAGACTTAAGTTTAAATACACGTATAAACATTGTTATAAACTGAATATATTTGTTAAAAGAGTTCGATTTATACTATTAATGGGCCAGGGCTTACAAACTTTCTATAAGAAATAATCTGATTTCTCATTAAATCCCAAAGGCCAATACATATTTTTTGTTAATTAAGTTTATTAACTGCCAGACTGTCCTCTCCCCAATCACACATATCACTTATTCATGGGGCTCTTTCTTATCTTTATCTTATAGGGGCTAAACTTGATTTAGTCTTCTCTTTGCTAATTAGCTTTGGAGAGCCAGAAAGTGGTAAGGAATTCCTGGGGGGCAGGCTATTAAGGGCATTGCCGAAACCTCGCAATAAAAATGCTGTAGACGAGCTCGGGAAACCGCACTTAATTGCCAATAATCAAGTTGGCCCGAACACCCGCGTACTTTTGACCCTTTACGCCCAAAAACGAAGAAGAATATGAACATTTGTGCAATTCGAGGACATGAATGAATCTTTCGAAGCGGTTTAATATTTGATTTTGAAAACAACGAGACAACTGTTCAATGAAAGCGAAAAGCATAATGATGTGGAAAATTGGTTTTTCTCTTAGGGCATTCTTTGCCCCTCAGGCCAAGTCCTGCCTTCCACTGTCTAGTTTGGTTTTTTTCTTCTACGTTCATTACTTTTTTCATTTCATTTGCCATTTTCCGAGTTTTTATTTTGTTGCCTTCTCTGGGTTATGTGCGCAGTAAGGAGAGCAGGAAGATGAGAGAGAGAGAGAGCTGTGGGCATGTGTGGCTTTCTACTCATCCACTCTTCCGCTCCCTGAGTTTTCCACTCTCCGGCTCGGCAAAAAAGTTTAACCGTTTGCCGCTCGGGAGCTTCGAGGGCCTCCTTCCGATTTTCGATTCGCCCGTATTACGTGCGTGGGTTCCACAGATGTTGCCATAGATTCAAATCCCTTTTTGCGGACCAGCTCGACGGTGTTTTTGTTTGGACCCGGTAATGGATAATGGTTGCCTGTCCATCTATCTAGCCATCCAGTCCTGGCCAATGCTAATTTGTTTTGACAGCTTGATTGTCAGCCTGCTACATCACGGTTTTTACATGAGTTCTCTGAGGTTTTTTAGTATTCGCTACCCACTGAATGTTTAATGAGACAAAATTATCTTATCATTATGTGAATTTACCCCTAATCTAAAACCAGACCCAATTGTTGATATTTGTGGTTCTCTTTGTGTCACTGCAGTGCACCACCCACTGACATCAGACCTCTGCACCACCGCCCACAATTGGTGGAAGAGCAGCAGACAACAGTTTATTTATAGGCACTTTACCAAAGGTCAAAACGTATGGAATTATTACTAGGAAAGCACACATACTGTCCGTGATTAGAGCCGCAAAACGAGCTTTTAATAATTAAGTAGGGTCTACTGTATGTGTTTATATTGAGTATATTCATTAAAACTTAAATCACATAAAGGTGTGGCTATTGAATTTTAAATTTCATAAGTGTCAGCCCAAAACCAGTGTCTGCTTTTGTAAAAAAATAATGGGAATATGTAATAAAAATATATTCTTAATTTCCTTTTAAACTACCAAAAGCTTCTCTAATGCACGACACACACAAACACAATATTGAACATCAAAAATACGTTAAAAAACTGTTTACTGTAAAAACCATTTACAAAACATTTCCCGTTTACAAAACCTTTACCAAATTGCCCTTAATAAGAGTTATTCCTCCCACGGTTATGGCACTTTTGACAGTTACTGGAAATGTTTTCCCATCAATCGGACCCTCAACAATGAACTCACTGACCATTCGAGCTTTTTACAATCCCTTTCGGCCTGGTTGTGAGTACCAACAATAACAAATACGGAAGAAGCAGCTGTTCTTCAGGCTCTAAATTTGTATAATTTCGCTTTTGGCCCGACACGAAACCGTTCGAACTGCGTAGTTTGTTATTTCGCTGGCACTCTTTTTTGGGCCCAGACAATCGGGCACCGCAAAATACCGACTACCAACACACTCATACGCCCCGTTGACCCGTGAGCTAAAAGAGTGGCACGAAAAGCTGGCAGAATGACAAAATTGTGGCGACTACCGCATACAATATTTGTGACCTTCTTATGCTTTCCTGATTGCACATCCTGGTCTTATTAACTTGAAGGCTTCCTTGCAGGTACTTTGGCGCTTATGCCAAAGAACATAATTCAGCAGAAGATTTTTTGGTGCATTAATAAAATATGAACAACAAAGTGCTTTGGCTTCGGGTTACTTGATTGCCATTTTCCGGGGTACTTTCGGTAGGTGTTTCAGATTGTTGCGTGTACATTTATTATGGATAAGGTGCCCGGGGCAGGAAGCTACTGCCAAGTGTTTGTCCATTTTATTTAGCTGCCCCGGGAGTAGCTGCAAAGCAATTTGTCTGGGGATCAGGCGAGAATCGTGACACTTTCTAGCTCTCCATTTTTTATTGCCACATCTCTCATTTTTCTCTCCTTTTGTCCATGAAGTCATATCCAGGCAGCCTCTACATGGCAAAACTTGTCCCAGATGCATTTAAATTTATCGATTTTTTACACATTTATTATCTGGCGTGTTCTTACATTTTTAAATAACTATGAGGAGTCGAAGGCTTTGAAAACTATTTCGTTATGAAAATAAATTCATTATTTTTTTTAAATTTTACTTATTTACCCACTTTAAGGGTGATGGTTTGTAAAATTAAAAAGGAAATTACGTTTGCCTAGAAGTCAAAAAACCCGCACAACTTAATTTCGCACATTTTCCATGCAAATTATATTTAGGGCCCCGCCCTCCAAAAGCAAACTCTTGTGGGGCAAACACAGAGTTAGCATTTAAATTTTCTACGCGCCTGGCATCAACAACATTAGAATTTTAAGCATATTTATGGAGGAGAATAAACAAAGGCGCCTTCAGGCTTTTTATTTAAGCGGCTTCCCGAGCTTTCTGAGTTTTCTTTTTTTGTTGGTGTGGGTGAGGGTGAACGTGTGCCAGGGTATGGATGTCCTTTGACGTCATTTGCTAAGTAAACAAGTGACTACCCACAGTAGAAGCAGCAATTTGAAGTCACTTTGGCTCTAAATTGCTCTTACACCAGTTTTTTTCTTCATTTTATTTTCTGACTAAGAGGTTGAGTGATTTTGGTGGCATTATTATTTATCTTTGATTCTGCCTGCTTTATGAAAATAATGAAATTTATAGAACAAGAGCTGTAAATGACTTTGTTAGGTGTTTGAAAGTGATAGTAGGGTTGTCTAAGTTGGATTTCTGGTATAAGTATATATTATATTAATATTGGTTTTTGGAAGAAATAGGCTTCTTTTAATAGGTCAATATATATAATTCCGAAAACAAAAATGTATCTTTTATATTTTTTTCGCCATCAAGTGCCATTCAACTTTTGATGGATTATCCAAATTGCACTTTCTGACAGAGATCCGCAGCGCAGTTCCCCGTAAAGACAGCTGGGAGAACCCCAAAGTCCCCGGAGTCCGTCTCCGCAACAATAGCAGTTCAGGGTCAAAGGATGTCTGATAATAACAACGGATGAGCTGAGGACCCAACTCAAGTGGCCTCCCCTCGTCCATAATTAATACGGCTCAAGTTGTTAAAGTGAATGAAATGAAGTAAAATATGGAAAAATTCAAACCGAAGGACCACAAAGCAGATGGAGAACAGACCCAGCAGCTTGGTGTTAATATTAATGAATTCAATTAGAAGAGAAAGAGGGTAAAATGAGAAGGAAAAAACGTTACAAAGATCCCCGACATTCTGTGTGTGGGTGCCATTGTAGAGATATATATTTATACATATATTGTGGGTGGTTGGGTGAGTGCGTGCCCTTGGTTGGCTAAGGATAAGCACTTTTAGTTGGTGCGTTTGCCACCACCCATCAGGCCGTTTTAGTTGACGCCGTCAGCGCATTTCTAGTGTTTCAAGGATGCGAGTGTAGGAAAAGTTGCTAACGACTTTTGTGGGATTCCTTTGTGGTCACACTCTCGTTTTGCTTTATTTTTAAAACAGCGACAGCCTGGAAATTACCCAACAACACATCGTTAATATTTCTTAAGATAAAGAGACGAAAGGGGTAGAGATTCAACATTTAAGTTATTGTTTACCATTTGTTAACAGGATTTTTTCGATTTTTCAGCAACAACACAATAAAACAAAATGCCGCCAAATGCAAAATCGGAAGCAGACGCCAAACCGGAAGCGGAACCAGCGCCAGCGTCCGAGCCGGCAGCGGAACTGGAGTCAGTGGACCAGAAGCTGCAAGAAACACATCACTCCAAATTCCGTGAGGTGGACAGGCAGGAGCAGGAGGTACTCGCTGAGAAGGCGGCGGAAGCGGCCAGTCAAAGAATCGCACAGGTGGAATCAACAACACGAAGTGCAACAACAGAGGCTCAGGGTGAGTTAGAATCCGAGTTAAACTCAATTTAATCAAAGATAAACATACATTTTCAAAGCAAAAAAAATAACAAACTAAACCATTAAATTAAATGAAATTAAAATCATTCTGTTGGAAAACATTTTTAATACCATTTGTGATAAACAAAAATATGTTGGTTTCATCTACCTACTAAAATATCTTGCAATAAATATAATAATTTACAAATTTAATGACCTCATTAAGATTAAAACGTATTAAAAAATATTTGTCTGGGCCCAGAAGTCATGTATTTTGTAGGCTAATATTTAATGAACTTAAACAAATGTTAATAATGATACCTAAGGCAAACCTGAAGCAGGTATAAATATCAAATATGTCAAGGACGCTTTTTAGATGCCGTGAAACACGTTTAACCAATTTCCGTTTCAGAATCCACTACCACCTCATTGCCGGTGATCAAAAAGATCGAGCATGTCGGCGAAGTGGTCACCGAGGTGATCGCGGAGCGCACGGGCCTGCCCACATGGGGTGTGGTGGCCATCATCATACTCGTGTTCCTCGTCGTCTTTGGTATTATATTCTTCTGTGTGCGGAGATTCCTGAAGAAGCGAAGAACCAAAGATGGTAAGGGTAAGAAGGGTGTCGACATGAAGTCGGTACAGTTGTTGGGATCGGCGTACAAAGAGAAAGTAAGTGTCTGACGCGCCATTAAATCTTAGTAGTTATTGGGTTCTGGTATGTCATAGGTTCAGCCTGATATGGAGGAACTCACCGAAAATGCCGAAGAGGGTGACGAGGAGGACAAGCAGAGCGAACAGAAGCTGGGGCGTCTCAACTTCAAGGTAGGTTCTCCAATTCTCCAAGCCCCAAGGCACAGCTTTCCCCGAAAAACTAACCCCCAGAATACGAAACTAACTCAGATAGGTGTTCTATAAATGTGTGCAGAGTTGATGTTGTTGACATGGAAAACACACTCACAGAAGGGACAATAAAAACTCAATAAATACTGTAATAATTTTTGCAATTTCCTCTTCAAGGTTTCAATCACACTAAACAAAATGACATTAAACTTAAAATTGTCTTTGCACTGGGTAATATTCTTAATTCAAACTCTAAATTCGATTTTACAATATCAGAATTCGATTTAAAATTCTAAATTAGTTTTCTTATTATGCCGGAATCTTTCCTTGTGTGAAACATACATAAATTAGATCTAACCACCACATTAAACGTAGAACTCTTGGAAAACTTACTATCACCTGACTAATATATTATTTTCTATTGTCTCTTTTTCTGGCCAAAAACCAAATCCCTGCTGGTGCCGCCTTTTGAATCTCTCTTTTGCAGCTGGAATACGATTTCAACTCCAATAGTTTGGCCGTGACGGTTATTAAAGCCGAGGAGCTTCCCGCCCTGGATATGGGCGGTACTTCTGATCCGTATGTGAAGGTCTACTTGCTGCCCGACAAGAAGAAGAAGTTCGAGACCAAAGTGCACCGCAAAACCCTGAGTCCCGACTTCAACGAAACGTTTACCTTCAAGGTGAGATCGAAAACTATGATAAAATCTGTTTAGCTACTGGATATTTAATATCTGTTTGATTGCAGAGTTTGCCCTATGCCGATGCCATGAACAAGACACTCGTGTTTGCTATTTTCGACTTTGATCGCTTCTCGAAGCACGACCAGATCGGAGAGGTGAAGGTGCCACTGTGCACCATTGACCTGGCGCAGACGATCGAAGAGTGGCGCGACCTGGTCAGCGTTGAAGGGGAGGGAGGACAGGTATGTAGAGCTGGGCTGGGGTCCAAGGCGGGGTCAAAAGTACTATCCAAGCTATCCGTAACTCTCTCTCTGTCTATGTATACAACTCGATGTGCCTCTAAGTGTTTTTTTATCCAACTCAAGAACATCAGTTGAGATCTGTCTTTCGTATGATTATGATTCTTATGATTTATTGCGTTCGTTACTTCTACTCTGAGTTATCGAGCCGAAAGCAAGCCAACACTGAAATCGTGTGATATTTGTTGACTCTGTAATCTTGAACACCTACTTACGATGATTGTGTTTTGTGTGTATTTTGCATTCGAACTTCAGCCACGACCAAAAAGTATGAAAATACAGCAGAAAGCAATCAAAGAATTTTTGACACCCTCTAGATATTTGTTTTTAAGTCAACGATCCCTCCCCCTGAGCCCCATTCGTAGTACTCTCTTAAGGGCAGGGAACAAAGACAATAACAGTGAAAACTTTCCAAAAACAGAAACAATATCAACAAAACAATGAAAACTTCGTGGAACAGACAAGCAAAAGTTTTTCGAGTCTCTAACGAAACTTTTTACACACCCAGTTCAAAATGCAAATATAAATAAATAAATGAAATTATCTTACCATTTAAATAAGCAATACTCAACAAGAAAACCAACAGCAAAACAGGGGGGGAAATCAAAATGGGAAATGGCCATTGATTTTCCTCCACACTCTCTCCGACAGTCTTATAATTTTCCTTGAACCCTCTCAACCGACACAAAAACTACTACTACAAAAAATAAAACTCTAAATTTCTCTTTCTCCAATTCCCTCCTCTAAAAACAAACCAAAAAAAATTGATTTCGAAACATATAAACTCTTGTTTTCTTGAACTTTTGTAGAAGGTAATTACAAAAACATGCTTTAAATTCTTACTTAAACCAAAAACAACAAACAACAACGAGAACTCTTTAACACCTTTGCATACACGATTTGAGTTTATGATTTTCAAACCTTTAACCTGCTCTGTCTCTGTGAACTGTCGCTCATGTACACAAAAAGCTGTCTATTACGATTATAATAACCATTGCATCGAGCCACTAACTAACTTAGTAACTCTTCAAACTTATTTCCCACGATAATCAATCAATTTTGGTCTTGAGCGATTGTTCTTTGACGTTTTCTCTGTCTCTTTCTATATATATATATTCATATATATCCGATATATATTGTTATGTCTGCATACTTTCTCGCATCATTAATATTGTAGTTGAATTTTTGTATTAATATAAACGATTTATCTATGTTTGGGCTGTCTTGTTTGCAACCAAGTAATAAAAATGACAAATGTTCTCACATTTCCATATGCAAATGATCACACTGCAATATTAATTTGTTGAGAAAACCTGTGGCATAAGCTAAAGCTAAAGCTAAAGCTAAATCAGCATGGTTGAGTGACTTTCCCACCGCCAATCTACTTCTAGCCCTCTCCATTGTCCCCAAACTTTTCTGCGGCCTTCGGTTTAGCAATCCTCTGCCGTTCTATGACCATGCTGATCCATTTATTTAGTTGCCAATTCTACCCCCAAAACGACACTTTCCACACAATTTTTGTTTGCACTTTGATTGGAAAAAAAAACGTCGAAAAATTCTATTCTATAAAATTTGCATAACTTTCTTACAGTAGTACTCAACTTTTGCACCCCCAGTTATTTGCATAAAGTCTGTCAAACTTTTACTTATACCCAAACCCACACGCTCTATCTTTTCCTCTCTAATACCCACAAATACACACACAAACACACACTGAAACGCACAAAAGAAATTCTTTGGAATAACAGATAATGAGTTATATAAATAAATTGAATTGTTGTAAAATATTTGCATTGATAACATTGAATTGGTCAAATGATGGAATGAATGCTCTGAAAATTTCTAACACACAAACACAAAGAAACACGCAAGCACAAAAGTCATGTACAAATACTGATACACAATTCAAAAAGCACACACACAGACACAAAAACACAATTTCAGAAATGGATAAAAGCTTTAATTTTTCGCCTGTGAATGCCAAAATGGTATTGTCTGCTCATATATTTTTCGGGGAACCGAAAGTTAAGGGCATTTCCTGGATTTTGTTACAAAAATAAAAGAGGTTTCAAAATTTATAAAAAAATTTCCGATTTAAAAAGCAATTTACAAGTGCCTGAAGCAGTTTCTATTACTAATTTACTTACATAAATTTTGATTTAACATCTTATAACAAATTAACATTTAATCCTAAACAAAATCCAGCGAATGTTAAATCCTTGCCCATTACTATTATGCCAAGAAACTAGGCATAAGGTTTAGTGCCAAAAGACAAATACTGTAACTTTTCTTAATATCAATTTTTAACCCTTCTTACAGTTAGTTTAGAAACACTGCAATATACCATTTCGAACAATTTTTACTCTACTGCATGCCTTTCCTTTTGCTTACGACTTTATACTAATATATAAACCACACTAAGTATTAGAAATCCACACAAATACATTGAACACGGACACAATGACCATTGATTGGTAACAAAACTATACGAAAACCATTACATTTTTGAAATTTGCCAAAAACACGATTGATACTTATCAAAATTCTACTGGAAATGGAATTCAATAATTTTTAATAAGCTCTTTATTTTTCTCTTTAATTATTTTTGAACGTATCGCTAAAAAAAACCAAAAAAAAAAAAAAACAAATCCAAATTTGTAATCACAAAATTCGAAAACTCGAAATTTCCAAACTGTACTCGAAATTTTTGACTCATGCCATGGGGATATCAATCCGAAACCTGAAAAATGTCAAAAAATCCACGTAAGTATACGATCGAAGGAAAGGAGATTCATAATTATCGTTATTTGCTTTGGTTGTTGTCGTCATAAATGTGTTCAAAGTTCTGTTCGTTGTGTTTGTGTTAAAATTCTGTTCGACCTGCAATAAGTAAAAGATATATCCAAATCAAGAGCCAAAACCATTGGACCATTGATCAAAGGACGAATTAACTAACTATATAAAACGCTTATTTAAGTCTTAAACATTTTGTGTTTAGCTCTCTGTCGCTGTCTCGCCCGATATGTGTATACTGTACTTATGTTTTGATTTGCATAACTTGATTGTGTACTGTAATGTGTAAGCAGAGCTTCGATGACAGTCAAATACAAAAAACAATGCTCAATAATCTATTGTTTTTCGATTTCGATTATTTTTTATTATTAAATATTACTTTCTATTTGATTTTCAATATATATTTGTTTCCATGAGACATTCACCAAACATTTAACAAAGAATATTTTGAAAGGCACTCAAAAATCAAATCCAAATCAAATAAGTGATCTTGAATCGAATTCAGAGAACCAAAATATTTAAATCCCTATAAAGTTGCGGTAAGTGACTCCGATATAAAAACTCTATAAATTCTCTATAACGCTCGCTCGCTCTCTGTCTGTCTCGCTCGCTCGCTCTCTGTCTCTGTCTTGAAACTTTTTTAACTAATCCAATTAACACACAACCACATTTTCTATAGCTAACAACTTATAGTTCGACAAATACAGTTTCGTTCACCCCGGTTAGTTTGGCCCTTGGAGAAGTGATCAAGGAATTGGCATCGCATTGGTCTCTGTAGAACTCGAAAGAAAAAAAGTTAAAAGTAAACCCCACCACTGCCAGCGGTTCCAACCAGCCTAGGGTCTTTTATATATATACGTTATAAATAATAGCAATTCTGAGTATCTAGATAGATTTTTTATTTGTAAAATATACGCTCTTTAATAACTTATCATGTACATACGAAATCAAATTCTCTACTTCTCTGTATAAGAATATTTTAAACATTTTTATTCATTTTGATGTGCCTCCGAATATGCGGGCCCAACTAGAGCTAGTCTCTATAGAATGTACATAAAAATCGATTTCAACTTCTCATCTCTCTGTCTCTATTTTCCTCAATTCTCAATAGCTGATAAGAAAATTTTTGAAATCCAACACATTTTTGCATTTTGTGCAGTCGGTTTTGAGCTGGGTGTTATTAGTTAATAATAAAAAAGCAAAACATCGAACAAAATACAAATCTAAAATGATAGACAATAAATAACTGCGGAGCTGTAAGTCTTGGTATGGTTAACATCTTTAAATAGAAAACACACAAGCCCCCAATAAACCAAGAAAACACTAGAACAATATCAACGAGTTTCCTTTTAGTTTGATACTTTTCTTTGGTTTCTTCAGTTTTTCTTTGGATATACTCTTCTTCCTGATATACATATATATATATATAGGTATATATCTACACTTAACAATATCGAAGCTCTAAGACGTGCAGTAAATGTTTTAATGTACTTTTTTGTGGCGTTTTCGTTTTTTGTCAATTAAAGTAAGAACTAAAGTTCTTGTAACAATTGCTTAAAAATACTGTACTGTTTTCCCCATCACCCCAAAAAAACCCTTAAAACTTGAACTTATACCGAGTGTATTTGATTTCTCTTGCTTTCCAAGTGTATAATCTGTCTTAATGTTTATACTGATATCCTTGGTTACTATATATACTCGTTACTGTGCAACTGTATATCTCGATTAAGCCTTAGTTCGTCGTTAATTTAACCAAACAATACATTTTGGTTGCTTAATGTGGTCGAAGTAAATCAAGTAAATTTTCACTTAATATTTACTCATTCTAAAAAGTTCATATGTGGCCATTTCTTGCTTAGAATCTTGGAACAAAAAACAATAAAACCAAATTTTAACAGCTAGTTAAAGTTAACTAATTGCCACTCTTAAGAGGTTATTCAAAAATGATTATAAAACAACCTTGCAGAACTCAATATAAATATATATTCTTAAACTCAGGCGTCCCAAATTGATATAGAAATATATATAAATATTAACCCCTATATACTTTTAAATGGATATGTATGTAAATGTACCACTAGAGTCTGTGTGACATGTTGTTTGATGCAATACCAATGAGACCAGAACAAACTGTACTAACCTTTCCGTAAACTCTTCTCCGGATCTCGTCAAACAGGAAAAGCTGGGAGACATCTGCTTCTCGCTGCGATATGTACCGACTGCCGGAAAGCTAACCGTTGTCATCCTGGAGGCCAAGAACCTGAAGAAGATGGACGTGGGCGGACTGTCTGGTAATGTGGCGTTATACCGAAGCGTGGGCGGGATCGATCGGGGCCCTGAGATGATTTTGTTGGGCCTTCGGCGGTCCTTCCTGCGACTTTGTTGCTTTCTGTGTTTGTAATCTTAGCTAAGTGTGTGACGTACGTTGTTCGTTTTATTTTCCGTTTTATGGCATACTTATATTTTGGTTTTAATACTCGTACTAACTTCTTCAGGCGAAGCAAACGCCAAGGCAACGTTTGCTGTGTAACAAAAAATTACTAAAAGAGAGCCAAGAAATATCACTTTTATTCCAATTACTTTTTGCCAACTACTTTTCAACTATCAATTAGCGCCAACTTATCAACTTGCATACTTTACCGTATTTAACCCGAATCGCGTACGCTACGAATTCCAATTAAATCATTAATCAGTGGATATATTTAACGGCCGGCAACGTTTCCATCCCGAAATATTCGCACAGTTTTTACTTATGCCTGGCAAGAAACCAATAGAATACCAAAATCAACTTTAAGCTCTATGCCGATCAATCAATTGACCGAAAATCGCTTGCTTAGCTTCACTTTTGCATGTAATCTGTACAATTTTTGTAACTTAAACACTCGACATCATTTCGGGCCGCTGATGCCAGACGAAGAAATACAAAACGTTGCCGCTGAATATATCCAAAACAATTTAAAGTTCTTCTAGGCTTTTACAAACAACAGAACATTTTCCAGTATGTTTTTGAACGCTCTGACAATAATCGGTTTTCTAACTATTTAAATAACGAAACAGATATGTTTTCATATAAATTTTGATTTAACACAATTGTATGCCTTGAGTTTAACAAGTTGCTGAGTTCCAAAATGTTCAACTATGGTATAATCAGTAATTGATGTGAACTTTAAATGATTTTCAAAAAGTTAACAAGCCAAAGACAAATTATAATTTATCAGTTGTGTCCCAGAAGTCTGCGGCGATTTGAAAACAATTTTAAAATGTTTTTGAAAGTATGAGGTGATAAATACCACCAATGAATATTTCCACAGCATACTTTTAGGTACACTTTGAAATAATTTCAAATCATTGCACATTTTTATGGCACCTATATATGTTTTAGTATTAAATATTTACATTATTAATTTTTTAAACATTTACACTTTGGCCTGTTTCTTGTTTTCTCGTTGATCTTTTCATTTGTTTTTGTGTTTGCAAAGTAAAAATTGATCTACTCTATATATAACAAGTACATAATTAATCAATGTTTTTTGGTGTACATTAATTATATGTGTGTAAAAAACAAAGAAAAACCAAAATCAAAATGATGTGTTTATCAAATTATTGTGAAAATTTTACTTTGTTATAAAAACGAAAAATGTTTTCTTTTTCTTTCTTTCAATTCTTTCCTATATTATAGATCCATATGTGAAAATTGCAATCATGCAAAATGGCAAACGTTTGAAAAAGAAGAAGACAAGTATCAAAAAATGCACCCTCAACCCTTACTATAATGAGTCGTTCTCATTTGAAGTACCATTTGAACAAATACAAGTATGCGAGAATGTATTATACTATCCTATAAAAATACCACAACTACTACTACTCTACTACTACTACTACTGTCTACTACTATACAAACTACTACCTACTACTACTACTACTACTGTTACTACTGTTACTGTCCTCTTCTGAACTATCTACCAAAAAAGCCAAACCAAAAACCGAGTTTTGAGAACCCAACCTCCCTCTAAACACACACTAGCCTACTTACGTGCAATCGTTGTTGTTAATTATACTACATATATACCGTATATATATATATCCATATATTGAATACTTGTATTCCAAACCAAGCGACAACAACACCAAACTCTGAACCAAACAACTGAACACTCTTAGAGACCAATCTTCGTATTACCCATAAAGATATCTTAATCTTCCCCCCCAAAAAAACTAACTTAATCAATCTTTGTGTTCTATTAAGACCTAAAAAAGTATTCAATGTTCAATGTTGTAATTTACAATTTTAACCAAAATTTGTTAAAGCTTTTTTTATTTTCAATAACCCCTAATTTACTGTTGTAAATATTCAAAAACCAAAAATGAAAAGCCCAAAAATTTAGCCAATATTATAATTTGTTGCCTATGTTTGTGTAGTTTTTGAGAAATATTTGTGGAATCTGATTTCTGATTTGAACTTGAGTTTTTGACCAGCCTCGATGTGTGCTTAGCCCAGCTGATTTGGTTTATGTTTTAGTTGTTAAGTGTGTAATGATCGATTTGAAGACAATCCGGCAAAAGGAAAAAGCAATGACAAGCAGGCATGCCTAGTGGCTTAGGATTCTGTAAAATCGAATAGTAAAATCGAGCATTCTAGATGCCACACACACCGTCTTAGACACAATTTTGAATGGAGAGCAAGCCGTAGTGTGCCCGCTTCGCTCGCAATCGAGCAAAAAGCAATAAAGCAGAAAAGCATATAAAGCATATTTAACAGTCGAGCAGAATAGCATAAATGCATTATTGCAAAAAGCAGCCAAGCACGAGCCTAACACACACTACGCTCACTCCAAAGAACTACAGTGAATACAATCTTATACAAATTCGAATACCAACTTAAACTAAAAACTACTCTTTCCATAATACAAACTATCGCAAACTCTTATACCAGCGGCGTCAATAATGCACCACGCAGCAAACCAAATCGCAGTGGGTACATTATTTTGACACTGTCTTCTGATTTGAATATCGAATACCAATCGCACCACAACAGCTACAGTACAAATACAGTATACACAGAATAAATACCCAAAAATGCCACCACAGAGAAGTATAGTGTATCACCATGAATACCAATCATCAAACCAACATATAGCCAAACGATCTGGAAACTGGGAGAACTCTGTTACGGTTACGTTACGTGTGCTAGTCCAAGAATCGATCCCCTGTCTATAAGTAGGACCCCCCATGCCATGACCAATTAACAAAAACCAACGACAAATGGGATTGAATATTATACATTTTCGTTTACACGTATTTAATGAACATTTTTCTTTTTGCCACAGCTTAAGTGTCTGCTATCAAGTATCGAGAAAAGTAATTTGTTCATTAGTCCCCGAGGTTAAAGAAGACGAGATTTATACTCGTATATAATACATATATCTGCCGACATCTTCATTTGCTTCTCACCTTACGCTAATCAAAAGCTTTTAGGAAGTTCTTGGGTTTATTTTACAACATTTTTTATTTTAAGCTACTCATTCTTAGCTTTAGACATTGCATGATCTGCTTGTTAAATCACAACCAAAAAAAAAAAAAAAAAAAAAAGATATACTAAGAATAAATTACTCCACAGCAAGCATTTTCCTTTTTGAAGGAGCTTTTTGTAATGCTTGACCGCCCTTAGATGTTTAACCAAATACAAATTAAAGATTAACCAGATTAATCAAAGTTCTTGTGCAAACTGGAAACATTCCACCCAACGATCTCTACGATTAAACCTAACCTGCACTAAATCCAATATACAGCACTCAAATGCCAAAAAAAAATACTCCACGTAGTGCCGAAATCCTCTGTCTATAACCTGATTCCCAATACAGCATTCGTAGTGTGTGCCTGTTAGTGAACAACAGTTCCCACTTCTACCCCAAAAACAACTTAAAACCAAAACAGAACACGTATATCGAAATACAGAAAAGTTCTTCAACTCAAAAAAGCGAAGCCCCTCCCGTTCAAAACAATGATCAAGACCGATAAAAGTTGCTGATCCCAGAACATTCCTTACTAATGCCGATACTTTCCTTGAACACTTTCCCACCCAATCGCGCGCAGAAAATCTGTCTCGTTGTGACCGTCGTGGATTATGATCGTATTGGAACCTCCGAACCTATCGGCCGCTGCATACTTGGCTGCATGGGTACCGGAACCGAACTGCGTCACTGGTCCGATATGTTGGCCTCGCCCCGCCGGCCCATCGCCCAGTGGCACACTCTCAAGGACCCCGAGGAGACCGACGAGATCCTGAAGAACATGAAGTAAGGCGCTACCATGGATAACCAATTCAGGTGGGTGCTTCGACGCTATGCCATTTCTTTTCTATAGTAAACTTAATATCTGCTTAAAAATTAAGGGAATTTGAAAGATTTTAAGTAACTCATGAAAGCGCATAAAATTATGCAACAGTATATGTTAAGTCAGGACCCCTGATGGATTCACTTCATAAAAAGATCTCCTTATTCCTCTTAAACAAAACCACACCGTTTTCTGTACAAAACCCGCACTTAAAATTAAAATCTAAGATTTAAAATTTCCATTTGACTCCATCGTTTGCAGACTTACAGCACACCTATCAAACGTATAAAAGTAACCAAAGAACACTTAAGCGAACCGTCAGAAATCATAGAAATCGAATGCATCATCATCAGCTACAAATGATCCTCCTCAACCGAAACGACAAGCAACAATCAGCGAAATATCGTAGTTAATGCAAAAAATTGTTCATCTATGCCGTTATCTCAACATAAACATACTGGAAAACACAAGAGCCGATTAAGTAATACCATAGGTGTCTAAGTTATATCTCATTGGTTGAACAGCAAATCGAAGTGAAAGTGAAAATTAAATCCTATTTAGAAAGCAATGTGTCCCTTTCACTGACCGGAATCCGAAAATAGTTCGATCGATTTTGCATATAATCACATAAAATATAAATTCATTTCGAAATCTATGAATTTGTTGTTGTCCCTGATCGAGATGTTTCAAAACTATGAAAATTACGAGTATGTTCTATTTAATACAATAACTCTATATACTCAAACTATTTAACGGATGACCGAGAGAGTATCATTTTTAAAGTTGTTTAAGTTTACTTTGGTTTTAAATTAGTCCAATGATTGAAGGGATCTTTCCGGTTTTAACTTTGTTTTTCAATCGTTAAAGGATAACTAGTGAATAATATTACTGACTAATGAATATATAATGAAAGCAAAGATCGTAAAAGCAACACAAGCTGTTATGTAAATTATTTATTATGTTTAAATTATTGAGCATTACGTACTTAACTGTGTAAGTATAAATCTATGTGTGGAATGAAATGGACAAGGCAGACATATTAACAGGAGGAAAGGAAGCGAAATCATAAAAAATATATATTATATATAAATATTATGTATAACCCTTGCATAGACTAATGTTATGTATACACTGAGCTGAGTTTTGACGACCTAAAAAAACAGACGAATAAGTAGAAGGGAAACCAAAACAAACCGAAAACCAAAAGCAAATAACTAAAGTTAAACTTTGAAGCGTGATTTCAACAGAATATATCATCAGTTTAAACTTTAAAAAAAAATCGAACATTTTGCACAATGGATCAGATTGGAGTATTGTTTTAATTTTATTTAGTTTAAAATTAATTAGGACAAATATCGCTCAGTTCGGAAAAGGTTTCCATTTCAAATTAGTTTTTTCTGCTTTTGGGAAACTTTTCGTTGTAGTTAAAACTGTCTATTTAGTAGCTTCTACTTCTCAAATCTTAAGGTTTCTACAACTGTCTATGAATCGTTTTTTATTATAATTTCCGACTTTAGAACATTCCCTAATTTATAAATCATATTAGGACCTAATGAAAATATACATACTAACTAAATGATTATGGCAAAATGTTAAAACAGAAAAAGAAATATTAAGAACAATAATAGTTATTACTATTTATATTATATTCAAGTATATGACATCTAAACAATATACATTTATATAAACTTAAAAAAAAAAATTGTGCTCTTGCTGCACAAGCCTACTAAGAATTTGGGATTTTTAGTATGGAAAAGCGGCGGCAACAAAAACTTCTACCTACCTAAAGAAAAAACACAAATTTAGCTAATTAAGCTAAGCAAAATCTCAAGAACAGAGCATTCCAAACTAAAGAAATCGAAGTCGAAATCGAGACAGAGGAATAACAACAAAATGAGCCATGATTTTCTGATTTTTTCCATATTGAAAGTAAATGAAATTCAACTAATACATTAGATGTTTTTGTCCTGTAAATGGTATATTATAATGATAATGATAAAGCGTAGTTAGGGATCTGTGTATCCCCTGTAACACACACTTACACAGTTGTAGTTATGTTCACCGAAGCAAGAAGAAGACAAGTGCATAAGAATACACAAAGAAAAAAGTATGCAAACTTACAAATCGAGAAAATACCAAAAATATTTATGTAATATAATTCATCTAAATTTAACAAATCGAAGAGGACGCCAGGAAAAACAAGTTATACAACTTATTACGAGTATTGTTCAATAAAAAAAAAAAAAAAATAAATAACTTTGCTTTTCCAAATAATTACTGTAAATTATCTCAAACCCAAAAACAGCAACAAAAAGACAAACACACAAAAAACAAAACACATATGTATTAAACAAATGGTAAATTACTAACAAAAATCGAAGCCTAACCACAACAGCAACAAAATGAAACAAACAAGACAACAAACTATATATACTTGCATATTAAACAAATTATATGAAATTATATAAAATGATGTTGATTATTGATTTAAATTAAAACTGAGAAAGTGAATAAAACAAATTATATATACACCTATATATATAAATATTAAACAAAACAAAAGCAAAACTTTCGTTTGTGTTTTCCTTTTAGTTGGTTTTAGACATATTTATTTACACAGCGTTACACTGAGCAAAACGAAGTGTAAGTGTTAGTCCCAAACGACATGTACATACACACACACACACACACAACTAACACCCACACAACCACATGATGACACCCACACTGAAACACCCACGAACTGACCAAAAGCAAGTCGTACATATTAATGTATTATAAAATATACACCTAACTGTGTATATGAATACCGTTAGTTATACAATATCTGTAATTGTAATTATATTATTTTCAAAAACGTTCTCAAAGCAAGCAGAATGCAGCGCATAGCCCATCACGAAAGCACAAATCAGTAGAGGAAATCAGAGTGGAAGGAAGTCAGAAGAGAAATAAAAACTAAATAAGATATTAAAATAGGACACAGAAAAATAATACAGAATACAAAAAGAGAAAAAAAAAACAAGAAAATAATGTAGCAGTCCATGTACTTTTATTTTCTAGATATGTATGTATGTAATTTATATTCGATAAATCAGGCATTATGCATTTAGCAACCAGACAAAAGCACACAAACTTAACTAGGATTCACTATCGAAGAAGATCAAAAGATCAGGATCGATCATCCTACCATTCACCATAGCTATAGCCCGATTTCAATGATAAAATCTTAAAAGATCTCCATATAATCCAGTGCATTTATTTTAGCTGAGAAGAACACTGGTGAGAATCGAGAATGAGAATGCATCTGTGGAATCGGGATATCATACATATAGAGCGCACCTGAGGGAACGATCGAGTAGCAAGTTAAGAAAAATGAGTAACGACAAATACAAGATATAGAAATATGCGTTATCGGTTCAACAGAGCCAAGATATAGGACAATGTTTGATGTTGATATGAGTTAATCTGGCACCTAGTGTGCGCGTTATAAGCATAGATATGAACATACATGCGTAATACAAAAAATTAGCCCATCTAATAAGATCATTTTATATACCCAGCGATCGAATGAGGGCAGCAAACATTATACATAACCATCGACAGCACCGCATAGTATGAACACAGCATACGATATATAAGTATCCACATAACCAAGAGATATACATACATATATACACTTGGAAATTATATCCACGTACTTCTCCCTGGAGTTCGCCATCCTTCGGTTCAGATTCAAACTCTATATACCCACCCACACGTACTCGTACATACAAACACTCTCATCCAGCACTTACACTCGCGGATATCATTTTATGACTCTTTCCGGAGTTTTGTTGTTTACGATAAACTGTTTATAGCTGTTTTTGAATTTTAAATAAATTATATTTACTATATGGCAAAACAAAGAAATAAAAACTAAAGAAAACCATATATGATAGTAATATATGTTTTAAATGCTATTACCAAACGAATCTTAAATTGAGGCTTTGCAAGCAGAGTTGCAAGCGAAAGAATATTATTGAATAAACTGCATATATATATACATACTATAATGCAACTGTATTGCAAGACAAGCATAGCATTTTATTTCCGAGGCAAAAAGAATTTAACAAAAACACCCACACACAAACACTTAAACTCCGACACCTTTGTACGGTTAGCGGTAACCACATGTGAGCCCTTAGGCCCCAAGATATTGCAACAACCAACCGTACAACCCCACAACAATAAAAAGCCCCAACAACAGCAACAGATAGATGATCTATGTAAAACACTAGCGATGTGAGCGACACAGATATACACAAATACACAAGAACTAACATATGTGAAATGAAACGAGGAATGTTTATAAACAATAAACAAATGTTTGAAAACTATAATCGTACTTTTATTTCAGCTTCCGGGTACTAAAATTGCTTTTGTAGGCTAAGCTTTTAATCGCTTTTAAAAAGTAAAAAGCCAAGGTTACATTTTTCCTGATTTTGTTATCAAATAAGTTTTGGGTTCTATTTCCCCACCACTCTGTTCCATTATGTTGCTTATCTTTCACAAATTTAGCTCACACTTAAATATTATTCAAAGCCACCGATTTCTTATCTGCAGTGGTGCCAGAGGTCTGGTTAGTTTGGAAGCTCCATCCAAAGCCAGCGGATGTTTTTTTTAATTAGACGAAACGATTCGGGATATTCGATACGCTTTCGCCATTTCGATATCAACGATTGAATTGGGCATCTCGTTGGACAACTGTTCTCTTTACAATCTTTTATTGTAAACAATTATTGAAATCACTTAAATAAAGGCATACTCAAAGTTGTTTTTATTTTGAACATGAAGTTGGACTAAGCCACTTAAAAATGCCAACATAACTACTGCATTCATCTTTGGATACTTTAATAAATTTATTAAACTTAGTAGGCAAGGATCTAACGACTAGGTGGTCAAACATGCATAATGCATAGTACTAAACTATATAGCCACAAACATAGAGAATAAAACAAACACCCACAAATACGGATATGAAACAAAAACAGCAACATATAAAAGATGTGTCCACGGTTCGCATCCTAATGTTGGGCGATGGAGGTGGGATAACTTTATAATTAAATTTGGATTATATCAATAGCTTCTTCAACTCATATTTCCAGGCGTCGGCAAAACTAGTCTGACCAATTTGCTGGCCAACAGTGCCATAACGCCTACGCCCGCCTCACGAACCGTAGGCGATGGTTCCTGGAACGTCCAGGTGCGTCTGCACGAGTATCCCATCTCGGTGGGCCTACCGCCCACTCCCTCCTGGACCTCGCCCTCCTCTTCGGAGCGCTCAGAGAAATACCCGTATGCCCGAAGTACACCAGTCACCAGCGAAATACTGTACTTCGTGGAGTTCTACGATTTGAATAGCAATCTGCACATGCGGCGCAAAGAACGCTCTAATTTCTATAAGAAAATTGATGGCATTGTCCTGGTGTACAATATGCAGGATCTAAGCTCCCAGGACAATTTGCACGATTGGCTGTACGATCCGTTGCGTCAAATATGCAAGTATCGCCACCGACGCCAGCGACCTATCCTAAAACGCCAACATGTCCCAATCCTCGTGGTGGGAACCAGGTTGGACAAGCTTGTGCGCCGGCCATTGCGTCGAAGTGGAACCATAGCCCACCAGCTAGGATCCGACGAGATTTTCCTCAACTGCCAGGATCCCAACAGTTTTGCGGACAAGAGTCGCAATCAGGGCAAGCTACGCGGCTTCCTCAATCGCGTCGTCGAGTTTAAGGAGCATTTTCCGCTCTCAAATTCGCGGTGCCTTTGAACAGATCTCACCATATATTTTCTAGTTCCTTGTTTATTTTTAATAATATTTATGGAAAAAGATTTCTCTAGTGATTTTGGGCTTCTAACTGAAGGTAAGTATAAGGTATGACGGGATGATATTAAAAAACTTATCCTTTGTTTTTCAATAAAAATAATAAAGGATCAGGTTTTAAAAACTTCAAAAGTGTCGTATATTATTTACGAAAATAATATTATGTAAAATTTTGGATTATTTATTTAAAATTCAAAATTTCCAATTATTTAAAAATTCAATACCAATTAAGATACTAGTACTTTTATATTCTTAATATAGTAAGTGTTTTTTGTTTTCATATAATTTTATTCAATAGTTCTTTTGGAGTTTATTGTACCCTTCGGGTTAAATGATCGCGGATCTCGCAGCCGGCATATAACGTTTCTTAGCCAGGAGGCCACTGCATCTGGCGACCGCCGAGAAAGTGCAAATGCAAGTGGTAAACAGACTGGGCACCGTCCCTGCCATTGTTTATGACCACACGGTATCCGTCCTTCAGGCCCAGATCTTTGGCCACCTTGCGACCCACCAGCATGAGATGTCCCAGCAGATCACCATCTCCATCCTCCGCCAGCGAAAGTTGGGCGATCGGTTTGCGGGGGATCACCAGGAAATGGGTTGGGGCCTGGGGAGCCACATCATGAAAAGCCACACACTAAGGGAGATTATAAAGATAATACCATTTACTCTTTTCTATTGGCCAATTAGACTTTGAACTCACCTTCTCATCCTCGTGGATAAAAGTGCAGGGAATCTCCTTGCGCAAAATCTTTCCGAAAATAGTATCTTCACTGGCTGCTGCCGTTTGGGATTTTTCCACTTCGCTCGCCATTCTAGCTCTGCAGGTTGCTATTTGGCGTGAACTGAACAGAAAATAAAGTATTTAATCTCTGAACTTTAGATAATTGAATGGAAATGGCGTGCAATACCTAAAAACACGAACAAAATTCCGGCCGGCCGTCAAGAACATCGAAAAAGCGCTGCCAACTGAGTTTTTAAATAATCCACAGCCCGACCTTATTTAGTGTATTTTTATGCTCATACATGCGTTTATTTAAGTTTTATTTATTTTTATTTAAAAACATAATATTACCGGGTAACTGAAGGCTTATTACTTAGCATCTTTAATTAATTAATTTGATGCCATGGTATGGAATAAACAAAGTCGCTAGAGACAACAAAAACATAGGTGGACTTTGAACCCCGATGCAACATATGGAAATCATAAAGATCATCAAACCAGTAATACTGCTCTGCTGACAAGATCAAGTTCCTTCGTGGCAATATTTTGTGATATCACTGCACTATCATCTTGAAAATCTAAAGGAGAAATCGAATTTTTATGACGTAATGTTGCCTCTTTCCTTATCGAAATAATATGCCCCAAGATTAGTTCAGAACTATCGGCTAGGTGCAAATTCCAATAATCCACTTGATTACACGAGACTTCCTACTAGTTCCAAAATTGAGCAGCTGCCGTCAGGAAGGAGAAGTAACCTACAGGTATGGCCACCGTTGAGAAGGTGTCCACCGAGCGCAAAGCAAATCCAATCAAATCGTTTCTAACTGGAGGATTCGGAGGAATCTGCAATGTGCTATCTGGCCATCCGTTGGACACCATCAAGGTGCGCCTACAGACGATGCCGCGACCAGCGCCAGGAGAGAGTCCCTTGTATAAGGGAACCTTTGACTGTGCAGCAAAGACCATAAAGAACGAGGGTGTCCGTGGCTTATACAAGGGCATGTCCGCGCCGCTGACCGGGGTTGCTCCTATTTTTGCAATGTGTTTTGCCGGTTATGCGCTGGGAAAACGCCTGCAACAGAGGGGCGAGGACGCCAAGCTCACCTACTCGCAAGTTTTTGTGGCTGGCTCTTTCTCCGGCGTGTTCTCCACCTTCATAATGGCACCTGGAGAGCGAATCAAGGTGCTTTTGCAAACGCAGCAAGGTCAAGGAGGCGAGCGCAAGTACAATGGCATGATCGACTGCGCTAGGAAGCTTTACAAGGAAGGAGGCCTTCGCAGCGTCTTCAAGGGCAGCTGCGCCACAATGCTAAGAGACTTGCCGTCAAACGGCCTATACTTCCTTGTATATGAGGCTCTTCAGGATGTCGCCAAGTCAAAATCGGAGAGTGGCCAAATTAGTACTGCGTCAACAATTTTCGCTGGTGGAGCTGCCGGCATGGCCTACTGGATCCTGGGAATGCCAGCCGATGTACTAAAAAGCCGCCTACAATCGGCTCCGGAAGGCACTTACAAGCATGGAATTCGAAGTGTCTTCAAGGATCTAATTGTTAAGGATGGTCCTATGGCTTTATATCGGGGCGTTACACCGATCATGATCCGCGCCTTCCCGGCCAACGCTGCCTGTTTCTTTGGCATTGAGCTAGCTAACAAATTTTTCAACATTGTGGCGCCAAATTTCTAGTTGGAAATAAGTGTAATAAAGTGTTTTTAAATCTTGAAAGAAAATAGATCTATTAATGTGCACAGTTAAAGTAAATCGATAGCAATGGATGAAAAGGTTCACTTGCTACTAAGTTTTCTGCATATAACTAAATTTAAACGAAATATTGGGGTTTGCGCATGGTGATTCCATGATCGGCAAGCGCCGGAACCAAGTCCTCCATAGCCAGAGTGTACTTGCGGTCCTTGGGATTCTTCTTGTCCTTGGTAGAACTGTGGCCGCTGGAGTGCTGGATGTTCGTGGTGCGCGTCTTGCAGTGCTGCAGTGCATCGTTGGCAATGTCAGATATGAATTTCTGTGCGGACACGGAGATCAGGCGAACTATTTTTGGGTCCACGGTCGAAAAGCCAGCCTTAAAGGGGGACATAATATCAGTACTAGGTCAGGGTTTTTAAGCAATTTAAGCTACCGTTTTCAGGGCGTGCATAGTCAAGGCGTCTGGAATAGTTGGCGTGTAATCCTCTAACTGTCGGAACAATTCATCCATATCCGCATCCTCTGCGGTTGGTGGAACCTCCTCCACTTCCAAGTCGTCTGCATCAGAATCCGGTTCGGATTGCAATTGTGGCTCAGTCTCCTCGTCTTCGGTGTCCGTGGCAGACGCCAGAGATTCCGTAGGTGTTACATTAATATCCTCGCCGTCGGAAGCCATTCTTTTACACTTCTTTTTAATTTATTCCTAAAAACTGTATTTATTTTGTTTATCTTTACTCTTGTTTATGTATATACTCTTATCGATAATCGATAGTACCAGCATTGAAGTCTCGATGCTTCGAACATGGATGTAGATAGAAATAATTTTTAAGGGGATGCTTGGCGAAGATTATATTGAGATACATATTTTAAGATATATTTCTTTAATTAAACATGAAATAATATATAATATATAATTTCAAACTAGTTTAAACACCATCATTGTGTTGTAAAAATATTTATTACTAGAACGTAACAATCATTTCGATACACCAATATCTCTTAAGTTCGATAAAAATAAAACAATATTTTGTCGATAACTGTGTCTGAATTGTAATATATTTTGTATTTACAATGGTCGGCTCCAATTTCGGCATTATTTATCACAACTCCAGCACTGCAGGCGGCGGCAATCAGGGAAACCATGGACAATCATTGGGAGCAGGCGCCATAGGTGGAGGAGATCGGGAGAGAACCACACCAGCATCTCATCTCAGTGACTTCATGTCGCAGTTGGAGGATTACACTCCTTTGATTCCGGATGCGGTGACCTCGCACTATCTTAATATGGGCGGATTTCAGGCAGATGACAAGCGCATCGTTCGGTTAATTAGTCTCGCCGCCCAGAAGTACATGTCGGACATCATCGACGATGCACTGCAGCACTCCAAGGCACGGACCCATATGCAAACCACTAACACTCCTGGTGGCTCAAAGGCCAAGGACCGCAAGTTCACCCTGACCATGGAGGATCTACAGCCGGCTTTAGCCGACTACGGTATCAATGTTAGGAAAATGGACTATAGTCAATAGAGGAATTACCATACCTAATTTTAGTACTAAAATTTTTTCATTAAAAAAGTGCTTGTCTTATACCATTATCCAAAACTACATATTTTTTTAGGTAAATAAAGAGTCAACTACATTTGGAGTATTATCTGTTATAAAACACATAAAAATAATAAACATTCCTCACAATAATGATTTCCATAAACTTTAAGCTATATTAATAGTTTTCGAGGAATTAAAGCCAATGAGCACTTATTACTAACACATATATGTAGATATATTTAAAAATCATTTTCTTAGTAATAGGGATATAAGTCCATAGATGGTGTTACATATCAAGCATATACCAAGGTAATTTTTTAAATATTGTTATCCAAAGGCTAGACTATACTCTAAGTGGTTAATACTAAGCGCTTTTTTATTGGCATGTTATGAATTTCTTGAAGCTACGGGATGTTCCTCCTGCAACCCGGAAGGCCAGAACGCCGGTGACTATGGTGACTAAGTAGTTAATCAGCAATGTGGTTGTATAAAGCTCGTTGGCATTCAGCAGAGTAATAAGGGAGACGAACAGGTGGCTGCCCACCACGTAGCCTATGTGAATATAGTTGTTCGTGTCAAAAGGCGTTGAAGAATATAACACTCCAGAAAGTGTGCAGCAAGATAATTGATAGAGCCTGGGCGGCCGAGGTGACGAAGAACAGCTCCGTTCCACTCTTCAGGCCCATGGTTCCGGGCCCACTCTGAAATTTGAGAAATGTCTTTATTGGAACCATAGTATAATTGAAACCTAATTACCATATCAGCAAGCACATTGACCAGTGCAAACATTCCTGATATAATACCGAATCCCAGGCCAGAAACATAGGCCAGGATGTGCTTGTTGTCAGTCACTCTGGTGTCCTCCGCCACGGCATGTAATCCCTGTTCCGTGCTGCGTAGGATCCTATAGATGATGTACCGGAAGCCCTCCTGGAAGAGCACAGAGAAGACTACGCCGAAAGCTATGAAGTCTTTCAGCGGTATCAACGCGTACCACAATGACGAGATTAGTAGCGACAGCAACCAGAAGAAAGCCGCCGCGATGAGAATAATTATCCGCACCGGGTCATTGGCGATGGTAAAGACGAACAGGGCGAAGGGCGGCCCAAAGGCGATGAAGGTGCAGCCAAAAAACTCGGGCAACGTCATATTTTCCCTTCAATATTCCAAGTTTTTGGTTGTCTTGTAGATGTTTTGGTTTACGTAGGAAGAGGGAGAAACTGACAAGCAACCCTCAAAATGCCAGACAGTTTTGTGCTGTTGGTGATGCCACATTGTCATGTTTTAAAGTTTTTATACCCTACATATCGTACATAGTTTTTTGCAAGCATAGCTTTAAACAAATACTTCAGAGTTTATAATTTATCATTACATTACATTTTACAGATATAGTTACACAAATTTCTTTCTTATAAAAGTATATTCAAAAACTTTTCCCAATATTAACTATGGATTATATTAAATATATAAAGGGTACCAATTAGTGCATATGTTAGGTTGCAGTATTTAATGTTGCCAGATCGCAGAACAGCAATGTTTTCATACCCTACTATTTAGAGTCCGTTAGTTTAAAAATCAACTTGTTGCAGAACTGGACCTCTACGACTCCAACTGTCTAAAAATATAATGAAATTTAGCCAAAAATCTTTATTAAATCTCTAATTATATGCAATAACATTTCCATGCTGAGACACACAATATTCCCAATATATCCAACTTTTCTCCCCCGTATAGGGCAATCGAACAGTCGCCAATGCGCGTTTCACACGCACAAAACAAAGACATCCGTCCCACTTGCAATATTTTTGTTTGGGGCGGGATTAGTCACTGTAAATTGACTCAACTCGCCCGCACTATGCCAACCGCATAATCCGCCGTAAACCAGAAGCCAGTTGTAAGTGCCTAGCTGCAGATCATAAACAGCAGCACAGCGAATAACACAAAGAGATTTTAGACCCCATATGCCCAGTGAGTAATTTGGAACCTCCAATTAGCAGTTCCCCGGTGATTGATTTGTATTTTCCGTTCCTTAGTTCACGCTGTGATGGCCAAGCGCCTGCTGCCCCACCAACCATCTTTTGAGGGGGACGCACCCGGTCCGGATGAGTTGGACAGCCCAGCTATTGAGGCAGCCGCCCTCGATATTCCACCGCCGGAATCAGATAAGGCGCTACAAAAGGGTTTGTATAATCATAATTTCCCATGACTATATTTTAATGCCCCTTTGTGGGGCTTCAGTACACATCTTCAAGAATCATTTAATTTTCACATTTGGATGCAGATTATCATATAATCATCACCTTCTGTGTGTAGAGGACAATGAAAGCTTCTAAAAAACAAATTTTTTATTTAAGATTTTCCATTTTTTTTAGGTGTCTGGGAGCGTCCAACAATGAGTTCCGAGTACAAGCCGCCCACCGATGGAAGCACCGTGCTTCGTTTTGACATTCTGCTGGCTCACATCATGCCTCCCGATGGCGAGGATGTGAAGATCAAGCGGTTTGTTGTCTACGAGCTCACTGTGAAACAGGATAGTGCCACGGAGGACACTCAGCCGGCAAAATCGAGCGTCGGTACACCGACTTTCGGGAGCTTTATATGGGCCTAAAACGACTTTATCCTTTGGAGATGGCCAACAAATACTTTCCGGGTAAGGTTTTGATGGGAAACTTCAAATCTGAACTAATTGGCGAACGGAGTGCGGCCTTCGAGACGTTCCTCACATATGTTGCGAGTCAAACGAAGCTCCGGGATTCTGAGGACTTCTTACGTTTTCTACAACATGATGAACTGACCAGGGCTTGCCAGTTTTTGGATGAGCGGCGGAACGAGATGGCCATACCCATTTTGGAGAACTGTTTCAGGGTGCTTAACAAGATATACATGAATCGATCGCGGCCAGTGCTCTTGATACTCTGTCGACTGGTGGCGGCATGTACCTCATCCCCGGTGCCTCACCACGCAGCCGAGAGATGGGCTCTGTTGGCACTAAGTCGTTTTGAGACCCTATGCGATATTGACCTGCTGCCGCTCTACATTCCCCTGCTACACACCTGCGCTCACCTATGGTAAGTACAAAAAAAGTTATAAAAATGTTAAAAATTTCAAATGCCTACCCGTTTAGGTGGCAGCGCGGTCAAGACCAAAAGCCGATCACGGATCGTTTAACTGACATGTCGAGGCAGGGCATTAACACTGCTAACACCGAAAGCCTTATGCAGGCCATTCACAAGATCGATCCGCGCACTGAAACCATATGAATCAGAATCTCTACCAGGTTTATTAGCATAAGTTCGGCATTTTGTTCTGTAGTGTTTAGCTCTCAAGCGTAAAGTGCAATTAGAGAACGCGTGCAATTAGTATTAAGGTGAAAGGAGTATTTATCAACCTTTAAGGTATCAGCAACTTTTAGCAGTGCTGCTCTCCAAAGTAGTTCATTTTAAAATTTTACGTAGGAGTTAAAGCCCTTATTGTTGTCACAAAAACACAGCCAAATTTATTCCACATATACATTTTTAAATGTTCAGTTTCGTATTTTAAAACTGTGATTTTTAAATTAAAATGTTTTTATTTGTTGAGCAACAAATTCATAATCTCCAGATCATTAACATAAAATTGGCCTTTGTCTACATATATACCTAATACTAATATTGCGACTAAATCAGAAAATTAATATCCGTAACGTCCTACTTTGGTAACTTATAGGTTAGTCTAAGCCTGTTTATGTTTCATATTACGTATTGTTTGATATCGTTGCATCGTCTCTGTTGATTGTACCCGAGAACAGTTTTTCCTCCAAGTAAATCACAAATGTATTAAAGAAAGTCCATGACGCACAGTCTGAAAATCCAAGCCTAGAACTCCATATCAGCCTGAAATAACACCAGACACATCGACCGCAGCTCCCAGAGTTATTTATTCTTACAGCCCAATGCCTTGTGATTGCTTTTTTCAATGAATAAATATTATACTCAAATGTTTTCCAGAATTCAAATCGTTGTCTGACAGGTTTGGCAATTTAAAACTATATGATATATATTTAATGGGGGTTGTTTTATGCTTATGCTTGTTTCTGAGTCATTTGGGTGTTTAAACTTAGATCTAAGAGTGCACTATTTAGTAATTAACTTAATGCTATCTAGTGTGAGGATCTCTTGACCGCACTCAAAATGTACATTACGAATAATTTATAAGTTATTACGTCACACAATCGATTCAACTATATTATAAATAGAGGGCTTCGTGCGTTTTTAACAAATTCTTCGCACTTTCACAATTTTCAATATTACATACATCATTCAAAATGTACAGAATCTCCCGAATCCAGTTTCAAATATCAGATACTAGCGGAAGAGTCGAGTAAATGTTTTTAAAGCTTGCGAAATTGCTTTCGTGGTGTCCGCCCTGTAAAATTAGATATATTTTTAGAGTGTGTGCATAATATAATAAAAGTAAAGCCTCACCTCAGCACAGTTGTGCTGAATTCCTCTAGCTGCTGCTGCGTGGCCGTCACGTAGCCACCGCTGTTCTTCTTGGGTAGAGCATCCAGCGCCTGGACCAAAAACGACTGCATCCGTTCGTTGCCCACCACCTGCTTCAGTTCGTGGAGCACCTCGCCCACATCCGCCAGCATGTAAGAGTGCAGTTGGAACACCGAGGCCTGGATCAAATTCATTACCAAAGCTGCGCCATTCTGATTTGCAATCTCCACTACCAACGGACGGGTCTCAGCGTTCCGACTGTGACTATTTACTCTTCCCCAAACCAAAAGGTTAATAAAAAACTTCATCACCGAAGAGTTTGCCTCACGGTGGTCCAACGAGCAGGCTATTAAAGCACACTGGAAGATCGGCGTGATGAGGCGACTCTGGAGGAGTTGTTGCGGACAGCAATCCAAATAGCGCGATGCTAAACGGAAGAAATCGTCCACGGTATCGGGATTATTCTTAAGCCCATTCTCAACCTGTAGCAACCCAAATGTGGGTTCGATAAATGCCTGCAGCATCTCCAACAGTCCTCCAATGCATTCGGTTGTCTTGGCAAACTCATCCACTAGAATGGATCCCACGTAAAGGAAACAACTGTGATGCTGAACCGAATATAGCACTACAATTTGCTTGATCAGCGGCTCCACCAGTAGCATTGCTTGCTTTCGTACCATCCGGATGCCGTAGCGGATTAGTCGGCAGGTGCGCTCCATGATACGTAGGTCGGTTTGATACTTATCCAACACTCGCGATATTAATGGCCAAGCATCGTTCAGAATAGCCACCGTGGGGTGCTCCATAGTATCGGGAACATCAGGATTCGTGTGTCGGATAATGGCGCAGGCTCTGTCTATCCAGTAAACGGGATCGGTTCGCTCTCCCTTTTGAGCACTAGCTTCACTTCTATCCATCAGTTGAGCCAATGGTTGCAGTTGGAAGCCAATAATTTCTCTCAGAGCAGGCTGAATTTGCTCCCGCGGCAGACGGGTCAATATAATGGATATGCCCTTAAGTAAACCTATGGCCACATCGTTGTTAATCTGAAAGCTGTCCAAGCTGCGGGCGATCTCTACGAGACCGCTAATGTGACACACCATCTTTTGGCGGCATGCGGTGCAAATCGATGTCAATGCAATGGCCGCAGCTGGCGCCAAGCCATTCTTCTGCTGCAGAGCGTACAGCAGAAAGTTAAGCACCGCCTCCAATAATTCCGAATGATTCTCGATCCATTCGGACAACTCGCCTATCAGCAAGATCGCAGTGTATCTAACGGCTATATGAGTTTGCTCCGACATATTTAGAATCGCTTCCACCACTTTGGGGATTATTTCGTTTTCCTCTCTGCAGATGAGGTTAATTGGGTTAACATGATTTTTGTGATAAAGCTGTATACTTACGGCAGTATATTCTTGGCTACGTTCTGCATAATGAAAAGGGCTGATTCTGTGGATTCCCAAGTAGTTTCCGGCGCTTGGAGGATATGGAACATCTGCTTGAAGCACGCTCCTGATCCCACTATAAAGGCCACGTCTTTTATCAGATCTGAGACCTTGCGTCGAAAGTCCTGAAAGGGAATAAGAACACTGTTTATATTGTCTAATACTTTTCCTAAAATATAACTAACTTTTATATTAACAAATGTAGGAAGTTGTAAAAAAAATATTTTTACTTTGGCTACTTCACTGGTTCGACCGGTTTTTTTTAACAATACTAGCTACTAAAATAAGCAATTTAACAATCTGGTGAAATGGGATAGATAACTAAGTTGTTCTATGAAGTGTTAAGGAACTTCGAGTTTCTTTTCGGTCATTAAAGTACGAATATAGGGTATATAGGGTTTTCAAAAACTTACAAAGAAATTATTGTTCTCCTCAATAAGTCCATCGTGATCGCTCTCCATTTGCGAGTGACGAAACAGAGCACTTAACAGCCTTTCGATGTGCGGCCGGAACATTATCGTCAACTTGTCTTCGTTGCGCTGGAAGAGATCCTCGCTGAGCTTGTACCACAGGTGGAATGTGATCTCGGCCACCTCGTAGTCGAAGTGCCCAACACACAGCAGCACCAAATCTAATCCTTTTAGGCAGTAGTGTGGCTTGTTGGCATCAGCCAATAAATCGTATAAGAAGGCATCACATAGCGAGGTAAAAATCCTGCAGTAATTGATCGTCTTATCGGTATCCTCGTGGGCCACACTTAAGTGGTAAGGTGTCTCTAGCATACAGACAGCTGCGAAGATCTCTGCCTCGACGGAGGACTCCGTTTCGTTGGCGCCATCCTGTATCGTGTTCATACAGGATAGCAAAGCACACACGCACTCAGAGGCATTATCATGCAGTTTTCCCGACGTCTCTGGCGAAGAGAGCAACCGGAAGGCCAGCTGTGATAGGGCATTATTATACACATGAGAGATAGGAAAAGCATGGATCACCAGCCAGGCACTGTAGGTGCGTAACGCTGCATTCCACACACGCTGCTGGTCAAGATCCTCACGCTGAAGGCACATGCACAAGAACTTTAGGACGCACTCTGCGCTGGCGTCAAGTTGCTTGTGTACCTCCTCTCTCCGATTGGCGCCCAGTCGCAGAAACCGAGAGTCTATTTCTTCTGGCAGAACCTTAAGCACCTCCAGCAGCGGCCAGGTGGCGGCGGGATGCGGGGCCAGAGTCACCAAGAGATCGTTGATTGGTTCCTGCCAGCTGGCCATTAGAAGGGCCAGGTCTGCCACCGCCAGACTGAGCTGAGTTACAATAACATTATCTGTCTGTTCGTCGATTTGTCCTATATGTGTGATCAGGGAATCCCGCAGAGATTCGTGCGTGTGTGGGGGCAGTTCGCTGAATGAATTTTGTATTTTGTTCCGCATAGTTTGAGCGGCAAAATAGTTGGCGTGCAGATCTCGCTTCTGGTGCAGCAGTTCGTCCGCAATTGTCCACGAATAGATCTTCAAACGATTAACAAATAATTAACTATTATAGTGAACTTTGGTAAACCGGGAAACTAGCACTCACCGACTTCTGGAAGTCCTCCAACCATCTGTTAGCCTTCTCCTGTTCCTTGGGATTGTTGCCCTGAAAGAGGGCACTAATAGCTTGGTACACCACGTCTACCGAGTACGTATCCATTTCATCGGCAGCTATAATCAGCACATAAAATAATAATCAGCGCATAAAAATACACTTTATTAGCGATGGCTTTGTGAAGAAATCCCGTATATCGGTAACATAAGGAAGTAGCGTATGATAATTATACATGTCATCGATGTTCAGCTATCTCGAAGGACTTCAGGCTTGCAACCAGGGTTGTCGTCTGTTAAAATCGTAAATTATTTATATCATTATTAAAAACTATGCCTTTATTTCAAGATTTTACTTATCAAAAAATTGGAAAAATTTAAAAGAAAAAAATTCTGAATATCATTTTATATTCCACTATCGAAACTAAGTCATAGGCCTGCGATATATCGATTCAATCGATAGTTCCAAAACAACATCTCCAACTGGCCTTCTGATCAGAATTCTACAATGGATTCGGACAGCACAGTCACATCCTTGGAGGAGAACACGGAGAACTTTTGCACGAATCCCACGCGCGACATCCTCGCCGAGGGCATCACCAATCTTTTTAAGCCGACGATCGAAAGATTAGACGAGCGTGTAGCCTCCACCATCCAGTTGCAGGCGGAGCTGCGTGGCCAGCTGGACGCTCTCGCCGCCCAACTGAGGGACATCGAAAAGGCTCAAAATCAGATACCCGAGTTCGCGGACAAGGTGAAGGAGCTGTTGAACGTCAAGCACAAGGTGACTGTCATTAGTAACGTTTTGGGTACCAGCCAGGAACGACTCACAGGCCTCCACAAGCTAATAGAGAAGGAGCAGCGCCGGAGACAAGCTCTCCTTGACTCGGCCCTCACCACCAACATATCATAAATTTAGTCCGTTATGGAGACGCCCTATACCGACCACTTAAGCCTAGAGGACTACGAACAGGTTTACGAACCTGCGGAGGATTCGTTCCTGCTGCTGGATGCCCTGGAAAAAGATCTAGAGTACCTTCAGCAATTGCAGCCACATCTTTGTGTGGAATTGGGCTCGGGTTCGGGAGTTATTATCACTGCTCTGGCCAAGAAACTGGCTGGCTCCTCCCTATGTCTAGCCACTGATATTAATCCCAAAGCCTGCGATGCCACGCGAAGAACTGCGGTTCGAAATGGAGCTCGTTTGGATAGTATTCGTTGTAATCTAGTGGATGCAGTGCGACATCAATCCGTGGACGTCCTGCTCTTTAATCCACCCTATGTGGTCACCAGCGACGAGGAGCTTCAAACGCAACAGTTCGGTTCCCACAAAGAATCCTCAACAGATCGCAATCTGGTCTTCTCCTGGGCCGGTGGACAGGATGGGCGACGCGTCACGGACATTTTACTAAAGCAACTGGATGACATTCTCTCTCCTCGGGGTGTTCTGTATCTACTCCTCCTGCGAGAGAACAAACCCGAGGAGATTATCAACTACTTAAAAGGCCTCAAGTTCCGAGCCGTTAAGTTCATGGAGCGACGCATTCCCGGCGAGCATCTGTATATACTGAAAGTGACTAGGTCCTCCTCATGACTTGTGCAATAAACTCTATTGGCTCGACTGGAATATCTAAAGAGAGTTGTATTTTAATTAAATTCTAACCGTATACAAGTTAAAGTTTACATTTTAAACTTCAATTAAATAGTATGCAGAAAAATGTTAAAGTTGAATTTAAATTTAATTCGTCGCTTAGATTACGGTATGTAAACGATTTTTTAAAAGTTTTTGAAGATAACAAATATATGTAGATATTAGGGTTTCTGAATTCCCTAAAAAGCCTTTTCCAAGTTCGTAGAGTGGTGGTACGTTAAACTAAATTAGACAAGCTTTTACAGTGGTAATGCGCCTTACTAGAATTACACAAATTCAAATACTTTGGCGGCCTCGAATCATTTTCGGAAAGATATTGAAAGACTATATTTTTTAATATTATACGTATATTGCAGTTTACAACAAAAAGTACAACAAAGGCTTTAAATCGAAGTATAGTTTCCAATCAAATCCCTCTATCATCCTAAGGGATGTATTTATGGTATAGGAAGGTTTGCTAAAACCAGTATTGTCAACCCCCGGATATAAGCATGAGATATGGGAGGGATGGATCTATACTTCATGTGTGGCAAACGAAATAATGGCAATCAATGAATTATGTACCTACATGCTCATGGATAACAACTCCTACCCCTTCAAGTAGCCCACTCCATCCCATCCCGCCCGGAAAATGGGGGATGTTGCCCCACCCGAAAATGACTACCCCTGTGATTCAAACATCGGTAAAGCAATTGAAACAAACTTTTTATTGGCATATAATAGATGCCAATAAGTCTGTACGTACTGTTTTTGCTTTTACGTAATTACAATAATTTATTTCATCCTTCAAAACTGTTTCATACTCTCTTTTTCGATTCGTGGTTCTGTATGCTCTGACTTTCTGCGCTAATAGATGTTATTTTCGCACTAAGCACAGATACATAAATAATTGGTATGTATTTACAAAAATGCATGATTCTTTAACATTATCTGTGGTATAGCTATTGTTATATCTGTATCAAATCGGCATATGTATCAGTTATATTGAGTTTAATTATTCAGTTTGCTGGTAAGCAATACAAGCTTTGAGCCTTCTGCTCTTGGATCTGGGTCAGTGGGTGGTCTGTGTATATATCTATGTCGTTCTGGGTTATATCGGTTAGATTGAAGGATAGTGGTTGGGTGGTTTCGGCGGCATTCAGTGTCGAGTACCTTTATTGACCAAATGGGCACATTTCTTTGTCAAATATCAGTCGTTATACTTTTAGAACTCGTATTTGGGGGCGGTGTATAAATAGTTTGGATACCCTTAATAGATAAATGTAACATTAAAAGTTTATTCTTGCTCATTATTCGATTCTCGGGTCGGTTTTTACAATTTACAAATGAATTAGGCTTATCATTTATCATCGATTCGCTCGCACAATTTATCAACAGAATAATAAAGCCTTCGCTTTAATACTGACATAAGTACTTAAGATTAGTCATAGTTTATAGTTAAATGCTGAAAAGAAAAAGAATATGGTAGAACTTAAACTTCCCGATGTTTTTTGCTTTTTCATTTATGTTGCCCCATAAGCGAAGACCAAGAAAGTCCCATTGCCTTGGGTGTAGGAAATTTTGGGAGCGTGACTGTGACCACAGTGGGCGCGAAAATTTTGAAACCATAGCTAAAACGTGAGCGTCGTAATTGAATGCGTTCCGAAAAATTATTTTCAATGATTTTTGTGATTTATTTAAATACAATTTTTATGTTTTATTTGTTTTGTATTTAATTGCATCTGCTGTTTCTTTTTCATTTTTCCATTTTTCACTTTTGTATTTTTTGCTTCTTTCGATCATTCATAAATGTAACGTCTAATTTAATAATGAATTTTAATATTTTTTGTTTGTGTGTGAGTGTGTGTGTCGGTGTTTAATTCACGGGCTTCGTTTACGCTACATGCTCAATCTTTGTATTTTTTGTTATACGCATAAACTGGGCGATTAAATTAGGACTTATGACATAAAGGAAAGAAAGATTTTGGTTTTGTTTTTTTCTTGTATATAGTGGGGATGTTTACTTTTTGTTGGATTCCGTATAGATTTCTTTCATACGAAAATGCCTTCAATTACAATTTTTGTTTTTGTAGTTTTTTATAAAAAAAGTACACATAAAATACAATTAAAATAAGGTAAGAAATAAAAAATTATTTCTTAAACATACAAATTATATACTTTTGCGATTTTTTTGTGGTTTTTTCTCCTTCATCGTCTCCTTGTTGTGGTTTATTTTCTGGTTGTTGGTTTATTATTATTTTTTGTTTTGTTTTTTGCTTGTAACTTTTATTTATTATTAATTTAAATTTTTGTTGGTTTTTGTTTGTATTTTTTGACTACATTATTATTACGCCTGATCGTCCGAGCCGGAACCGTCGTCATTATCATCATCATCATCTATATAAAGTGGGGAAAATCCGGGGATTAGTTTACGGGAAAGGAGGGAAAGTATTTGTTTGGGAACTCACCATCACATTCAATGTCGTCCTCCTCACCATCGTAGGGGATGTCGTACTCGTCGCTCTCGATTTCACTGTCGCCCTCGATGATTTCCTCCAGAGCCTCCTCCTCATCCGATTCTCCATCGGCGGCGGCGGCTTTCTTGGCCTTCTTTGATTCTGCGGATTTTGCCTGAAAAAGCAAAAAATGCAAGTTAAATTATTAACGGTGCCTTAGTATTTAATAACAGGACTATTATCATAATCAATTATGAAAAAACAATGGGAATTGTCTTTGTAATTAAGCCAGTTTGTCTTTCTTAATTAAATACAAATCAATGAAATATCTATTTTCGATAGCAATACAGCTTGCTAAAAAAAAACGGGAAAAATAAGGAAAGTTTCGGTTAACGGTCCTATGCGCCCAACTCAAACCCACACATCTCCTTGATCAAGGGCATCCAATACCCCTCTTAACTTTCCTGTGCGTGTGTACATAGTCATAAAATGTATATTTTCAGCCCACAAACAAGAAGCGACGAAAATCGTTATTTTCGCCGTAAAAAAACATTTGAAAAATGCGCGCGCCAATGTAATTCGCTGCGGCAAAGAGTAAAATAGAGCGTTCGAGAGAGACCGGGATTACAAGTGCAGCCGTATTACATCTGCCTGTGTATGTGTTAGGCGACATATTTACTACATAAGGGGGAAGAGAAAAACATTAAGCAGCGACGCCGGCAGCGACATATGTATCCGCATCCGTGAGATACGAAACGAAACCAAGCGTGCCCTGTAAGAAATAGAGAGCGCAGGAGAGAGCAATGGAGAGTATCTCAATCCGAAAGAGAGCCCCATCCGCACAAACTGTAAACTGTACCTGAACTGCATGAATGAATCTCTCTCTGGCACACACAAGCACATAAACGACAGCTGCTGCAGCGACGTCGGCAGCGAAAAAAGGCGCAAAACAACAACATGCGTGGGTTCAACTTTTTCCGCTGGCCAACCAACAACAAGATATATATTATGGTAAATGGCTTGTGGTAGTATATAGGCGGTCACGTTCCCAAGTCAAAGAGTAGCCGCAATACATGGGCCCTATTTACCAGTCTGTTACAAAGCGGAAAACAAGCGGGCTGTGGAAAAATGTGCAAAATTAATGGCCAACCCGCCGCCCCTTTCCTTTCTCTCGTTTACAGCATAAGTCACGAGACCCAGAACTCGAGAAATGTGCAATAGGGGATTAGGACAAATAGGGTATATTAGTATTGCGAAAGATTTGACAATGAGATAACTAGTAATTTACATTTCAGGTGATTACTAATTTATACGCTTTATCAAAAAATGGGGTCTTTTAATTTTAAAAGAAATTAACAGGATATATAGTAAGGAATGTCAAAACATATATTAGACATATTTTTTTAGCAGATTGGAAAATTTCTCAAGAAACCACGAAGGGAAAAAATATGAAAACAATTTTATTGTTTTGAGATTTTTTTTTATTGTTTCTTTATAGAGTTTAAGATAAAATGTACCTTAAATTGTTTCTAAAACTCTATAAAGAGTACCTTACTACCATAAACTAATGAACCCAAAAAACGAGGCATTTAGACTTTTTTGCCACCCTGTAAAACTGTCTTGTTTTATGTACAAAAATAAATACGCAGGAAAAAAGTGAAAGATAAATGTAAGCACAAACGCAAACAGACAAAAAGGCCCATGGTGTGTATACAAATTACGACGGAGAGAGCGAACTCTCTCCTGTATCTCTCTCTTTGTATCTATCACTCTACGCTCTCTGTCTCTGCAGAGAGCACGCTCCCGTTAAACTGTACATTTTTATTTCGAGTTTGAGTTTGAGAAAATCGCTTGATTTGCCAATTTATCTGTCTTACTGTCCGAACTATTTTATTTTTATCAAGAAATGTGCTTTTCGATTATGGAATGCGACAGCCCCAGCCCCCAAAACTTGTTCAAATACCGCGTGCTCTTGCTGATACTAACCAAAAATAAAGTGGCAAAACATGACATGAGTAATTTACCGGCCGGCAATGTGTGTTTCCATTGAGAGAGTGCATTGGCATCGCTTTGAGTTTGCATTTGCAATTGCCAAAGCCCCGTCGAATGACTGATAAATAAGGCCAAGACTATGAGTTATGATTATAAGCTTATGTATATCTATTTCAGCTTTTCAGCGAACACGTCAGTGCTAATGACCTATAGGTTTATTAAAAATACATTACCCACCCCACATAAAGGAAAAAACCTCTGGCTAACTGTACTGCCGGTCTATATGTATGGCCCTCTAACCTCGATTTGAACCTAACAACAATAATCTTTGATTGCCGGACCCGCAATCATCTTGGTTAATCGTAAACAAGACACTAACGTGAATACATATATACATGGTCTATCTCTCGCTCTTTTCGTGGGTATATAAGCCACTGAGAGAGTGCGCTGTTCCGAAAAACGTGTGTATATCTATTTCTAGAAATTTTTCTCCGAACAAAAGTGGAGCTCGCATATTGATGTGAATCATTTGGGGCTACCGCGTAAACAAATGGTTATTTTGTAATAGTACTCACTTCTGCTGGCCTCTTGGTGCCTTTTACTGATTCCTTTGCGGGGGCAGCGGCAGCGGCGTCGGCGGCATCCTCGCCGTCCTTCGACGTACCGTTATCAGCAGCATCACCGGCGGCATCTGCAGCAGCGGCCTTATCCTCGGCAGCCGCCTTCGCTTTGAGATCGTCCTTGACAGCAGATACGTCCTCGGACGCCACCTTCTCCACGGCCACATCGCCGTTGTTCTGTTGTTCCGTAGCAGCCGACATTGTTTTGTGTTTTATATTTTAAGTTTTTCCGGAACTAGTTAGTTGCTGCGTTATAAAGAAATAGTGCGTTTTGTGGGTTGTTTTGGTTGTTGACAAGAAACCAGCGCAAAATACTCGGGGAAAGCGACAGAGAAAGAGAGAACCGCACCGCACGAAGCACACCAACACATTGAATGCGATTCAACTGCGGGCCGTCTATTTAAGCACTCGCTCTCCCGAAGAGAGTAACATTTGCCCCCTCTCTCTCTCACGCTCTCCCCCTCTCTTATTAGTCTCTCGCTCGGACGCTCGTTAACTCTCTCTCCCACGCTATTTGGCTATGCAATACACTCAAAAAACCGCCGCGGCATTTGTACAGCCGCAGTCGATGGCGGCAGCGCAGAGAGAAGACAACAACAACATCCCAGAGCGAGCGATGGATTTTCGAAATATTATTTTGCGGTGATTTTTGTTTCGATTATATGGTATCTATTTGGTATATAGTATAGCTATAGGAGTTGCCATAGATCAGGCGGCGCTACGAAATGCAAAGGATTTGGTTTGGTCGTAGGCCCCACTGATGTACGGAGTATCCCTTCAGTTTTCCTAACCACCGATATGTTGACCCGTCGACTGTTCGTACACGACTGAACTTGCCGTCCGTTGGATGGCTAGAAATTGCCGCTTGCTTCTTCTTGTGCCAAAGCGATGAAACACTTTTTCGCCTATATCTCAATTTCCTCTGTTCCGATCGGTTCAGGAACCGATCGAGGCTATAGCCAGCGGTGTCCCCTTAATTTTGGTCTTTTTCCCGACGCGCTGCGATCAAAACTACATCCGCAATTGACAAGTTGAGTGGGTTTCCTGATTAATTCCATACAAAATCTGCTTGGGTTCCGTGAGTACAGTTGTGGGCGCGTTTGGCGGTAAATTTGAAAATTGCGCGCACCGGTGGTGCGTTCGTGGGGTTTAGGGGAGGGTGTGGTGGTGGTTGAGGCGGTGTGTGGTGCAGTCACTCTGTGGCGCTTTGACCGTTCGTCGGTGGAACAGAACAGTGGATGGATGTGGATGTTGCCGATGGGAAGAAGTGTTGCAGCATTGTTGCTGCAGATGTGTGTGCTGTATTTCGTGCGGTTCGTATTTATAGAGTGGACCAGCGTGGGACGCAATGTCGTCGCGGATTGGGGTCAATTGATTGGTAACGTGTGGGGAAGCAGGTGATTTTCGTGTCCTAAGCAGCTATTTTTTAAATTATAACGATTTAATTGCACACAAATGGGGAATATGCTATTACGGAAATTTCTGTACCCATATTTCTAATAAATTCTTTGAAGATAAAGGGTTTTTCAATCTTCAATGAATGTATGTACATATTTTGAGTTACATACATTCATATGTGCTATGTACATTTACATACATATGTTAAATAATGTTATTAACTAACAACAATCAATTCTCGAAATCAAAAAAATGTTTATGTCTTATTATTCGCACGTAGAAGATTAAACTTTAAAAAAGTTATAGAAGCAGTGCCACGTGATTTTAGTTAAATGTCAATGCCCATCATCTAATCGCGAACTGGGTCCACCCTTAATTTTTTTTTATGTGCCAATCTTTCTGTTGATCCCGCACTTGTGGTTCGGCCATTTGATGTTGCAGTTCGTTACACGAACCTAGTTGGTTCTGGAATCGACTAATATATAAGAGAACTGCCGACTAGGCTATAACATATCAACCATATCACCTGGTAATCAATGTGACCAAGGGTATATTACGGCAGCCTTATCAGTCGAGCGATCATTCGAAGGTTAATCTCTCAAGTCATTGAAAGCCTTATATTAAATGGTATGCAAAACTAAATATGAATAACTAAATAATGAGAAAATATTAGAAGGATTTTGAGTAAGAGATGACCAGAAATTGTATTATAATCTCTCTATAAAAACTTTTGGAAGTTCTGGAAGTTAAGCTATTGGCATTGCTCTACATTGTATGTACATTACGTCATTTTATTTGACTAATCTCCACCACCATATGTCTGAATGCCGGGTATCCAACAGTCGAGCTCTTAAACCAAAGTCATGTTCATGCTTTCAGCTATTTTTGTGCGAAAGCAAAGGCACATACGAATACCTATGTAGGCTATATGGTTTGTAATCTGAATAATACGGTCGACGACAGAGCGAGCGGACGACTGTCGACAGGCGGGACGCTAATTAAAACCGGCGGAACCTGTTCCGAGGCATCCATTCGCCTTCGCGGTGTAGTAAACGTAAACACCTGTAATCGTGGGCCCTCGTCCATTGAGTTATCACATATTTGAGCAGCAGCGATGACTTTTGCCTGAACGCTGCCTGATAAGCCGATTTGCGTCTCCATATCGCAGTGCTTGATGTGCTTTCTTCTCGCCTTCCGCCCGCCGAACTCTTAGTATCCGTTCGAGTGGCTTGGTGTTCGTTCCCCCAAGAATGGTGGGCCTTTCGCGCATTGTTGCGATACGAAGCGCTTTCTCACCGGGCATGTGGGGTCTCTCCGGTTGAAAAGGCAGTGTCTCTGGCCAGTGAACAATGGTATCTAGATTCCAGAGGACAACCTGTGCTAATTTCTCGAGATACCGGGTTGGAACGATGGTCGTTGTTTCAAGGTTAGGCGATAGTTTAAAATGGAGGAACCTCTAGGGAAAGCGATAAAAAGGTACTACCAAAGGAAGGCAGGCAAAACGGAAAACATGGCTTGACCTTGGACATTCTTCCAGGAACTCAAACATCTGCCGATGTGTTTTTCCGTAATTTTATGGTCTATGCAGGCCTAAAAGTAATCGTAACCGTTTTTTTGTTTAGCTGGGATTTTCTGCCGTGATGGAATATTTCTTATACATTTACATATATACATGTTATTGATGAATCGGGACCTAACCCAACAATTTCTCCCAGTGCAATTACACGTTGCGTCATTAATTTGCTGTAGCATTAAGGTGTGAACAAATCTCAATGCAAACAATCGATAGCCAGACGCTCAAGCATGTGTATCTAAAACACACACATCAACTAGCATTCACGGTGATTAAGTTTTCCGTTCTCTCTCAACTCAGATGAGTTGCTAATAGATCTGTAAGAGGTTGTTAGACTTTTACAGAAAGTGTGGTTAATAAGGTTCTTTGTAGCAATAAAAGAGTTTTGTATTCTTAATTCAGATTTCATTTCATTCAATGGTAAATATTAGTATTAGTGAATTATATATTCCTCAGAATTCCTCGAGTGATTCCTCTTCACACAGTTCAGATACAAATTCAACTGTAGCGCTTATAAATAGCCTCTATAGGCTGTCCCTTCTAGCGCTTAGGTACACAAGATTGTTCGGTAGAACAACATGAACAGGTTTACGACTCGATTAGAGCGATTGTTAGACTTTTGCTAGATAGATAGGCGATTCGCTTGGCCGCTTGACTTGGGCTCACGATCTCAGCCATAGGAGACGATCATCAGACATTCTCGGCTCGGGTCTCGTTTTCCGGACATGTGCTAATGTTTCCACACGAGTGCCGTGTGGCCGCATGGACTTGACTTGATATTCTGCCCTGGCTCACCTGCTCACCTGTTTCACCTGCGTCAACGGGCGGCTTACACGCAATTATTAAAATGAATTTAAGCAGTCCCATTGTCTTCGATTTCCAATACCACCTGACGCACAGAGGGAGTGCTTTGGTGTCACTGTGAGTGGGTCCCTGGTCCTCCGGTGGTGCTTTAATTGCGCAGAGCACCACACCGCTGACGTGTGAGTGGACATTCTTCTGGCGACGTTGTTGAAGGATGAGAGAAGACAGCCAGTGCCACTGCAATGCTGCATCTGAAATGTCCTAAATAGGCTCATCCCCATCTCGGTTCCTGTCTCCCACCCACAACATCATCAGTGATGCCAAGCTATCGGAATATCTTTTTATTAATTTACTCATTTATTTTGTTTAAATTTTTTCTATAGCATTAAAATGTTTTTTTTTTGTATAATCTTATTTATATATACATGAGATATGTACCTCACCTTTAAACTTTTCTCCGTTTTCCGTTTTAATCATGTACTAGGTTAGTTTCTCATGCTGAAACCTGTTTAGGGTTGCGTTTACTTTATATAATAGCTTTACCAGAATAGCTTTCCTTTAATGCTATTAAAAACGTGATAAGTTAGCTAGAAAACATCTTAATGTCCAGCAACTCAGCTCATCCTCATTCCCAGATACCTTAGTTTGCCATCTCCGTCATGCATTTCGCTGCACTGAGCACTTGTGGTGGGTGGTGTACAATATTTTGGGTGGTGGTGCGGTGGGTTACCAATCGGTGGTGCCAGTGCCCAATGGCAGCGGTGGTTGATTGGACCGTCGAAGATGAAAAAAGATAGAGAATGGGCAATCATGAATGAATCACCTTGGGATGATGCCCCTTCATGGCATCACAGGCAGAATCCGTTTGCGTTTGCACAGCCAAAATAAAACAACGGTCAGCGACCATGATTGTGTGATTTGTCTTTGTTGTTACATATTTACATACAAGCAAGAAAGGGGCGACAATAATATTGATATATATACCTGCATATATACGTATGTACGTAAATTAGTTGCATGAATATGAAAAGCTTTAAATTATCTTTTGCAATTAAACAAATAAGAGGTTGGATAACATTAACAATAATAATAATAATAACAATATTAGGCATTTATAACATTCAAATTTACCCGCCATTAAAAGCAGTAGAAAAAAATGTTTAAGGGGGTTACAGTTTGGAAAAAAATATATCAAAATTCTTATTTTAAATTTAAAAACTTGTTTTTTATTTTGCATTGTTGTGTTGTAAATATAGTAAGGCCTTCAAAGGGGTGCAGTTTTCAAGTATTTAACCGTAATCCCTTTTTTGACACCCTTGTCACCAACACCTTCGCTGTGGATACTTTACAACACTACTCCGCCATCGTTTGGCAGCACTAATTGGGCGGCAAAAACAGAGTTGCATTTAGTGACGACAACTTTTATCCAACTTTCCAATAAGAATACATCCCGATATGAACTCCACCACCCATAATTGGAGTACTGCCATCGATGTCCTGCGCGGGATATTTATAAAGCGGCGGAAAGCTGCCTGCTGCAGAGTGCCGCCCTGGAAGTCGAGTTGCAACCCTAGCGGCCCACCAATGACCTTGCGCTGACATTGCCGCACAACAGAACAGACGAAGAAGATTCGGCTAATCAGTGGAATCGCGACCCGGAGTTTGTTAGCACACACCAGGAGTATCCAAAAAATCCAGAATAATCCCAAAATGGCCTTCAATAAATTGAGCATTGAGAACCTGGACTTGGAGGGCAAGCGGGTGCTGATGCGGTAATTGGGGAATCCTTCTGTGAAATTCAGTTGCATAAACATTGGTTTTGCTACTTTGCAGAGTGGACTTCAATGTGCCCATCAAGGAGGGTAAGATCACCAGCAACCAGAGGATTGTGGCTGCCTTAGACAGTGTGAAATTGGCTCTGTCCAAGAAGGCCAAGTCCGTTGTGCTCATGTCCCATTTGGGTCGTCCCGATGGCAACAAGAACATCAAGTACACTTTGGCCCCAGTCGCCGCTGAGCTTAAGACCCTGCTCGGTCAGGATGTAACCTTCCTAAACGACTGCGTCGGCAGCGAAGTGGAGTCTGCCTGCAAGGATCCCGCGCCAGGATCAGTTATTCTGTTGGAGAACGTTCGTTTTTATGTAGAAGAGGAGGGCAAGGGCTTGGACGCCAGCGGCGGCAAGGTGAAGGCCGATCCCGCCAAGGTCAAGGAGTTCCGAGCCAGCCTGGCCAAACTGGGAGATGTCTATGTCAACGATGCTTTCGGAACTGCCCATCGCGCCCACAGTTCCATGATGGGCGATGGCTTCGAGAAGCGTGCCGCTGGTCTGCTGCTCAACAAGGAGCTGAAATACTTCTCGCAGGCCCTGGACAAGCCACCAAACCCCTTCCTGGCCATTCTTGGTGGCGCTAAGGTCGCCGACAAGATCCAACTGATTGAGAACCTTCTGGACAAGGTCAACGAGATGATCATTGGCGGTGGTATGGCCTTCACTTTCCTGAAGGTCCTTAACAACATGAAGATTGGAGGTTCTCTGTTCGACGAGGAGGGCTCAAAGATCGTGCAGAACCTGGTAGAGAAGGCAAAGAAGAACAATGTTCAACTGCATCTGCCAGTGGACTTTGTCTGCGGCGACAAGTTCGCCGAGAACGCCGCTGTTAGCGAGGCCACCGTGGAGTGTGGAATTCCCGATGGACACATGGGCTTGGATGTGGGACCCAAGACCCGCGAGCTCTTCGCGGCGCCTATCGCCCGCGCCAAGCTCATCGTTTGGAACGGGTAGGTGTTAATTGGGTTTTGAAGGGAACTTGCTCCTGATCCTTTTAACATTTTATTGAAATGTATTTTTGCAGACCCCCCGGCGTGTTCGAGTTCCCCAACTTCGCCAACGGCACCAAGTCCATCATGGATGGCGTGGTGGCAGCCACCAAGAACGGAACCGTCTCCATCATCGGCGGTGGAGACACTGCTTCTTGCTGCGCCAAGTGGAACACAGAGGCTCTTGTCTCGCACGTCTCCACTGGTGGCGGCGCTTCGCTCGAGCTTCTGGAGGGCAAGACACTGCCTGGCGTGGCCGCTCTGACCAACGCCTAAGCCGTTGATACGGTATATTTATGTTAATCGCATCGTTTAACTTGTAAGCACAAACCAAGACGTTAAAAATTGAATCTATTTGTTGCGGAACCATATTATGCATACGAAATAAAGGAATCCTAGTTTATTTGCGGGCAAAGTTACTGTCCATTGAGGAGGCGGTGCGCTGGATGTTGTTCAGATTGGCCCTGATGCGATCACCTATAGAGTTGTGGTTGGCAATGGCCTTCTTTACCTCCTTGTTGATGAACTCCTTGTCAAAGTCTCGTTCACGGTTCTGAGCTTCCTCACGAGCATACGCTTCTCTGTGCTTGCGGACCACTTGGGTGCGATCCGCTTCCCTCCAAGTGGCGTTGTCCATCATCTCGCGCAGACGAGCTTCTCGATCAGCTTCGCTTAGCTTGGGCTTGCCTGCGGGACGTTTGGAGGCCGGACTGCGTTCTCTTTCCTTTTGCTGCGGAGGCTTTTCGGCACTCCTGTGCTGGTCATCTCTTTTTGAACTTCGGCTCCTGCTGCGTTTGGGTCTAGAACGCTCCTCAGGGCTTCTACTTCTGCGTTTATCCCGCTTTCTGGAGGTTTCCTTGCTTTCTTCTTGGCGTCGCTGTCTCCCCTTTTTGTCCTCTGGGCTTCTAGTTCTTCGTTTCTCCCTCCTTTCCTGGGGACTTCTGCTCCTTCGTCGTTCTTTCCTTTCGTCTGGACTTCTACGTCTGTTCCTTTGCTCTGGACTTCTGCTTTGACGTCTTATCCGCGAACTGTGTTTCCTATCTTCATGGCTTCGGCTTCGGCTTCTGCGTCTCTCCCGCTGCTTTCTGTCTTCTGGCCTAACATTTTTCCCGCGACTTGTATCTCGTCTCCTTGATTCAACCTCCCTAGAAGATTTTCTCCTAGGGTTTTCTTCTTCGTCGCTACTATCGCCAGTGCTACTGCTGCTTTTCCTTTTGGATTTTTTTTGTTTCTTCTTTGTGGCCATGTCCAGTTGCTTGGATATGGTGCGGTACTTGGCGTCGAGAAGTTTGTCCAACTTTATGTCACCATTTCCATGATCTCCCTTTAGTTTGCTAACTTGGCGTGCCAGTTTTCTGTCTAAGTCATCGTCACTATCACTGTTTTCACTGTCATTACTTTCCTCATCGCTGGATTGCCTGTTCTTTTTCTTCTTTTTGGACTTCTTGGACTTTTTGCTCTTCTTGGCCTTCTTCTCCTTGGAGGCCTTCAGATCTTGTTCGGTCTTTAGGATGCGATGAATTTCCTTTAGTTTGACGGGGTTTTCCAATAGTTTTCGGCGGGATTCCATCTCTCGTTGCTTGATGAGCATCAAGGGATCCTCAAGGGTCTTTCGCTGTAAGTCAACCTGTTCGGTGGACTGCAGGTTGCGATATGTTCTGATGGAGAAGGGTACGCAGTCGTGTTCTACATGGTTAATGGTTTGTTTGAGGCCGACTGTGTTCTGCTCCTGACGGTGTTCCTCAGCTTGCAGAGTCTCGAAGGACTTGTCGATCTTGCGACCCAAGAGGTACTCCTCGCGATTGATCAGCTCCGTGCTGTCTGGATACAGATTTATATTAATGTAAATTTGTTAAGAGTTACACCTGGCTGACTCACTTTTGTACATCCATTCCAATTTAGCTTCGCCGGCGGCTCCACCACTACTTCCTAGCACTCCGGAACTTTCGCCCAGTCGTCTGAGCTCCTCCCTGTCCCTCTCTTCGTTGATCTCCTTGCGAAGGTCCTCCAGCTTGCGTTCCTCCATCTTCGCCTGCTCCTCCGCCTTCCAAACGCGCTCCTGGTTTTTCATCGTGTGCGGATGCCATGATTTCTTCAAGTTCTGAGGGCGAAATAACTCATTATTAAGGGTTATAATATAATGAGGCATTACTTACAAGATCTCCGCCACCCATCTTGGGTTTTATTTGGGTTTTCGCAGCCAAACAAATTAATTCCAAGCAAATCGAGTTTTTCCCTCCTTTTATTTTGTTTGCATGAACAACATATGTTCACTACTAAGGTTGCCATACAGTTAAGATATAATAAGTGCAAGAGAGTTGCCAGATAGCTGAAATTTGTATAATCTAGATTTAAATATTTAAACAACTTAATTTAAATTAAAGATATATTTTCCAACAATTTTATGGCTCGTATTTAAGAAATACGATAAAGACGATATAAGTTTCAAACGGCATTTGTTATAAACATCGAATTTTGATTTTCAAGTCAAATCATTTTTTAGATTTTCTTAGCAAATTCTTTAAAATATGAATATTTTCCAACGTAACTCATTATATTTTATAGCTAAATCGGGAATCAATAAAGTTCCGTTTTTACGATGTTTAAGCAGCAAAGAGTGTAGTGGAAATGGTAAGCAAGTTAAGAAACTGAGTTTGAAAAATGTCGATGTAACTGGAAGAAAAGTTTTTATGAGGTAAGAATCACTCGGAGATGTCCACTGTTTTATAATTATCTTTTTAGGGTTGATTTTAACGTTCCGATGAAAGATGGTAAAATAACAAACAACCAGCGTATTGTTGCTGCCCTTCCAAGCATTAAATATGTTTTGGATAAAAAGTGCAAGTCTTTGGTGAGCTTAAAATATATTACATATAGTAAATAAATTTTTATAAAATTTTTAACTATATTAACTATTTTTGTTCGATATAATCCCTTCTCAGGTTTTGGCTTCCCACTTAGGGCGTCCTGATGGCAAAAAAAACAAGAAGTTCAGCTTGGAGCCAGTGGCCAAGGAGCTGGAGAAGGTGTTGGAAAAGCCGGTTTGCTTTCTAGACGACTGCGTCGGTGATCAGACCCTGGAAGCTCTGAAAGATCCATCCGAAGGCAGCGTTATGCTGATAGAGAACCTTCGATTCTACGCCGAGGAGACGGGCAGCAGCAAGGACGAGAGCAAGAAGAAGGTCAAGGCCGATCCCCAGAAGGTGAAGGAGTTCCGATCCAAGTTGGCGCAGCTGGGCGAGATCTATGTGAATGATGCCTTTGGAACCGCCCATCGAGCTCATAGTTCAATGATGGGGAAGGTTACAAAGTGCGTGCTGCCGGATTCCTTTTGGACAAGGAACTGGAGTACTTTGCTAAGGTGCTCCACGATCCTGCAAAACCCTTTTTGGCCATTTTGGGTGGAGCAAAGATAGCTGATAAAATTCCCTTGATTACCAATCTCTTAAATAGCGTATCCGTTATGATCATATCCGGTGGGATGGCATTCACCTTCCTTAAAGTCCTCTACAATATGGAGATTGGAAAGTCCCTCTTCGACGAGAAAGGATCCAAAATGGTAGACGATATAGTCTGCAAGGCGAAGGAGAGGAATGTAAATATACTTTTTCCGGTTGATTTTGTAATTGCAAACAAGATAGATCAGAAGCCGGATAAAATTGATCGAGTTGATGGCAAGCAGGGCATCCCAAAGGAAATGATGGGTCTAGATCATGGCGAGATGTCTAGCGCGGTGTTTTCGGGCGCCATTTGTGCATCCAAGACCATAGTGTGGAATGGACCGCCGGGATTATTTGAAAACGAGTTGTTTTCCCAAGGCACCAAGTCCATGTTGGAAGCTGTCATCGGAGCCACAAAGAGAGGCGCTACCACGATTGTGGGCGGAGGCGATACTGCCACGGCTTGTATGAAGTTTGGAGGAGCAGACAAAGTCTCACATGTGTCCACCGGAGGAGGGGCTTCTTTGGAGTTGCTGGAGGGAAAGGTCCTGCCTGGAGTGGCTGCTCTTTCTGATGCCTAAATTTTAAACCTATGGAGAAGTCCAAAGGCTCATTCAAAATACAAAGTTATGTTTTATTTTGGAATAACATTAGTTGGTTAAAACTTGATAAAAGAGCGGATTTCGGCCAAAACAGATCTCATATAGTATTCTCTAACTGTCTTTTGTCTCCATAAATTTTGTCTAAACTTAAAATTTAGCAAGTTTCTTTCTCGTAACGAAAACTTTTCGAATAGTAACTAATAACCGCAATGAACTAAAAAAAACATATATTTTTGGCATAACAACCACACGAGAACTGTTTGGCCTAACTCTTAAAGGTAATACAAATGGAATAACACTTTGTGGATTAATCGAAACTAATCAGTTCCGCCGTGGCTGGCTCTTCAGCTTTAACTGGGGCGGGTCCGGGTTCGTTTTGGGGAGGAGCAGGAGCTGCAGCCACCGCTTGGACTTGGTTATTGGTAATTTCGGTGGCTGGTGGTGCCTGTGGCGCCTGATTTGGCAAAGCCGGATGCTGCTGAAGCATCACGTGAGCGAGTTGTGGTTGTGGTTGCTGAACGGAGTGTTGCTGTGGCGGTTGACCAGGAATTTGCTGAGGCTGTTGGATTGGCTGGGGCTGCTGTTGAAACGGCATTTGTGGAGCCTGCGCGATCGGATGCTGTTGTGCCTGTTGAGCTTGGGGTTGTTGTAAGACGGCTGGATTGTTGCCAAATTGATTTTCGGGCATGGGCGGCATCATCTGGGAATTTCCAGGCGGAGCCGGTTGCTGCATTAATCCCCCGGGCTGCTGAAGATTCGGCGGCATCGGCTGTTGCATTGACGGATTGTACATGCCCGGTGGAATTGCCTGAAATTGGCCATGTCCGTTAGGAGCCGGACCAGGAGCCTGTGCCAGATAACCCGGTACGTATGGATTATAAACGTTGTTAAGTTGATGCGAGGGTGAGCCATGTTGGGGCACTGCAGATGGCGGCATGTAGGGGAATGGTGGGGCAGACTGACCCATCAAATACTGCGCCTTTTGCTGCTCCTGGCGTAACTGCATCTCGCGCTCCTGCTCCTGGATGCGCTGCAGCGCCAATTGACGTTGGTACTGCAGATACTCTTGTTTCTTCTTGCGCATAATGTCCAGCTTCTGGGCCATCTGCATCTGTCGCTGGCGCTCCTGTTCCTCGGCGATCCTGCGCAGCTTTTCCACGTGCTCCTGTCGCAGTTGATCCAACGCAGCCCTTGAGTCCTTGATCTGGGTAAGCTTGTCCTGCAACTGCTCGTACCACATGCGTTTGTCGTCCATCTCCTTGATGTAAGACAACTGCTGGGAGTGCAATGAAGTCAGAGTCATGAAGAGTGTCTGCACGGAGGAATCGTTGGAGATGCTGCGGCCACGACTAGAGTTGGACTTCATACGGTTCACAAAAATCTCCACTTGGGTGCGCATATTGGCGGCAAATTCATCGATCTGCACCTCATCGGCGCTCTTGGCCTGCAGGGTCATTATCTGCTGGGGCTGCGGCGTCGGTGGCATGGGACTTGGTGCCGATGGACTTGCCATCGATGAGGATTCGCTGATCTTGCGTTGCTCCCAGTAGCTACGGTTCAAGTACTTGGCCAGCTCCGGATTGGTCGCCTCCTCTGGCTGGTGGTGGTACTCCTTCGGCTCGGGTGGTGCCTCTGGACTGGGAGATCTCTGTTGCATGCGATAGGCGGCAGCTGGCTGGGACTGTTGCTTAGGCTTCTGCTGCTCCGCCTCCGATTGACTAAGGGCCAGGGCCAGCTGGAGTTCCTCCTCCTCTTTGAGTTCCTGCTCGGTTTTGCGGGCTGGTGTCTGGAAAGTAAATATTTTATTTTTAATCATTAACACCTTAATTTATTTTAACTATTCTTGTCCTATTTCTAGTCATATTTATTTAAGGAATGATTAATTCTTAATAGAATTAATTAAAGTTTTAAATCAAACTAAACTCTTCTAATCTATAACCATTAAGTTACTTTTAGAAAATGAATTCTTTATTATTCTTTCTTTATCTTTTCTTTACTTTCTTTACTTATTTCTGATTAAATTAAGTTGAATATGACCGATCGGAAAATTCAGAAGCATGAGTAATTGTTTATTAATCTGTTTTTATTTGATAAACACAACTGCGTTTTAGGATTACTCACCTGCACTTGCTGGGCCAATGTGCTGTTCAGATACTCCGCAGGCAGATCGCTGTCCGCCGGTCGTGTTCCAGACTTTCCACCGCCACCTCCGCTTGTCGGACGTTGAAGAGCAGCGAAGCATCCATCGCACACACGCACTTCCTTTTCGATTCCGTACTTCGGCAGTGGACACTGCTTGGCCGTGCATTGGCCACAGAACACCTGACCGCAGTTTCTGCAGTGATGTTTTCGGTTGGTAAAGGTGAACTCCACCCGACAGCGATGGCACACCCTGCCATCCGCCCAGTTGGGGGCCGTGTCTGCCGTGAACATGGCGTCCGCTTCTCGCAGTTCCGGGAAAGTATGCCCCTTAGCCTTCAGGATGGTCATTGTGTCCTGGGAAAGATGTGATTGTTAATTAGGGTAAGAAATTTATGGGGCAAGTCTACTAGGGATTCCTCCTCTAAGCTTAGTTCCTCCTCAGAGCTCATTTTGTTTCAACTGATAACATTTCACTGGCTTTTAGCGCACAGCAAACAGTTGTTTTCTACTAATTAAATTAAAGCTAAAAGGCAGGGCTGGATTTACGTACTGAGGGTCTTTAAGTGGGGCAAAAATTAAAGATTATACGACAATAAACCCACCTTGATGGCCTGGTATTTGTCCGAGGAGCGGAAGGCATTGGCCCAGGTCTGCACCAGTTCCAGCATCTTCTGGCGAACGTTCTCATGCGGTGTGGACTCCAGGAAGCTGCTGAACATCTCGCAATTCTCCTTGGTGAAGACCTCCTCGTGAACGGGGGCTCCGCAGTTCTTTACGATGCTCTCGAGGACCAGGAGGGAATAGCAGGACGAGTGCGGATTGGGCGAGTTCATCTTCTTCTTGATGGCAGCAAAGGCATTTTTGGGACTGTAAATTAATGGTTTATTACTTATCCATTTTGGTTGTTTCAAAACTTACGTGACATCCTTCTGATTGATCTCATCGCAAATGAGGAGGATGGAGGGCCAGTCAGGCTCCAGGCGCAAGTGACTCGTGGCATTTTCTGCAATGGAAAGTGCGTAATTACTCGACCTTTGTGCATTTATCGCAATCTTCAATTGTTTGAGAGTTCAATTGCCTTGTTATTGTTACTTCTTACAAGTTTTTTTTTTTTTTTTGTGAGTCACTTTTACTGCCCAAACGTAGTTTCTTTGGTTCATTCTTTGATTTGAAGTTAACTTACCTAAGTTTTTGTCAAAACTTGATCGAAACATGATTAATGTGCTTTCTCACAGCTTCTTGTCGTTGTTTTTCTAATATTATTGGACTAAAATAATTATTATTGTTTTGCAAGTGCAAAGAAATTTTTCTGCAATGTTCAAAGGTTGCCACACTAAAGTAAAATAAATATTTGTATAAGGCTGCCATATTTCTGAAGAGCTGAGCAACGCAATTAATGAGTAACTAAAAGCCCTAACGCGTAGAGGTTATATTGCAACGGTTTTAAAAATGCAACGGTTTTTTGAAAATAAACTTTTAATAAAGGGAACTTAAGTAAACCGTAGCGAAAGGCTCAACATTAAGCAAATAAAGCATAAAAGTTAAGATAGCCAAGTTTAGAGTTTCAAAAATTAAAACAGAAAATGTATGACTTAAGCATCTTTTTTATTTCGTTTGCTCATACAGGTCTCTCTTACAAATAGGTTAACTAGACAATTAATTTTACAGAAATATACATATATAAATGTTAGTTTATCCATACATAAACAGTATAAAAACTACGATTCGCTATGCTTAGAGGTTGCCGCAACAGTTGGCATTGGCATATATTGCAATGGTCCGTTGCATTTGTTAAAGTATCACACGCCGATATAAAAAGTTGGGTTTACTTGCAACTAAGCGATATACATAAGTAACATAAAATCACATTCGATTCAAATTAAGCCGAATACTAAAAGCAAACACGCATAGCCCCCATTCAGTTCGTCTTGATCTTGTGCTTCAACGTAAAGTAGGCCAAAACCTTGAAGATCGCTATTTGGATTAGGATCATAATGATATTGTGTCCAAAGTCGCCACCCTCCATTCCAAATTGTCGCAGAACAGTCACAGCGTTTCTGAAATTATTAAAATTTATTATTTTACGTATCCTATACAATTTTATATAGCTTTTACTCACTTGAAGTGGCAATAGAACTCTGTGGGCGGGCAGATAAGCTGTCCCCTTTGGTTGCCATATAGCGAGATTACCATATTCTCCAGGGCATACCGTAGTGGCGATATATAGGCCATGAATCTCATGGCAGCCGGAATGTGGTTTAAGAGGATCAGAAAGCCGGAGAACATTAGCATACAAGATGTTGAAACGGCGCCAACGAAAGTTCCATTCTGTGATGGAAGTTTATGATAAAGAAGGGTTTTTGATATTAACTTAAAGAGTTAAATATTTACCACAGGATTTAGCACAGTACCCAGGAAGACGCCCAATCCATCTGCACAAATGGTAACCACCACCGCAGTCAGTAGATACTTAACAAATCTATCCATTTCCACAGGCTGGTCCGTCATCAGATATCCTATCGTTATGTACACCGTGGAAAAGATAATCTACAAAGGTAAATATTAAAAAATGTGATTATGATATTTCTTTATATGGAATATGTACTCACATGAACTGGAGTGGAAGTGATAACGGTGGCAAGGTAATAGGTTCGCAGTTTGTACCAGTTGTTGAACGTCTCCTTTCTAATGATCTCTATTTCAGCGGGATCTGTAGAAAGTAACTAATCATATAGAAAGAACATTCAGAAACATAGTCACATCTCTACTCACATCTCAAAATGCCCGGCATGATGGTGGTGTACCATAGATATACGCAGTGGATCATGATCATGCCAACATTGGATATTTGTTTAGTGGCATTGCTGCCAGAATCGCCGAAGAACAATCCAATGAGAATAGAACAGAGCACATGAATCCCAAGTTTGAGATAGGTAAGGGTCTACAAGAATAATATAACAAGAATCAAATATTGTTTATTTAATAAAAGTTTTCTATAAACTCACCCAATCCCTGAAGAACTGCAGATGACAGCGTCCGATGAGCAGCCAAAGACGCATATACTCCGTGGGCGGATAAGTGTGCTTGGTAAGATCCTTTGATGATTCCATGTTCTGGATTTCGATCTTCTGAACCTGCACCTGAACCTGCCCAGGCGTTTGAGATTCGTTGAACTTGGCCACCTGTGTTTCGCTGGGCGGATCGGCAGCCTCTCCCTGCATTAATTGCTGATCGTATCGCCACCGGTTATCCTTGGCGGCTTCTGCCAGAGTCTCCGTCTGATCACCAAAATCCCCATTCGCACATTCCAGCACTGAAATAATTAACACCTTTAATGACTCTGTTTGCCACTTATCATGAGATCGATTCTCGAAGGAGGATGCACAGTGAAAATATTTTGTGTATCTTTAAAAAAAAGAGGACTGTTATAGTAAGATGGATAGGAAACTAGTGATTATAGGAAGTGCGACATTAAGTGCCCATTAACTGGCATGCTGAGGTGAGTAATCACGAGAAGGGAAACGCACAAAGTTGGGCTGGGACTACTCACGGAAGTCGGCGGGATTATGGTAGGGCGGGCACTCCAGGCCAACGCTGCTGAGAAACATGACCGTGTTCTGGGGCGTGCCCTGGTAGGTGCAACGACCTGCGCTCAAGACGTAGATCAGGTTGAAGAGATTGTAGATGTTGGTCGACGGCTGGTGGATCGTGCACACGATAGTGCGTCCCTCGTTGGCCAAACCGCGCAGCAGCTGGATGGTGTCGAAGGAGGAGGAGCTGTCCAATCCACTGTGGGAGATCAGAATGAAGGGATCCAAGGTCAATGAATGTGTCAATCTGGCTGCGATCGTATTGAACTGGTTTCGAGGACAATGGACCTCTCACTCACGTTGTGGGCTCGTCTAAAAATAACACTGCGGGATTGTCTATCAGCTCTAGAGCGATGGACAGGCGCTTCTTCTGGCCGCCACTCAGGTTGGAGCACTTTGTCTGCCGCGTCTTCGTCAGCTTCAGCGAGTTCAGCAAGTAGTCGATCTGTAAATCATACGTCAATTAGTATTTTTCCCTTGATTGTGCACTTGAAAAATTTCATTTCTTTTAAAAAAGCAACTATTATTTATAATGTTAAAAGAATAGACATGACTATTTCGTAAGCTTTAAGGAGTTGTTTGTGGGAACAAAGCCAGAATTTTCTCTCAGTGCATATCCTGTTTACTAACCAGAGTTCGCTTCTCCTTCAGACTGACGCATTTGTTGGAGATTTTAAGTGTTGCCGCCATCAGCATCGTCTCCTCCACGGTGAAGTAGGGAAAGAAGTGATCATCCTGCATTATATAGCCGCATAGCTTGCGGGCCTTTCCGATTTCTATCTTTCCACTGACTCCAGTTTTCGTCAGACCCGTGAGGATGTTCATTAGACTAGATTTACCAGCCCCCGAGGGGCCCATAATGGCTGTCAATTCGCCTGACTTGAAAGTCCCTGTAATGCCCTTTAGCACTGATTTCTTTTCTGTAAATTAAATTGAAAAGAAGAATCATTAAAAAAGGTAATTAGAAAAGGCAAAAGTAACTTATATAAGATACTAATAATGTAGAACAGGCACCTATAAACATTTAATGAGAGTTGACTACCGGCTAAGGTTAAATGTTTTACGATCCTAAGTTCGTTACATTTTCAGGTTGCAGTGTACTAAACCCCCTTATGAATTACTCAACCTTCTCCCATTTCAAATATTTCTCATATGGGGAGTAATTAGGCGGCTTGCAATAAGGTTAACAGGCCAGGAGCCATGAAAAAAGGCAGCTTAAATACAAAAACCCTCATATAATGTGCACACATTATAAAACAGAAGCAATACACATTTTGGATGGGTCAATCTAAAAAACTGATTACTTGCTCTACTTAGACCCATGTGCAATCTTATAATAGCGATAGCTGTCTGCTCTATTGACTTTAGATTATCAAGGAATAGCACCTGTGGTCCGGGTTCTTTTCTTCCGGCACACTTTCGGTGCTAATAGAGATAGTAAATTTGCTCTTGAAACTAATAGGTAGTACTTGGTAAGCAAGAATCAACCTTTTTTTTATAGAAAGCTCACATATAGAAGTAAACATTTTTTCTTATATTTTAAGAATGAAATTTTCTTATTTTGATGATGAAATTTTCCTCTGATCTATGCTATTTATATCTAGAAATATAAAATAAAAGAAACACTTTCGGGTTTGGGCTTATCCCAACTAATTTTAGTTATCTTAGCCCTCTTACCTTGCTTCTTGGGTACGTTGACCTGGTAGACGAGATCTTCGAAGTGAATGTCGATGCCGTAGACATTCTTCAACAATTTGGTGCTATCCATTTTGTGTGTACTCGTATTATTCCGTAGTATTTACAAAACGTTCTTGCTGATTTATTTTGGATGCTTATTGAAATTTATTAGCTTTGCTTGCTTGCTTTGTACATTATTTACACATATCAAATTCGACGGAGAGCACTTTTAAATTGTTTTCGAAATGGACTGCGTGGACACAACAATAAAAATAACAAAAATTGTATTATAATGGATTACAAACCACCTGGTTTCGGGTTTGCAATTTGTTTGGTTGCGGGAATCAAAATTATATCATCGGCCAGGTAACTTTTGTAATAAAGCTAAAAGCCCTTACAGCGGCAATTAGAGCGCGACTTGAACCGTGGATTGACCTCAAAGTTCGTGAACTGTCGAAACCGAAACTGAAAACCGTCAAACCGTTACAAGTTTATATAGCCTTATTTAAATTTTCTGCTTTTAATTTTCTTTCAGGAAAATAAAAATAGGGAAATCTCTCGCGAAAGGAAAACAAAAACTGTCCGCTCTGCGCATGCGCCCCCGTTGGCAGACAGCTGATAACTGCGGAAGAACTCGCCGCCGACTGAAAACGATGGGGCCTCTGCCGGCGTCGACGCAGCGCACAAGCTAAAAGCAAAATACTAAAACAAAAAAAAAAAAAAAGAAATAAAAATTATAATCAGGCAGAGCTTAGCACATTCGCATATCAAATATACTACTCGGCAATGCAAAACGCGCTGGAAGTCAACAATCGAGCCGGCAGAGTGGCGTTTAATTTCAAGTTTAAGTCACGCCGATTGTCGCCTTTTACTCGTTTTCATTTTTTTTCATTTTGATTTTGATTTTTGGGCCGCCGAGAACAACGGACAAATTGTTATTTCAGTTTATGACTTAAGCGTAATAACAAATCACTCACACCTGTGTATATGCCAACAATTATCAAAAATATAATCTATGGGCCAACGTAAACTGAACCTAACGAACGGCCTTGCCC